TAAAATATTTGTCGTTGTCACTTTAAACCTACAAGTTCTAGATGCATTACCAGTTTTGTTGTTTCAAAAGTTGTTCCGGAGGGAAAAGGTGATAGCGATTTCAATCAGTTACTTTTCCTTCTAACTCCATATGTATATTTATATCATTAAAATGTTATCAGTAGAGAAATATGAAAAATAACGAGTTTATAAGATTCGTTAATTCCACCGATAACAAAATATTGAGTTATAAATTACAGTTGTGCTTATTTCAATTTTTGAAAATATTTCCCTGAATACCAGAATCGATATGCTACATGTTAAAAACCCTTTTCTGTTGCATAACGACCTTTCATTAGACTGTCTATGTTTTTTCAGTATATTCCTGATATTTTCGACAGATAGTACTAACAAATCAGTGTTAACTAGTATTGTTGTACTGGAACGGGACATCATTTTCCAGCATATGGGTAGGAAGACCATGTATTATGATGGGCCGTCATTTTCCAGCATATGTGTGAGATAACCATGTATTATGATGGACCGTCAGTTTTCAGTAAATGGGTGGGACGACCATGTATTGTGATGGGCCGTCAGTTTTCAGTAAATGGGTGGGACGACCATGTATTGTGATGGGCCGTCAGTTTTCAGTACATGGTTTGGGGACGACAATGCATTGTGTTTGGTCGGTAGTTTTCGGTATATGGGTGGGACGACCATGTATAGGGATGGGCCGTCAGGTTTCGGTATATGGGTGGTTTCGGTATATGGGTGGGACGACAATGCATTGTGATTGGTCGGTAGTCTTCGGTATATGGGTGGGACGACCATGTATTGAGATGGGCCGCCAGTTATCAGTAAATGGGTCGGACGACCATGTATTGTGATGGGCGGTCAGTTATCAGTAAATGGGTGTGACGACCATGTATTGTGATGGGCCGCCAGTTTTCAGTATATGGGTGGGACGACAATGCATTGTGATTGGTCGGTAGTCTTCGGTATATGGGTGGGACGACCATGTATTGAGATGGACCGTCAGTTTTTGGTATATGGGTGTGACGACCATGCATTATCTCGGAGGAACTGGCTGATGTTATTGTCTTTCTCTTCTGGCAGCATGTGTAAATTCCGAGGGCTGCCGATCGGATTCCGACTGTCAAAATGGCATTACCACGTGTGCAGTAAACCATGCTTTAACCTGTCATAATCGTGCCTGTTACTGCGAGTCTCAAACCACAAACACCGGATCCAGTAAGTACTTTAACAGAGATGTGTCACCCTGTTTTATTATCATTTCAATATCTCTACATCTCCAATCCATGGTATTTACACGACACGGTTAATTATACATATGCAGGTTTATAAAATATTAAGTTTTATGGTCGCCATAGTGATCTCATTGTGTGACATGAAGCTGGACGTATTTGTTTTAGCGAATCAATATGTATCAAATTGTCTAAATAGTTTGTTTATATTTACATAACGTATGGTTATGTAGAAGAATGAACAGTATGATGCAAAGTGTTTCAAAATGAGACATGGTGTGTCAATACTTTGCCAATACGTCAATAATTTTACATTGAACATTGTATGTCAATGGTATATCAGTGTTGTTACATCAGTATTTCAAAAAATGTAACAATGTATGTCAAACATAGCATTGTATGTCAAACGTGGTATTGTACACCAATGGTATATCAGTATAATTGCATAGTATGTCAAAAATATAACAATGTATTTAAAACGTAGCATTGTATGTCAATGGTATATCAGCATTGTTACATAGTATGTTAAAAATGTAACAACGTATGTCAAACGTGGCATTGTTAACCAATAGTATATCAGTATAATTGCATAGTATGTCAAAAATGTAACAATGTATTTCAAACGTAGCAATGTATGTCAAACATAGCATTGTATGTCAAACGTGGTATTGTAAACCAATGGTATATCAGCATTGTTACATAGTATGTCAAAACTGTAACAATGTATGTCAATGGTGTATCAGTGTTGTTATATTAGTATGTAAAAGATATAACAATGTATGTCAAACATAGCATTGTATGTCAAACGTGGTATTGTAAACCAATGGTATATCAGCATTGTTACATAGTATGTCAAAACTGTAACAATGTATGTCAATAGTATATCAGTGTTGTTATATTAGTATGTAAAAAATATAACAATGTATGTCAAAAATGTAACAATGTATGTCAAACGTAGCAATGTATGACAATGGTAAATCAGTGTTTTTATATTAGTATGTCAAAAATGTAACAATGTATTTCAAACGTAGTATTGTATGCCAATGGTATATCAGCATTGTTACATAGTATGTCAAAAATGTAACAATGAATGTGAAACGTAGCATTGAAGGCCAATGGTATATCAGTTTGCCAGTGGCATGCCTGTATGTTACATTGCATTTCAAATGTTAATGAAAGCATACAGATAATTAACAAAAAATAAATAAATAAAAAAAAATTCAAATAAAAAAAGATAAATGAGATTTTATATCAACAGGTGTCAAATTTAATGGTGGATGAGTTTTGTTGTTTAAGTCACATACCACGGTATACATCGACAATATTTAAGATTATAGTTCAAGTTATTTATTTCTTAAACACGTTTGCATTTTCAGCATGCCAAAACAAAGATGACTGTCCGTCAACCGTAAACTGCCACAGTGGCCGCGGAAACTACCACTGTGTTGACAACAAGTGCAGATGTTTTTACTTCTAAACTCATCAGGTAACTTTATGTATCAGTGATAAAATGTAGGTCAGGTCATTCATAAAGAATGAAAGTTTTTCGACATGATCTCATTTCCGTCGTTTCTGTGAAAATATGACTTCATCTCGCCTAGATAAAAAATTGATGTGAAATCGGGTCGATAAATAACAGCAGAGCAAGTATTTTGTTCTGTCGTTGCGTGGTTTAATTTTTTCTGTGGACTTCTTATTTTAAAAAGACAGAATGCGTGATATGTGTCATCATGATCAATGGGTTCACATAATTGTATGCATATATCTACATTAAAATATTTATTTATTTATTGGTTTTTCAGAACACCTGGACGTATTGAGGACAACTTAATTTCCATCTTTAATTTATTATTGTTATCGTTTAAACTGTTATGAATTCATTAAAATAAACACTTGTGTTTCAATAAATCCCATGGCGTTAGACCTATTCTATTCTACATATATAAACTGCCCTATTTGCTATCGACGGTTTACGACTTTAATGTTGTACTGTCTGTTACCCGATCATATCAACACCTACACTCACTGTATGAAAAAACAGTTTTCATTAATGCAGAGGCACTCGACACTATCAACTGTTATCCTCTCTTCTCCTGCCAAGCAGGACCCAACACTATCAACTTTTATCCTCTCTCCTTGTGCCAAGGAGGAACCAACACTATCAACTTTTATCCTCTCTTCTCCTGCCAAGGAGGACCCAACATTATCAACTTTTACCCTCCTCCTGCCAAGGAGGACCCAACACTATCAACATTTATCCTCTCTCCTTGTGCCAAGGAGGAACCAACACTATCAACTTTTATCCTCTCTTCTCCTGCCAAGGAGGACCCAACATTATCAACTTTTACCCTCCTCCTGCCAAGGAGGACCCAACACTATCAACATTTATCCTCTCCTCTCCTGCCAAGAAGGACCCAACACTATCAACTTTTAACCTCTCTCCTCCTGCCAAGGGGGACCCAACACTATCAACTTTTATCCTCTCTCCTCCTGCCAAGGAGGACCCAACACTATCAACTTTTATCCTCTCTTCTCCTGCCAAGGAGGACCCAACATTATCAAATTTTACCCTCCTCCTGCCAAGGAGGACCCAACACTATCAACATTTATCCTCTCTCCTCCTGCCAAGAAGGACCCAACACTATCAACTTTTAACCTCTCTCCTCCTGCCAAGGAGGACCCAACGCTATCAACTTTTATCCTCTCTCCTCCTGCCAAGGAAGACCCAACACTATCAACTTTTGTCCTGTCTCCTTCCTGCCAAGGAGGACCCAACACTATCAACTTTTATCCTCTCTCCTCCTGCCAAGGAGGACCCAACACTATCAACTTTTATACCCTCTCTTCCTGCCAAGGAGGACCCAACGCTATCACCTTTTGTCCCGTCTCCGTCCTTCCAAAGTCCTTATTGTCAGGTTTCAGGTTATTTTTGTCGTAGATGTCGTAGTAGTGACCATCATATAGTTTAGGTCTGATGTAAATTTGTAAGTAAATTGGGACAAATTTGTTTGATAAGTAATTTCAAGTACGGACATTTACCGTATAGAATGAAGATAAGATTAATGTTGTCCGTATTATTTCAATCCCCACAATCACTGTTTAAAAACAGTTGATATTTTGATGATTGTTTTCCCCTTATATTCATTGTATTCCGTTTTTTTTTTGTTTTTTGTTTTTACTGGTTTTCTAGTTGAACATAAAGGGAAATTAATTCTGGTCCGAGGTCAGTAACAACAAAATACGTTAATTTCCCGTTTTCCACCAAGGAAAATCCGGTAGATATTGGATTTTCATGGCTATAAACAAATTAAAACAAACAATTTATCTTGTGTTCCGATCACATTTTTCAGATTTATTTTATAATTTCCATGTGCATAAAAATTACAAAATGTACAGTAGTCATTTCCATTTTGATAAAAGATACTAGATGAATTAAAATTCACTGTAGATTCGGATTAAAAAACAAACGGAACTAATAACTTCACAAATTGTCACGTGACCTCTCTCATTAATCTCATCGTATAAAATGGGTATTTACTAACGTCATAAAACCATAAATAAATAAATATATATATTACAAACTGGTTCCAGTTTTGCTACTAAGGGGAGGTAATCACATGTCTATTAACAGCTAAATAAAATACACAATTGGTACTGTTTCGTAAAAATATTAAACAAACTTATCTGTACATTGAATACACTCGCTCTATGAGTGTAACAAATAGCACTATGAATATGTATGAGGGTCCGAAGAGTTCACATCCCTGTCCATTCCGGCGTCATAGACAACATTGGATCGTTTCCTTGAATCGGATAGTAGTTGACTGGGTACGGATAGGCAAGATCATGGAGAGCTGGATACATCACGTGACTCGACTGATACGGGGAATAGTAAGAGTTGTAGGATTCTGAATAAGAAGGTGACATCATCGGAACGGGTGATATACGTAAGAGATTCTGTGTTGACGTCAGCAAGGATGGTGGTGGTGAGGCACCGTGGTTGGACAAGGGAGACAATTCAAACGGACTTACGTGTCCAAGATCAGGTAATTCAGGCGTTAAACGACCATTACTGGGATATGAAGGCAAAAATGATAGGTACGAGGAATTAAGATTATGTCTTGGATGCCTCCAAGAACACAAATCGGCACTGAGTTCCTCTGGACTCGACTCTAGAGTTTCGTGACCACTGTCATTAATGGATGCCGATAATGAGGATGATTTTGGAGAAAAATCGTCGTCTGTCGAGGAATTTCCAGTATCAGTAGATTTTTCCATATCTTGTTTGCTTAGGAAATCGGATTCCACTCCATATCGTACATGGAAATTTGTGCTGAGAATATCTCCTGAGCTGTCAGTGACGTGCTTCACCACTTCCGGTGTTTCGACGTACCCAGACTGTACAGGTGTATCCGGTAGAGAGCAAATCTGAAACTAATCAATGGAGGAAATAGACGTTATTGTATTACGATCGTTTTGTAAAATAAAAGCAACTTCTTACATAAAACATACATACGATAAAAACACAGTTTCTTGTGGTTGATAAACATATCTCTTAGTTCCGGTTTTCTCTAATGTGTCCCAAACCACAAAGATGTATTTAGAAGTTTTTTTTAACGTAAGTAGAAGTCACCATTTAAAATATGACGAGATATTCAGAAATATAGAACACGAAGTGTTAAATATCCTTATCAGGTAAGTTTGGGGGTTATACTATAGCACTTTCTTTACGATTAAAAAACTGCCTCGCGCCATTCTAAAGATGAAACCATCTGCGAAAACATTGGTGAGAAATCTGTAAAAATAATGAAGCTTTCGAAATCAATATATTCTCCGATTTGTACATACTCGTCTCAGAAACTCAACTCTGCCCAGCTTCGTCAATACAGAAGTGGGGTTGTTCAAATGGAAAAAATCTGTAGTGATAAGTTCAAAACTACACAAACTGCCATCAACAGGAAACATGAACCTGGCTCTTTTGTTTAAACTGAATGACAAGAGGGTTTACCACATGTTAAACTATATTCTCAATGAGTTCTGATCCGATACATATTGTTTTACGTATTTATCGATTTATTATCTATTTATCTATTTACTTAGTTCGATAATCTTAAACGTGATAGCCAACCTTTACGATTTGTCTGGGGTCGCTGCTGGCGGACACCACTAATCGGAAGCTCTCGAATTTCTTCTCCAGGTATACAGCCACTTGGCTCCAGAACTGACCGGCATTGACCTTATAGTAACCCCATCTGAGAGTGTTCATGCCACTTTCTTTGTCCACCGATGGTCGGTAGTCTCCCCTGGCAAAGCTCACGATACTGTTGGGAAGAATACACCAAAGAAATGATGATCGGTTCGGCAGACCCGGGATTCCATGTCGTTTTCCGACCGCAATTTTTGTGAAACATTTTGTCTTTGATAGGCTGTGTCTAACGGCATTCTTCCAATGAGTTCTGTGCGAGTCCCGGAAAAAAGTAAATCTGCTCTTGATGTATCTGTAAATCTCTGTGATGGGTAGACAGAAGTTCGGCGACCTCAAGACAGCCAGATACACAAGTTCGGTATAGGAGTAGTTTGGCTTCTTTGTTGGATCATCACCCGTGTCAAGCCTCTCATAGACCTGGACAAAATCGTCCATGACCTTTCTCAGGTCAGCCTCAATTTGTTGTAAGGAAGCTGGAAGAGGATCACCAAAATCAGTATGTTCCTGGCTAGAATTTCTATCAGGATCGTCTGTAATAAAATGAAAACATTGAAGATAAAATCAAATTCGAGGAAGATATTGTGAAACAGATTTTTTTAAAACAGAGATTCATGAAAAATTGAGATTAACACCAGGTGTTCCGGAAGGGTAAGCTTCATCGGATTCCATGAAATCCAGATTTTTTTGTCCATTATTTCAAATAACATCTACCCATTAACATTTGTAGTCAGCTGGCGACCTATTGAAAAGTAAACGCTAACCACGAGACCCTAAAAATTGATTGAGTTAGAGACCCCTCCTCCTCCCCACCCATATGGTATATATATGATGTTGGTCATAAAAATTCAGATGCATAATCGATGAAGTTATAACGACAACACTCACAAATCAATATTACATCACATACATAGAACATAAAACAAAGACAGCACTGACAATCAATATTACACATGTTACATCACATACATAGAACATAAAACAACGACAGTGCTGACAAATCAATATTACATGTTACATCACATACATAGAACATAAAACAAAGTCAGATTCTGAAGGACAATAATATGAGATGATAATCCCTCCAGCTTTTAGAAACAACAAAATCTTCGTGATGATAAAAAGATAACGATTCAAATATAGATTTTTATGTATGACAGGTACTGATGTGTGTGATCGTGGGATTTTTTTTCTAGTGTCAAGCTCTGAGAAAAGTGGGTGTGCGTACATTAAGGTCCCTCAAGTAATAGGGCTGCAACAATATACTTAACTTACTTTTCTTTATTTGTAACTTATTTAACATGTTTTACACCCACTGTTACGGTCTTACAGCGGACGAGTCATAACTTACGATACGTATTTCCGTGTGATGCTTACGACTCAATACGTATCATAATACATGTATGAGGTCAAAAGTTCAACTTTATAAAGATACAGCGCATAATGTAATTATGTGAAGCCTATATATTTCCATGGTAAATATATCAAAATATCTTTTTGCATGATTTCTAATTCTTTCTGAGAATTAGTGTACTGAAGGATTTCAAAAGATTTCAATCCAATTTAACAATTCGATAAAAATTCATTGAATTTATTGAAGTCCTTTTAGGAGTACCACAATACAAGTAAACAAAACAAAATCGATAATATAAACAGGAAGATGTCTCGATGGAATACAAAACGAAAGGTCTTTGGTGCCCTACTAAGTAAAAAATTTGTGGCTAAAATTAGAAATTAATGTGTACATGTTTCGTTTTCTTCCAATACAAAAGACTAGGATAAATTGATGTCAATCTGAACAGGTCATTATCACCTCACATACACTGTTAGTTTTTTCTATTCCACACATTTTATAATCCCAACTTCTCTAGTAGATAGCACAGCAATAATTCTTTATGATCAATTCACTAAACTGTTAGTTAATAGAATTTACGTTGAATGTTGTGGTAAGTATAACATCTGTGGTCAGTGGTTTACGATCACATATAAGTACAGATTTACAGTATTTTGAAAGGGTTCAAGTACCATTCTTTGTCTCTGATAATCATAGATAAAAATGTACCATTCAGTAATAAAATGATGAGGTATATGGGGCCTGTATCACTTCAGTAGACTCCTGATCACAATGAGTTTATCTAGCCCTAATCTACCAATGGGTGGGTCCTAAGTTTGTGATCGCAGACCTAAAGAAATCCATACCGAGGTTCGTCCCTTGGATCCCGTCCCTACTGTCCTTAGACTGAGTGGCCTCCATGTATCAACCGTTAGATTATTGACAAGGATTATGTGAAATTAGTAACAATGACTTTAACACTAGAATTGTAATACTTAAAACTCCTTTGAGATATTATGACTCTTCAAAAGAAAAAGCAGTTTCATCAAAACTCTTCAAGTAAAAAAGTCACTGAAGCGTGACCAGAATTTTCCAAAAATAATAACGATAGCATTTACCCTACATTCCTAAATCAAACCCGTCCATGATATCACGGTTCTTTATCATGAATTGCATGACATGTGATCAAACTAAAAAAAGGAAACCGCTAAAGCGCTGGCGATATTTTCCTTAAAAAGGTGAAGATGACCTTGACCTTAACTCTACATTCTGCGAAAACTCAATATTATTTGGGAAACTTTGGTCCCTTTTTTTTTTTTTTTTTTTAGTTTTTTCACCAAGATCTCATAAAAAATAAAGATAAAGCAATAAGAACGCTGGTCAGGAATTTCTAAAAATAGTAATGATGACCTTAACCCAACAAAGTTGTGATAAGTTTGTGAGCGTGATGATGTTCCAAAGAAAATAACTGCAAAAGTGCAGACCATGATTTTAACAAAAAGTCGAGATGACCTTGAAACTGATCCTACAATCCTGAAAATCTGAGAAACTGTAGTCCTTTATGTCTGATCAAATTTCGTTTTGGAATGAAGTCGCTAGAGCCCCGGCAGATATGGGGCTTACGGACGTACACTATAGCCCTTGGACATCTTCAACTTTCCGTTGCGATAGGAAAAAATTATAACATACCTGTATTCAGATATTGTCCAAAATCTCGTACAATAGTAATGTACTAAGGGAAAAGGTTAGTTCTCAACAGTAAATGTCAAATATCAAAAGTATTTGCCATAATTCTTGTAAGTTGTAATTCCTTCTACACTGACCTAACTTGCAAACTTCTAGATGTAAGAAAAGTGAATTCCAGAGTTGAAGTGTAGATGGTAAAAAAGAACAGTCTGATAAAGTTTGTTTGAAATCAATCAATACCACTGAGATTTCAATGACACTGCATGAAACCAAATGCTTTTCAATCATATAACAAATGCTAAAAAAATACACACGAACTTCTTTCTTTTATAATTTCAATAACAAAATACAATTTATAGGATACATTTAATAAAATTAACTAAATCAAGGATGTACTTGAGAGATTTCCATGTGTCACATTGTCGTACCAACATAGATACAGATAGACAGAGCAAGGGAAATAACTCTAATTCAGAAATACAACACATTATTTTTTTTATCTATTATCAGGGACGTATAATACTGTATTATACGTCCCTGCTATTAGGAATGATAATTTATCTATCCTAACACTCAAAGATTTTATCGTAAATTGTTTGTCATTCTTATTGAAAAGATAGGTCCCGGACTTCTGATTATCAGCTTTTTATAATATATGCACGTGGAAATGCTTCATTTATATTTATGTTAATTTGTGAGGTTTTTTTTATGGTACTAATAAATTGTTGTCAAACTGCTAATTAAGTATGTTAGTTAAATTCCACTGAATTTGAATTAAACATATTCATTGCAAAAATTATTACAACAAATTATTACTCCATTTACTATTCATAATTACATATGTGCTTTGACGACATAACAAAGTTACGTATCAACAGTGACCTAAATCAGCATTAACACTAAATAACACTAGAACATCAGTCCTGTAGGGGGATGCTTAATCAATGACATTATCTAATGTTTATTTTTACCAACGATAACTAGATATCGCATACTTGTATATGAAACCAGACAAAATCGAAATGCATTTTTAAAAATCCCTGAAATCTGTCGCTTTGATTCCCGTAAACTTTGCTGTAACTCATATATGTAAAAACAATATGGGAACATAACATGTCCTCTCACGGTTTTGTCACACGATTTGGAACTAGATATGATTTACGGCTACATCTGTGAGTACAAAGCACCTAATGGTTAAAAACTACAAAAAAGTGAAAACTATAATACTTATGTAATATTCGGAAATATGCTACTCGTACGTTAGAAATGTAGTAAGTTATTTGTATTTTTTGTGATTTTTTTTAGCAAGAAGGAAATTAAAAAAAAAAGAGAGATAACTTAAAAACACGGATTTTGAATATTCTGAGTCCGTGTTAAGAGGAAAGATTTTTTATTATTACATTTCCGAAAGAGACGAAAGTTATCCAAAATCGGTAGCCGAAAAGGCTGGGCATAACCTGTTACACAGAATATAATGCACAACCATCAGGCAGATTTAGTATCTATTCATATGAAGATACTATAAAGATGTAATTCTTAAATATGAAATCCAAAATCTATGTAAACAATTATATCAATGTAGGATAACAACAAACCTGTGAAGGCCAGTTTTGACGGCGGAAGTTCATTCATATTTTCTTCATCATTCATATCGCACCTCTTTCTCTTCCCCATGTCTGAATAACTGTTTGCTTGTAAAAACGTACTAAGTGCAAGAATTCCAACGATGTTATCCAAAATCGTTTTGAATCGGAAATGTAAATACAACCGATGTTCGGCTGTATATGTAAATCCTGTTGACACCTTGTTTTTTCAGTCGCTGAGTTTCCCAGTGGCACAGTGAACTCATTTCACTCGCGCGTGAAGAACGTGAAATAGACATTTTCGATTTACCTGTGTCACCTCTGCCCTGTGACGTAGCAGGGTTCACGACCCGTGCGACCGGTAGTGTTTTGATTGGTATGTTGTTATTGGCTGATTAACGGAACGCTTTTGAAACCGTTTAATTATCTCAGAGTAAAAACATTCAAGGATTTCAGACCTACTTGTGATCATTAGCAGCCGACTGAGATACTGGAATTAGCAGTGACGTGAAGAGACTTTCTCATTCTCAACTAGTACCCTTCTTGTCGAAACTGACACCATTTAGCCAGAACAGTGTTTACCGTTTTAGGTTCTAGAACTATTCATATTAACCAAAACCGGTATTTAATGCTTCAGAATAATATGTCAATTGTCTTGAGAGAATTTTGCTGAATGAAAAATACATTTTTACAAAAGTCATGTCATATTTGTGACCAGTTGTCAACATGGACTTAACCAGTGACTAAAACTCGTTATGATTGATTTAATTTTTCATTTTTTTTTCTTTTCAAAAACTTTTTTCGTGAAGCAATTTTTATATCACAATATGTTATCGAAAACGTTTTTTGGAAATAAAAATAAACAAACCTAAATTCGAATTTCGATTGAAAGTGAGTCTTCAGTATGAGATGATTTCATGTTGAAAATTTTGAAAATGCAGATAAATTATTCGAAACTGTGGCGATACTGAAAAACCTGTGTATATTTTTATGGACCACCGTTGAGACGAAAGGTTAAGACTAAATATCAAGACCAAGAATTATTTTAAGTAAACAGACATGTTTTTCTATATCCAAGGGAGATAAACCATGTCATTACAAAAACAATTAAAAAAAATTGGAGACATTTTTCACTTTAAAATATCACTTACTTGCAAAACTAGCATCTGTGATAATCTCTCAAAGAATTTGGAAAGTTTTAAACAAACGAAAATAATTGATGACCTAACAGACATTTTAACAGATCGCTGTATAGTGGAAAATGTCCGGACGTTGTACGATGTTATGCAATATACTGACGAAAGTATAATACCTAGTTAAATACTTTTTTAGATACTTTAATAGACCTTTGATTCTGTCTCGTGGCATTTCATAGAGGAAGTTTTTAACTGTTTTAAGTTCAGGAGTGATATAAAAAATTGTGGATTAAAACACTGCATTCTAATGTTTATTCCTCTAGAAATCAGTGTGGTAACATCTCTTTTCCTGTTAGGATCCAATCGCCGCATTTATTTTCATTATCTGTGTTGAAGTACTTACAGCAAAATAGTATCTGAGCAGAATATCAATACTGATGAAAACAAATGTTATATGGATTGGCATTATTAAATATAGCGAAGAAACGTTTGTGTCAGATTTAAACTTACAATGGGGAGAGAGCATATTTATATTTTTGGAAATTAATTTTTCTTTTGACTTAACTTGAATGCCTAGATGCCCAGCGGAGAGGCGAATGGTTGATGTTACTTCCAGTACTACAAAGTACCCGTATGTAAATATTGATTCAGAGAATATTTCTTTATCAAAATAAATATAAATAAGATAACAGCCTTTTGACTAGTCTATCACGAATTTCTGGACAAACTTCCTATCCTCACGAGTTACATCTTTGAGAAATAAAAGAAGACATATTTTAAAATAAAATTCATTTAATTAAAATAGGCAGTAGCTACTTGGTTGCCATGGACATAGCTGACGTCATAGGATTTCACCGTCAGATCGTGTCCCGCCATATTGAAGTTGCAATTGGTGTTCTTTCGGACAAGGAAACAGGTGGTGAGAACAGCTAGGTCAAACTCCGGACTGGTTCCAACTAAAAGCGTGGTCAGTGGTTTGGGTTTATCAAACCAGGTAAAATGGACGCCCAATTTCCGCGGCTGGGGAACAAAAATACAGTCATACATTTAAACGAATAGGGTTTCCTCAAACGATGATCACATTTTAACCTTTAAGTCAGAGCGGAGCACTAGGTTTTCACGGATGCTCATAACAATTGAATATTTTTTCTTAATTAACTTGATCTGTTGGAAATTTCCCGTTTCATAGGAAGCATAAAAATGACGTTTCTATGTTGACGGAATTTAAACGTTTCGATCTCAATGTTAACCTATCATGTTAAATCATAGGTTGAATATTTCCAAAACACCGTAAACAATGTTAAAGATGTCTTGAAATTGAAAGTGTGAAGCAAGCAAACGAGATAAGCTTTATTTTTTTCATTTTTTTTTCTCTCAAATATCTAGTTCTGAAAATAATTTTATAGGTCGAGATAGAAACTTCGCAATAAAAAAAAAATGGTGTTGTTGAAAAGCTTCCGTTTTGATAATTAAATGAAGATATTCACCGTTCGAGGAGGGGTTCGGGGAGGGGGTCATGGGATATATGATAGATATAGTTATCACGCACGCACGCACAGTTTTTATAATATACCCCTGACGTAAGTGGGTGTATAATTAATTCAGGTAAAACATGGTATACATAACACTTTAGGTAAATCCCTCATACACCTGGTAAATACAGGTATGTTCTCGTTACCTCTTTAGAGTAGATGTAGCCAAGATAATTGATGTGACCTCTTTTCTCCTCCAGGTAAAACTGAATCCAGTTATGGAAACCAGAAACTCCTGTGCTAGTGGTCTCTCCGACAAACACGTGCTCGAAACCGTTACTTCCCATGGAAGTTCCTGCACGTGAGTACTGTGTGAACCAAACACTCTTTAGTATGTCGCGGAAATCCGTCGTTGATGAGGTGTAACCTTTCAAGAAACATGTCAAGCGTTTATATATTTCGTATGAAGGAAAACTTACTTATCATGTAAGTAACAACACTGTTATCAGTGTACAATGAGTGCTTGGTAATCATTCGTTCCTGGCAAAAATCGTCTTAATTCCGGAATGCCGATTTTATTCCAACGGCCCGATCAGAGTTATCATCCTGGATTGATTAATGATCAATTTCAAGAATTTGTATGTAGTATTTGCTGTAAATACGGATATTTAAAAACGTTTTTCATTGTCCAATTATGTTTCATACAGATACCGACTTTACCACGTACACGTAAATACACCTTAATGCCGTGTACAATATGCATTAACACGATTTAGATAAATATCTATTTCATAATTACATATCATATGTCCTAGCAGAAACATGATTGGCTGAAAGTGTTATAACTTTTAAAATATTGTACCTTCTCCGTGCAGAAATCGATAAGTTTCTGTCATGACTGTTGTCTTCATCACTTCCGTTATGAATCGGTCGATCTCGGTAGTTTCCGTCGATATTGTGTGCTCCGAGTGAGCTGTGTTTCTATCGAAGTTATCTAGCAAGTCAATGAAAGCAGAGTAGGTTGGTTTTGTGAAGAGATGGTTCTCATTTACATACTGGAACAACCTGTAAGGAATTACAAATTTTGACATGAATTTGAAAAGAAAAGAGTTTCAAAAATAATTGGTTTTTGTATATCACTTCAAAACGACAGTCTGACACGGAAGCAATCGTATCTGGAACCGTGTAAAAAGTGTAATAAAAGTCCATTATTTTTCCTCACCTGTCATGGGCATGGTCAGCAGATGAGGAAGTTGACGTATGTGATTGGAGGTTGTATGTGACGTCAGAGTAGGAAGCCGCATTGGGGTCGTCGTTCCATATCCCAGTAATAAAGGACGATAACTCTGCGTTAGAAACGCTACCCAGTGCAGGAGAACAACCTACGGAATCAGAGAACAAACAAAGCGTTTCAAAACCTATTTTGACTATAAAATAAACCAGTTCTGGTACAATACTTTGGAAATATTATTCATTCCTTACAATAAACGTATCGGATTTTACAAGGGGTGCTATAGTTTCTACTCTTCTAAGCACTTTTATGTGGAATTCGGCGTCAATCTTCCCTTGGTGGTATATTCACCCCAGTGCTGTATGAATTAGTTCACCGACTTCTGTCTACTCATCGACGGACAAACCATCATCAACAGAAATTTTGACGTCTGTTTTAAATGCCGTCGAGAATAGTTAACATATCGGTTCGTCTTTGAGTCATAGTCTTCTGAACGTTTTTTATGGATTCTGTCAATGTATAATAATTAAGCACTGTGATCGTCGAATTTCGACACATCCATCATAATACAAAATCGTCAGAACGTACGCGAGTGTCATTGTTTACATCTGCTGTATTTGGTTATATGAAAAAAGAAGGTAAGAAAAAAGGACCATACCCTAACTGAACAGTAAGAAAGAGGAGAGAGAGGAATCTCCACAGTCACATGGAAAACACAGCGGATGTATACATGGTTGTCGATAAGTATATATTTCTACCACAATAAACCTTTCTTTGTGCCTTCCAAGTCAAATAAAAAACACAAATGTTAAATTAAAGATGATTAAATCAACACAATTAGTAAAAGATACCGCAATGCATCATGGGAGTGATTGCCGCTGCGGATATTTTTGCCTTTGTAAACTTCGACGACATTAGGGGAAGATCGTATTGAATGGACGTCTAGATATCTTGTTTTTTTCTTAGGTTGCAGAACTTGTCCGGCTTTTCCTTTTTTGTGTCGCCTGCAGAGCTGGCGGACACTTAGGGATCACTTTGTCCGTCGTCACGCGTCGTCGTCGTCGGCGGCGGCGGCTGCGTCCGTACGAAAGCTTTCCGGACTTTTTTCGGTAATGCTTTGAGTAATCAAAATAAAATTTGGCATATGGCTTTTTGTTGCACGGGTACAGATTAAGTGCGATTCCCGGCTGTCTTTGACCCTTTTTGGCAGAGTTATGTCCTTTTGAACTTGAATATTCTCTGGGAATATTGTTTTCTTGACTTTCTTTGGTTATGCTTTGTGTTATAGAATGACATTTGCTATATGCTGTCTTGGATCCTTCTTGGCAGTGATATGTCCGCTTGAACTTGGAAAATTTCTCAGGAATATTGCTTTGCGCAGTTTTCCCTTTATGCTTCAAGTTATAGAAATGAAATTTGGTATTACAACTTTATGGTTGATCGTTGCACATCCAGGTCAATTTTTGGGTGACCGTGACACTTTATGCAGGCGACACATACAGTTCCGAGGACCTCTTGTTAAATCATTTTTTTTTCATCGAGTATTCACCAAGAGGTACAGACGTTTCACAGTGTTTTGTCATACTATTTCTATAACAGGTAAAAATGTAAATCGCTCTAATCCTCTAAACATGCAGGTGATTTATTTTAAGTTGAACTTTGCCTCGCACTATCTGTAATAACAACACCTATCCGTTTAAGCACATTACCGGTCAGTACTGCAGTAGTATCTCGGTCTGTTAATCAAACGTAAGTAAAGTGAACAATACTTAAGACACCAACAAACAAACAAGTCTATCTCATTTTGGTAATGGACAGGACATATAGAGATCAGTCAGCTTACTCAGAATTCTAAAACAATAAAAGTGGCAGGGTCGGGATTGGTTATCAACAGATTGTTTACGAAACTACCTTTGTTTATTTACTATAACCACGGATTTTAAAAATCTCAACACAGGATAGGTGATGGGATTTTACCGGTATAGGATAATATACGTTGGAGAAAGACAGATGTACTTACAGTGGAGAATGATCAGGTAGGAAATGAAACAGCCATGACCGGCCATCTTGTGTATAGCTATATACAGACTGAACATTAGCGACAACACAGTCTTATCAGTTAAACGTGATTGTAGGTAAAATGTAAGTAGTGTTGACACACGTGAATTTTGTGCCAAGTATATTGATATGCACATCAAAAAATATATAGCTGGTAACAGAAACCCTATATACTTACATGTATAATTTTTAAAGCATGTGAGCGTCGTAGATAAACAGACGTGTTCTTTAATTCCAATAAAATATTTCAGCAGACAGCAGGTTAATCTTTGGTTTCACTATCGCCCTTCCGGTACTGACACCGTCTTTATTAGTATGTCCCCATCCTCTTTGTTAGACCACAGTTCTTGTGAGAGCCCATCCTCTTTGTTAGATCTACGTTGTTGTGAGGCCCCATCATCTGTATGTACTTTAATAGACCTACGTTGTTGTGAGGCCCCATCGTCTGTATATACTTTACTAGACCATAGTTGTTGTCAGGCCCCATCCTCTGTATACACTTTAATAGACCATAGTTGTTGTGAGGCCCCATCCTCTGTATACATATTATTGGACCATAGTTGTTGTGAGGCCCCATCCTCTGTATACACTTTAATAGACCATAGTTGTTGTCAGGCCCCATCCTCTGTATACACTTTATTAGACCATAGTTGTTGTGAGGCCCCATCCTCTGTATACACTTTAATAGACCATAGTTGTTGTGAGGCCCCATCCTATGTATACATATTATTGGACCATAGTTGTTGTGAGGCCCCATCCTCTGTATACATATTATTGGACCATAGTTGTTGTGAGGCCCCATCGTCTGTATATACTTTACTAGACCATAGTTGTTGTCAGGCCCCATCCTCTGTATACACTTTAATAGACCATAGTTGTTGTGAGGCCCCATCCTCTGTATACACTTTAATAGACCATAGTTGTTGTGAGGCCCCATCCTCTGTATACACTTTAATAGACCATAGTTGTTGTGAGGCCCCATCCTCTGTATACATATTATTGGACCATAGTTGTTGTGAGGCCCCATCCTCTGTATACATATTATTGGCCCATAGTTGTTGTGAGGCCCCATCCTCTGTATAAACTTTAATAGACCGTAGTTGTTGTGAGGCCCCATCCTCTGTATAAACTTTAATAGACCATAGTTGTTGTGAGGCCCCATCCTCTGTATACACTTTAATAGACCATAGTTGTTGTGAGGCCCCATCCTCTGTATACACTTTAATAGACCATAGTTGTTGTGAGGCCCCATCCTCTGTATACATTTTATTGGACCATAGTTGTTGTGAGGCCCCATCCTCTGTATACACTTTTTAGTTGTTGTGAGGCCCCATCCTCTGTATACACATAGATGTTGTGAGGCCCCATCCTCTGTATACACTTTAATAGACCGTAGTTGTGAGGCCCCATCCTCTGTATACATTATATTGGACCATAGTTGTTGTGAGGCCCCATCCTCTGTATACACTTTAATAGACCATAGTTGTTGTGAGGCTCCATCCTCTGTATATACTTTACTAGACAATAGTTATTGTGAGGCACCATCCTCTGTATACACTTTAATAGACCATAGTTGTTGTGAGGTCCCATCCCCTGTATACTGACCATAGTTGTTGTGACATCCTCTGTATTATTAGACCATAGTTGTTGTGAGGCCCCATCCTCTGTTTAAACTTTAATAGACAATAGTTGTTGTGAGGCCCCATCCTCTGTATACACTTTATTAGACCATAGTTGTTGTGAGGCCCCATCCTCTGTATACACGTTAATAGACCGTAGTTATTGTGAGGCACCATCCTCTGTATACACTTTAATAGACCATAGTTGTTGTGAGGTCCCATCCTCTGTATACACTTTAATAGACCGTAGTTGTGAGGCCCCATCCTCTGTATACATTATATTGGACCATAGTTGTTGTGAGGCCCCATCCTCTGTATACACTTTAATAGATCGTAGTTGTTGTGAGGCCCCATCATCTCTATACACGTTAATAGACCGTAGTTGTTGTGAGGCTCCATCCTCTGTATACACTTTACTAGACAATAGTTATTGTGAGGCACCATCCTCTGTATACACTATAATAGAGCATAGTTGTTGTGAGGCCCCATCCTCTGTATACACTTTAATAGACCATAGTTGTTGTGAGGTCCCATCCTCTGTATACACTTTAATAGACCGTAGTTGTTATGAGGTCCCATCCTCTGTATACATTTTATTGGACCATAGTTGTTGTGAGGCCCCATCCTCTGTATGCACTTTAATAGACCATAGTTGTTTTGAGGTCCCATCCTCTGTATACACTTTAATAGACCGTAGTTGTGAGGCCCCATCCTCTGTATACATTTTATTGGACCATAGTTGTTGTGAGGCCCCATCCTCTGTATACACTTAACTAGACCATAGTTGTTATGAGGCCCCATCCTCTGTATACACTTTAATAGACCATAGTTGCTGTGAGTCCCATCCTCTGTATTCACTGTCTGCACAGTTGGTAAACCTTTATTATAGATACTAACACACTTTTCAGGTATCATAATCTTTTATTGGTTTGTATTGAATGGTATACACATTGAGGATTGCTTATATTTACAAAACATGAAAAAATATTTTTCACTATGTACTGTGTAAGTTCAAAGGGTTTTTAAATAACACTAAAATTGTGTACATTTTTGTATGTTAAAATCAAAATGTAAACAAATCAAATCTTACAAAGTTTTAGGAAAATTTTCCTTGAAACTATAAATACAAATTGATTACCATCACAAGTTTATCATTTTACCGGTTTTTATATGACGTTTCACGGACTTCCTATCTGTTATGTTTTTTTCATAAACGTAAATGAAGACCTCCAAAACTCGGGTATGCAGACCGAAATCTCCAAACTACAGCATCATAAGTTTTGATTTGGTTGGACAGCCAGAGATGCGATCGAGTCAGTCCGAAGTAGTTGGACGAAACGTATCGAACTCACAGACACTTTGAAAATATGTAATGTCTTTGAAAGCATTTTCTATAAATCTTAGGAAACTTACAAACAAACAATACTTCCACGTAAAGGCTGTCAGCAGATGAAAATTTCACTTTGGTTCATAAATATAATTTTGATTGCCCATTCTTGCACCGGAATTGTCAAAACTTTAAACCTGAGCGATATTGTAAGCTTTTTCTAACTGGAATAAAAATTTAATATAGCTTATCTAGAGTTGTTCCTTACATTCACAGCTGGAACTTATATGCCACTTCCTCAGCCGGAACTACTCATGCCAAGCCGATAGAAAATATTCAGTAATCGAGAATCACCATGAATGCACTGCGATTTACTAGATTGACATATAATTGCAATCTCTACCAGAGTTATGGTTCCTTAACAGTCACTCTGGGAGAGATTGACGTAGGTAACTGCAATGCATTCTGGGAGTGATTACATTGTCCTGTATACTTCAGCAGTCGGAAAAGGCATACTAACATAGATGATGATTCAAGATATTATTTCTGTATGCAACACAATATGATAATACTGCATAATAATTCAACATCAGATTATCGATTTTACATAAAATGAAATAAAACAGTTAAAAAAACAGTCTTTCTCTTATACTATTTTTTACTAATTATTAACATACAACTTGTATCGGGAAAACGGTACAAGGGTTATCGATCCAACATCACATCGCCATGAAAATATAAACGTAGCCAAAAATAGAAATATTTTCTCACATTTTAAGGTAAAATGTGTTGTGTAGGGATGATACTCGCTTATTTAGATTCAATCATCACTGACCCGCTTGTCATAATGTCTGTGTGTGATTTTCATTTCATATTTATTGATATCGTGTGAAAACATTCATCTTATCAGCTAATAAATATTCAAATTCATAAGCAATTCTCCTAAAGATAGTTTAAAACTAATTTGAATATCATAATTTCATACGCTAACAATAAGAAAACATGTTATTTGAGATTTCAAATTTTCTAAACATTAATATATTGTGTACCATAGTCACTTTACTTATATAGATAAAATTATAAAATCTTTCCATTTGTTTTCACACAGAGCAATTTAAGTGAATCTCTATTGTGAATAACAGATCATTACGCATGCCCACGCTTTACTGGCCATGTGCATCCCCTACAGTTACTACAGGTACATAAATTATATATATATAACAATGAACGGGAGATGACGTATAAGTAACCTAACCAAATATTAACCAATCAGATCAGGTAAACTAACAAAATATTGACCAATCAGATGGGAGCATGAAACAGCAGGACGACGGCATAAGTACCAATGAGCTCAATCGAGCTATATTGATGACTCGGATAATTTTAAAATAAGTAATTTCACATGCTACTAGAATTATGTTTCCAATATTTTTTCAATACATAATCCTTTATTTAACATCACAGTTTCTATGTGTATGCTGTTATAGATGTACCAAGTCAGTGTGTGGTCTGGGCGTCTTTTAACTTATAAACAGAAGACAAATACCCCTACCAACAAGTCATACAACCACAAGTCATAAAAAATGATAACCGTTCATAATGCAAACTAAGGGAGGCTACTCTCGTGTGACTTATCTTCACGAAGATCATATAAAATACTCATGTATAATTTCAATAATTACTATAATAGACCTTCGATTCTGTCTCGTGGCATTTCATAGAGGAAGATGTTAACGATCTTAAGTTCAGGAGTGATATCAAAACGTGGACTAAAACACTGCATTCTAATGTTTATTCCTCTAGAAATCAGTGTGATAACATCTGTTTTCCTGTTAGGATCCGCATTTATGGATTGGCAGTAATAAATATAGTGAAGAAACTTTTATGTCAGATTTAAACTTACAATGGGGAGAGAGCATATTTATATTTTTGGAAATTAATTTTTCTTTTGAGTAAACTTAAATGCCTAGATGCCAAGCGGAGAGGCGAATGGTTGATGTTATTTCCAGTACTACAAAGTACCCGTATGTAAATATTGATTCAGAGAACATATCTTTATCAAAATAAATACAAATAAGATAACAGCCTTTTGACTAGTCTATCGCGAATTTCTGGACGAACTTCATATCCTCACGAGTTACATCTTTAAGAAATAAAAGAAGACATATTTTAAAATAAAATTCATTTAATTAAAATAGGCAGTAGCGACTTGGTCGCCGTGGACGTAGTTGACGTCATAGGATTTCACCGTCAGATCGTGTCCCGCCATATTGAAGTTGCAATTGGTGTTCTTTCGGACAAGGAAACAGGTGGTGAGAACAGCGAGGTCAAACTCCGGACTGGTTCCAACTAAAAGCGTGGTCAGTGGTTTGGGTTTATCAAACCAGGTAAAATGGACGCCCAATTTCCGCGGCTGAGGAACAAAAACGTTAAAAATAGACTTAAATACAGTCATACATTCAAAAGAATAGGGTTTCCTCGAAAAATGATCACATTTTAACCTTTAAGTCAGAGCGGAGCACTAGGTTTTCACGGATGCTCAGAACAATTGAATATTTTTTCTTAATTAACTTGATCTGTTGGCAATTTCCCGTTTCATAGGAAGCATAAAAGTGACGTTTCTATGTTGACGGAATTTAAACGTTTCGATCTCAATGTTAACCTATCATATTAAATTATAGGTTGAATATTTCCAAAACACCGTAAACAATGTAAAAGATGTCTTGAAATTGAAAGTGTGAAGCAAGCAAACGAGATAAGCTTCATTTTTTTCCCCTCTCAAATATCTAGTTCTGAAAATAATTTTATAGGTCGAGATAGAAACTTCGCAAAAAAAAAAAAAAAAAAATGGTGTTGTTGTTGAAAAGCTTCCGTTTTGATAATTAAATGAAGATATTCACCGTTCGAGGAGGGGTTCGGGGAGGGGGGTCATGGGATATATGATAGATATAGTTATCACGCACGCACGCACGCACAGTTTTTACAATATACCCCTGACGTAAGTGGGTGTATACTTAATTCAGGTAAAACATGGTATACATAACACTTTAGGTAAATCCCTCATACACCTGGTAAGTACAGGTATGTTCTCGTTACCTCTTTAGAGTAGATGTAGCCAAGATAATTTATGTGACCTCTTTTCTCCTCCAGGTAAAACTGAATCCAGTTATGGAAACCAGAAACTCCTGTGCTAGTGGTCTCTCCGACAAACACGTGCTCGAAACCGTTACTTCCCATGGAAGTTCCTGCACGTGAGTACTGTGTGAACCAAACACTCTTTAGTATGTCGCGGAAATCCGTCGTTGATGAGGTGTAACCTTTCAAGAAACATGTCAAGCATTTATATAATTCGTATGAATGCAAACTTACTTATCATGTAAGCAACTACACTGTTATCAGTGTACAATGAGTGCTTGGTAATCCTTCGTTCTTGGCAAAATTCGTCTTAATTCCGGACTGCCGAGTTTATTCCAACGGCCTGACCGGAGTTATCATCCTTGACTGATTAATGATCAATTTCAAGTATTTGTATGTAGTATTTGCTGTAAATATGGATATTTAGAAACGTTTTTCATTGTCCAATTATGTTTCATACAGATACCGACTTATTTCAAAACGTACATGTAAGTACACCTTAATCAGTGTACAATATGCATTAACACGATTTAGATAAATATCTATTTTATAATTACATATCATATGTCCTAACAAAAACAGGATTGGCTGAAAGTGTTATAACATTCAAACTACTGTACCTTTTCCGTGCAGAAATAGGTAAGTTTCCGTCATGACCGTTGTTCCCGTCACTTCCGTTATGAATCGGTCGATCTCGGTAGTTTCCGTCGATGTGGTGTGCTCCGAGTGAGCCGTGTTTCTATCGAAGTTATCTAGCAAGTCTATGAAAGCAGAGTAAGTGGGTTTTGTGAAGAGATGGCTCTCATTTACATACTGGAACAATCTGTAAGGAAATACAAATTTTGACATGAATTTGAAAAGAAAAGAGTTTCAAAAGTAATTGGTTTTTGTACAATATCACTTCAAAGCGACAGTCTAACACTGAAGCAAGACAATTGCAATCGTATCTGGAACCCTGTAAAAAGTGTAATAACAGTCCATTATTTTTCCTCACCTGTCATGGGCATGGTCATCAGGTGAGGAACTTGACGTATGTGATTGAAGGTTGTATGTGACGTCAGAGGAGTTAGCCGCATTGGGGTCGTCGTTCCATATCCCAGTAATAAAGGACGATAACTCTGCTTTAGAAACGCTACCCAGTGCAGGTGAACAACCTACGGAATCAGAGAACAAACAAAGCGCTTCAAAATCTATTTTGACTATAAAATAAACCAGTTCAGGTACAATACGTTGGAAATATTATTCATTCCTTACAATAAACGTATAGGATTTTACAAGGGATGCTATAGTTTCTACTCTTCTAAGCACTTTTATGTGGAATTCGGCGTCAATCTTCCCTTGTTGGTATATTCACCCCAGTGCTGTATGAATTAGTTCACCGACTTCTGTCTACTCATCGACGGACAAACCATCATCAACAGAAATTTTGACGTCTGTTTTAAATGACGTCGAGAATAGTTAACATATCGGTTCGTCTTTGAGTCATAGTCTTCTGAGCGTTTTTTATGGATTCTGTCAATGTATAATAATTAAGCACTGTGATCGTCGAATTTCGACACATCCATCATAATACAAAATCGTCAGAACGTACGCGAGTGTCATTGTTTACATCTACTGTATTTGGTTATATGAAACAAGAAGGTAAGAAAAATAGGACCATACCCTAACTGAACAGTAAGAAAGAGGAGAGAGAGGAATCTCCACAGTCACATGGAAAACACAGCGGATGTATACATGGTTGTCGATAAGTATATATTTCTACCACAGTAAACCTTTCTTTTGCCCTCCAAGTCAAATGAAGAAAAATGTGAAATTGAAGATTAATAAATCAACACAATTAGTAAAAGATACCGCAATGCATCATGGGAGTGATTGCCGCTGCGGATAATTTTGCCTGTGTAAACCTCGACGACATTAGGGGAAGATCGTATTGAATGCAAGTCTAGATATTTTGTTTTTTTCTTTAGTTGCAGAACTTGTCCGGCTTTTCCTTTTTTAAATCAAACTTTTTTTCATCGAGTTTCACCAAAAGGTACAGACATTTCACAGTGTTTTGTCATACTTAACTTAATATTGATTGTTTACTTTCTTTTAGTCAATGTTTACAATAGTAAATATACATGTATATTATGATAGAAATTAAGGGATATATACATATATATATTGTTTTGTCAGTTCACCAATTTTATCTGTTTAACATCCATTTCATAAAATTCAACATTTTATATACAGTTTAACAAACTTTATGCTATTGATGTTGAATAATATACATGTACATTACTTAATGATACATAGTTTCAAGTTTTCAAGTTTCAAGTTTATTGGATCCTCAGATACATGAAAATGTATAACATGAGGTAAAACAATACTATATCAATAGATATGTGAGAAAATGGATGGTAACTGAAAGTCGTAACGCTTCACTGTATTTTGTTAGGGCTATTCAAAGTACACAGTACTTTCATAGATCAGACTGATAACAACTAGAACAATACGATTTACTTATATAAATAAAAATGGAAGCATAACATCACGCTATATAAGGATACCATAGTGTTACTTCAAAATATTTTGTTAAGACTTTAAAATTAACAGCATGCATTTAGTACTTTCAATTTTCATATTGATCGCAATTAGTACATTCAAATACACTTTAATATAACACCACATTATATAATGATAACACAGTATTGCTTCACAATATTTTGTTACATCTGTTCAAGATAACCAAAGGGCATTATGTACTTTTGTATATCAAATTGGTTTCATTAAACCACATTATTTAAGGATAACATAGTATTTTGTTTAGACTTTGAAATAAAATGGGGTGTTAAGTATTTATATCAAATTGATAGCAATTTGCACATTATATACACTTTGCTATTATAACACCACGCTGTTTAAAATACTCAGAGGGCATCAAGCGTATATGTAAAAGACTGATATCAATTAGTACATCTAAATACCCTTTGATATTATATAATAATATTTGATTAAGTTGTTTTAAAGTAAATGCATAGCTTCTGGTAGTTTTTTTTAAAAAGCTGATATACTTGGGTTTCATAAAATCACTTACATAATGAAAACATTATCTTTCTTACAATATATTGTCAAGACTGTTTGAAAATAAACAAAAGGCATTTAGAACTTTTTTATAACAAACTGAGAGCAATTCGTACATTTTGAACACGTTTGGATTTCTCCAGTAATATGAAGGTAAGAATTTCTGTCTCAGTTCAATCAATCTTATATCAGTGCACTGAAATAAGTAATGGAATTCGTCACCTACTGAGGTATTACATAGAGAACACTTCCTATCCTGTCTCTGAACATTGCGCCATCTTCCAGTTTCAATGGGAAATTTCATATTACAACATCTAATTTTGCATAAAATCCGTCTGTTTTTAACAGAGAGTTGAGTCAGGTATGGCTCAAGCAGTAAAGAATTTTTAAAACTGCTATAGAGTAAGCCTCTAGATGAATTTTCCGTTTCGTTTCTCCATTTCTGTATAAATTGATCTATTAAAGTTTTTTTAATACTGGTTTTTATATAGTATTTACTAATTTGACCCTGATTCTGGAAAACAGCGCTCTGTCCTACATCATCAAAGCAAGATTTAATAAAATCTACCCATTTAAACTTACACAAATTGTTGACATGAAGTTTGTATATCATATCAGTTTGTACATAAGACTTCTTAACTTTGACTCATGCATTATTATACCATAAAATTTGGTGTCGTGTTTCTTACTCCTAAAATTCTTTTACAAAATTGCAAGTGGACTTGCTCGACAATTTTAATATTTTCAAAGCCCCATATTTCTGATCCATCAAGTAATATAGGCTTAACTAAGGTGTCAAATAATTTGAGCTGTAAATCAATTGGAAGATGTTGATTTTTAATACTCCTGTACACAGAGAAAAGAGCCTTTTGTGATTGTTCACGCAACTTTTGCTTGCACTTATAAAAGTTACCATTAAAATTAAATGTTACACCCAAGTAATTAGCTATCTACTTCTTCAATTATAAGGCCATTAATCTTAAAACCTTCACCATTTTTTAACCTATTCTTACAAAATATCATGACCTTGGTTTTCTTGACATTAACATTAATTTTCCAATTGGTACAATACATATGAAAGATATCCAGCGCCTTCTGTAAACTTTCAACAGAATCTGAGAGAATAATAGTATCATTAGCATAAAGCAAGACAAAAATATCCAGAAATATGTTAAGTTCATTTTGAAAGTTCTCCTTTAAATGTCTCAAAGGAACTACTGTTTTTACGAAAGAAATCTTCAATATCATTCAAAAAGATCGCAAATAAAAACGGGGACAAGTTTTAGCCTTGTCGCACACCTATTAAACAGTCAAATAGTTCAGATCGGGTATTTTTCAACTCCACACGTGATTTAATATTATAATACATATTCATTATTATCGAAATCATACTATTTCTATAACAGGTAAAAATGTAAATCGCTCTAATTCTCTAAACATGCAGGTGATTTATTTGAAGTTGAACTTTGCCTCGCACTATCTGTAATAACAACACCTATCCGTTAAAGCACATTACCGGTCAGTACTGTAGTAGTATCTCGGTCTGTCAATCAAACGTACGTAAAGTGAACAATACTTAAGACACCAACAAACAAACAAGTCTATCTCATTTGGGTAATGGACAGGACATATAGAGATCAGTCAGCTTACTCAGAATTCTAAAACAATAAAATGGGCAGGGTCAACAGATTGTTTACGAAAGCACTTTTGTTTATTTACTATAACCACGGATTTTAAGAATCTAAACACAGGACAGGTTATGAGATTCTATCGGTATGGGATGAAATGTGTTGGAGAAAGAAAAGTATACTTACAGTGGAGAATGATCAGGAAGGAAATGAAACCGATATGCCCGGCCATCTTGTGTATAGCTATATACAGACTGAACATTAGTGACAATGCAGACTGATCAGTTACACGTGATTGTAGGGAACATATATAGCTATCAGCAGTAATTCTATGTGCTTACATGCATAGTCTTTTTAATGCATGTTAGCGTCATAGATAAACAGGCGTGTTATTTGATTTCCATCATTACAATAATAATAGTTGTTATGAGGGTCAATCCTCTTTGTTAGACGATGGTTGTAGCGAGGCCCAATCCACTTTGTTAGACGATGGTTGTAGCGAGGCCCCATCCTCTTTGTTAGACGAAGGTTGTAGCAAGGCCCCATCCTCTTTGTTAGACCATGGTTGTAGTGAAGCCCCTTCCTCTTTGTTAGACGATGGTTGTAGCGAGGCCTCATCCTCTTTGTTAGACGATGGTTGTAGCGAGGCCCCATCCTCTTTGTTAGACCTTAGTTGTGGTGAGTCCCCATCCTCTTTGTTAGACGATGGTTGTAGCGAGGCCCCATCCTCTTTGTTAGACGATGGTTGTAGTGAGTCCCCATCCTCTTTGTTAGACGATGGTTGTAGCGAGGCCCCATCCTCTTTGTTAGACCATGGTTGTAGTGAGACCCCATCCTCTTTGTTAGACCTTAGTTGTAGTGAGTCCCCATCCGCTTTGTTAGACGATGGTTGTAGCGAGGCCCCATCCTCTTTTTTAGACCTTAGTTGTAGTGAGTCCCCATCCGCTTTGTTCGACGATGGTTGTAGCGAGGCCCCATCCTAGACCTTAGTTGTTAGACCTTTGTTCGACGATGGTTGTAGCGAGGCCCCATCCTCTTTGTTAGACCTTAGTTGTAGCGAGTCCCCATCCTCTTTGTTAGACCTTAGTTGTAGCGAGGCCCCATCCTCTTTGTTAGACGATGGTTGTAGCGAGGCCCCATCCTCTTTGTTAGACGATGGTTGTAGCGAGGCCCCGTCCTCTTTGTTAGACCATGGTTGTATGGAGGCCCCGTCCTCTTTGTTAGACCATAGTTGTAGTGAGTCCCCATCCTCTTTGTTAGACCATAGTTGTAGTGAGGCCCCATCCTCTTTGTTAAATCACAATTGTAGTGAAGCCCCGTCCTCTTTGTTAAACCATAGTTGTATTGAGGCCCCATACTCTTTGTTAGACCATGGTTGTAGCGAGGCCCCATCCTCTTTGTTAGACCTTAGTTGTAGTGAGTCCCCATCCTCTTTGTTAGACCTTAGTTGTAGTGAGTCCCCATCCTATTTGTTAGACGATGGTTGTAGTGAAGCCCCTTCCTCTTTGTTAGACCATGGTTGTAGCGAGGCCCCATCCACTTTGTTAGACCATGGTTGTAGCGAGGCCCATCCTCTTTGTTAGACGATGGTTGTAGCGAGGCCCCATCCTCTTTGTTAGACGATGGTTGTAGCGAGGCCCCATCCTCTTTGTTAGACTATGGTTGTAGCGAGGCCCCATCCTCTTTGTTAGACTATGGTTGTAGCGAGGCCCCGTCCTCTTTGTTAGACCATGGTTGTATGGAGGCCCCGTCCTCTTTGTTTGACCATGGTTGTATTGAGACCACATCCTCTTTGTTAGACCATAGTTGTAGTGAGGCCCCATCCTCTTTGTTAGACCATGGTTGTATGGAGGCCCCGTCCTCTTTGTTAGACCATAGTTGTAGTGAGTCCCCATCCTTTTTCTTAGACCATAGTTGTAGTGAGGCCCCATCCTCTTTGTTAAATCATAATTGTAGTGAAGCCCCGTCCTCTTTGTTAGACCATAGTTGTATTGAGGCCCCATCCTCTTTGTTAGATCATGGTTGTAGTGAAGCCCCTTCCTCTTTGTTAGACCATGGTTGTAGTGAGGGCCCATCCTCTGTATAAAAGTTAATTGGACCATTGTTGTAGTAAGGCCCCATCCTCTGTATACAATGTAATTAGACCTTAGTTGTAGTAAGGCCCCATCCTCTGTATACAATTTAATTAGACCATGGTTGTAGTGAGGGCCCATCCTCTGTATAAAAGTTAATTGGACCATTGTTGTAGTAAGGCCCCATCCTCTGTATACAATGTAATTAGACCTTAGTTGTAGTAAGGCCCCATCCTCTGTATACAATTTAATTAGACCATAGTTGTAGTAAGGCCCCATCCTCTGTATACAATTTAATTAGACAATAGTTATTGTGAGGCCCCATCGTCTGCATACACTTTATTAGACCATAGTTGCTGTGAGTCCCATCCTCTGTATTCACCGTCTGCACAGTTGGTAAACCTTTATTATAGATACTAACACACTTTTCAGGTATCATAATCTTTTATTGGTTTGTATTGAATGGTATACACAATGAGGATTGCTTATATTTACAAAACATGAAAAAATATTTTTCACTATGTACTGTGTAAGTTCAAAGGGTTTTTAAATAACACTATAATTGTGTACATTTCTGTATGTTAAAATCAAAATGTAAACAAATCAAATCTTACAAAGTTTTAGGAAAATTTTCCTTGAAACTATAAATACAAATTGATTACCATCACAAGTTTATCATTTTACCGGTATTTATATGACGTTTAACGGACTTCCTATCTGTTATGTTTTTTTTCATAAACGCAAATGAAGACCTCCAAAACTCGGGTATGCAGACCGAAATCTCCAAACTACAGCATCATAAGTTTTGATTTTGTTGAACAGCCAGAGATGCGGTCGAGTCAGTCCGAAGTAGTTGGACGAAACGTATCGAACTCACAGACACTTTGAAAATATGTAATGTCTTTGAAAGCATTTTCTATAAATCTTAGGAAACTTACAAACAATACCTCCACGTAAAGGCTGTCAGCAGATGAAAATTTCACTTTGGTTCATAAATATAATTTTGATTGCCCATTCTTGCACCGGAATTGTCAAAACATTAAACCTGAGCGATATTGTAAGCTTTTTCTAACTGGAATAAAAATTTAATATAGCTTATCTAGAGTTGTTCCTTACATTCACAGCTGGAACTTATATGCCACTTCCTCAGCCAGAACTACTCATGCCAAGCCGATAGAAAATATTCAGTAATCGAGAATCACCATGAATGCACTGCGATTTACTAGATTGACATATAATTGCAATCTCTACCAGAGTTATGGTTCCTTAACAGTCACTCTGGGAGAGATTGACGTAAGTAACTGCAATGCATTCTGGGAGTGATTACGTTGTCCTGTATACTTCAGCAGTCGAAAAGGCATACTAACATAGATGATGATTCAAGATATTATTTCTGTATACAACACAACATGATAATACTGCATAATAATTCAACATCAGATTATCGATTTTACATGAAATGAAATAAAACAGTTAAAAAAACAGTCTTTCTCTTATACTTTTTTTTACTAATTAGTGACATACAACATGTATCGGGAAAACGGTACAAGGGTTATCGATCCCACATCACATCGCCATGAAAATATAAACGTAGCCAAAAATAGAAATATTTACTCACATTTTCAGGGAAAATGTGTTGTGTAGGGATGATTCTCGCTTATTTAGATTCAATCATCACTGACCCGCTTTCCCTCTACACTGCACTTGTCATAATGTCTGTGTGTGATTTTCATTTCATATTTATTGATATCGTGTGAAAACATTCATCTTATCAGCTAATAAATATTCAAATTCATAAGCAATTCTCCTAAAGATAGTTTCAAACTAATTTGAATATCATAATTTCATACGCTAACAATAAGAAAACATGTTATTTGAGATTTCAAATTTTCCAAACATGAATATATTGTATACCATAGTCACTTTACTTATATAGATAAAATTATAAAATCTTTCCATTTGTTTTCACACATAGCAATTTAAGTGAATCTCTATTGTGAATAACAGATCATTACGCATGCCCACGCTTTACTGGCCATGTGCATCCCCTACAGTTACTACAGGTACATAAATGATATATATATATATAACAATGACAAAATGAACGGGAGATGACGTATAAGTAACCTAACCAAATATTAACCAATCAGATAAGGTAAAGTAACAAAATATTGACCAATCAGATGGGAGCATGAAACAGCAGGACGACGGCATAATGCTAAAGACCATGAATGGTCTTCGAATAAAAAAAAACACAACCAAACAGTTCAAGTCATGCAACACAACGGGAGTATTTGCCATTAAAATACCTCTACAGTGAAATTCGTGTCCCTTCCAATATAATAAAATTTTTTTTTAATTTAAGTTGAAAGTAATACGTTAGATCTGAATAGATTTGTTGTCTTATATTTACAATTATAAATAATTTCAAAGGTGTTGGTACAACAGTGCAATTCAACCACGTATTTCTAATGTTATCGCGGATGTAGACATTGTGATGATCAGATACATTTTATGCGAACAATATGCGAAGGGAGGGAACTCTGCTGGACGAAAGGCGAGCATCTTTCACCATAGCAATTCCACAGTCTTTATGATTGAGCAATATATCCTGTGTTAGAATTTAACTCTTCTGGAATATTTTGTTGAGATCTACAAGAACACCGGGAATTTATATTCTAACCGGATATATTTAAAACGATATATTTCACCTACATGTCCCTTTGAATATCGAATGCATGGTTTACTAGAACAGATTAACAGTTTAATTTTAGAAAGTTACCTTTAATTGCCTTGCAACTCTTAAGGAATAAAATACTGTAAATATTTGAAGTTTGTAACGACTTTAATAAAAAAAACCCAAAAAAACTAGTATGTTTTTAGTGCAAGTACCAATGACCGCAATCAAGCTATATTGATGACTCGATAATTTTAAAATAAGTAATTTCACATGCTACTAGAATTATGTTTTCAATATTCTTCAATACATAATCCTTTATTTAACATCACAGTGTCTATGTGTATGCTGTTATAGATGTAGCAAAGTCAGTGTGTGGCCTGGGCGTCTTTTAACTTATAAACAGAAGGCAAATACCCCTACCAAAAAAAGTCGTAGAATCACAAGTCACAAAATAAGAACAGTTCATAATGCAAACTAAGGGAGGCTACTCTTGTGTGACTTATCTTCACGAAGATTATATAAAATAATCATGTATCATTTCAATTAGTGTATGTTTCGATAACATGTGCTTCAATTTGATGAAATATAACAAGAATGTTTATAAAAAATTATCTGAAAGCAAATAGGACACCCCCTCCCAAAAACAAAACATAAATTTATTTCTAGATACACAAATACAAGCACGAGGCCATATGGTTATCAGATCAAGGACGATAAGTCGGCGTCCTGTGCATATAACAGTTTCACAATAATGAAGCACTAAGGAAGTTCTACAATGTGACTATATATGGCATAAAAATATACAATTTCTTAAACGGTAATATATATACAGCTATGTCCCACACCTCCACCAGAATGTAGAATAAGTTTTAAAAAACTGAATTGTAGCAATGATTTCTGTTTCAAAGTCATCATGGAACGAGATCGTTTAATCCAAATGGATTGAAATAATACTAGGCATATGTTTTCGCCATCTGAGCCACAATGAATGGAAACTATTTATGTTAATGAGACATGTGAAGATTCTTTTCAAACCCGAAGTATGCAATTACATTTGATATATAAATAAATGTATCGCCTGAAGATGGTCGTTAGGCCTGAAAACCTTAGCGGCATACATTTTTCGCGTTGATTTTATTCTTTTCAAATATATATATATATTGTTCTTTTGAAATTTACTTATGGGCCAATAACTTCATTAAGAAAATAATATGGTTGAGGCGATATAACAACATCTTCTCTGGTTAAATTCTAATACAAACTTAACAGGATTAAAACAATAACAGAATGATTGCACATAATCATAGACACCTATTTATGAAAACATAAAGCAAGTTAAGGTTATATGCTATATGAACAACAACACAATCTTCTATTAAAAGAGTTATTATTATTATAAGACAAACGACTTTCACTTTACGTAGATCTGAGAAGGTCAATTTATCACACTAACGGGTTTTGTACTATCGCCGAAATTTATTTCAATTTATCACCAAAATTCTTATTTCACATAACTTCAGGACAAAGGGGGCGTGGTCAGAAATAGCATCCGGTCTCTTTTCAGGGCAGAGAGACAACCAATGACCTTCAGGACAAAATGGGGCGAAAAGATCCGTGGTAGGATATTAGTGCGGACGACATTCTAAGAGAAGAAAGACAACTTTGTATAGTGTAAGTCATATGAAACTAAAATATACCACACTATCATTCTACATATATAATAATTTTACATTTATACTTTTTTCAAAACATGACAATCACAATAGAAAACAAGTGGCAACAAGTAGCATTCAGCAACATATATGAAAGACATTGAGAAAGTTGCTCTCCCTTTATAACCAAGAATAGACTGGTCTGCTATCCAGGTGTATATACAGAGTAGGCGAGTCTATTTCCTAAAAGTGGGGAATTTGGCACATGCCAATATTGTTTCCCCTCAATATCACAATGCACACAATTACCATAAAGATGTGTATATTTATCAGAAATTAAGACAATTTATTACTTGGACTTAAGTAAATCAACATCAACAGATGACCAGAATCTAAATTAATTAATGGAGATCATTACTTAGTGATGCAACTAATAATAAATGTCTATGTAGATAATCACTGGTAGTTTTCCAATATGTCTGAAGATGGAATATTCAAGTAAGCTTCTCAAAAACATTTATTTTCACTGGGTAACTTCAATACCGTGAGCCAATCAATTCCTGAGTACTTTTTATGGTGATGACGTCACTGGCGTGAGCTTCAAAATCGATTATTATTCTGTTTTTTATATATATATATATATATATATATAAACTTTGGATATTCAATTTATCACCACAAATTTCTATAACCGGTCGATAAAGCAAACATATTCTTAGACATATTCAAAGTCAATGAAACCGAAAAGGACCTTCAACATCAAAATAACATAGAATAAAATACATCTTAAAAATGATTTTACAATGTCATTGAAGCATTAACATGAACTATATAAATTATCTCCCTTGGCGTTTTAGATATTTTGAAAAGTAAACGTTATAAGGGATAAAATATAAGAATATCTTAAAAAATAGACATCCGGGGCTTTGACCGGTTACCCGGATATATTACATCCAGGTTATGTGAACTCTGTGATACGGAGATGGTATATATAAAAACAAGGGTTCAAGTATTATAACCAGTGCATAGCTTTGGTTATCATCGGTTTTTCCCTGAATATCATAATCAATTGTGCGCACGTATCTCACAATTTACGTTCATAATGTACCAATGACCAGATCCGGTTCATGACGTTGTGGTGACGGATCAATCAAATTTCAGCTTTCTCTTGAAAGCATGGTGACAGACCAATCAAATTTCAGATTTGTTCTGAAATACATGTCTAAATATCCTCTGAATGGTAATGATAGTTGGTCAGCGTTAGAATGTGGAATGAGTTCAGTGTAACCACTGATTCCTTGTCGTTTGTGTCCACTTTTGAAACCAATCAAAACTGATCTTCAAATAGGAAGATTCTTTGATTGGTTGAATATTTTTAAAGGAATGAGTGTAATTCTTCAATCGGCAAATCGTGAGCAAGCTTTCTTCCATTTACACTGAGTGCACCACATGTCTCTGTTTTCCATCCCATAAACTTTTCGACATTTTCTGACTTCACTTCGAGGCTTCTTGTGGGAGGAGAAAAGGTGAGATTTCGGAGATTGTGCCTGATGCTGCTGCAGACGCTCCTGAGGAGATGGTTTGGACGAACGGACAGAAGGTGACATCTGGAACGGACGTCAAAAATATATATTCACAATTTGCATTGCATATAACAACTTTTAATCAAACTGCATAAAATTCAGGTAAGAAGAGTATAAAAACATATGCAAATATATGTGTACTACGTCATCACTTTCTGTAGAACCATTTTGAAGTAATTGATAATTCCTTACCGACAACCCAGAAGATGAAGTATTGTTATTTTGCCAGGACAATGATCGTTTGATCTGCGGCATTGTTATTGGAAGAGAGCCAGACGGTGTCACCGGTTGAAATCCACCAGAGGGCACTGATGAGGCGAACATGTTGCCGACATTTTGTCTGTGTTCCTGCAACATGGAACAATATAAACATCATTTCAATTTACATCTTTTAATTGTAGATTGTGACGGCATTATACATCAAAAGATTTTTCATTTCTTTTTTAAATATGATATTTTGAAAATAGAAAACCTGAAACCAACCTTTTTCTGGTAGTCGTGATCAGGTATCGGTCGTCCGAATTCAAATCCTGTCAATTCGGGAGGTGATGACGTACACATATCGGAAAATTTCTCCGTCACATGATCCATGGTGACCTCGATTTCAGTATAGTAAAATTCTTCTTCGTGGTCAAGAAGATTACTGTCACTTTCTGACAGTCTAAAATTAGAAAACGAGACTGTATGTACCTCTTCAGGAAACAGTATGATGTCCACAATCAGAAAACGAATTTCCAAATACATCATCTGATGCTGTGTTTATATAAACGGGCCCCCAAATAATTATTCATTTTTATTTATTATTTTCTTCTTCTTTTATATAATGATTCTATTCTACCCTGTTTGGATTCGGACCTGTTGTTTGACTCATTTTATTATCAAAAAAAAAAAAAAAACCCCAAAAATTACTCTTTCCCAGAATTACCTCCTTTCCTTTCACTCTGTCGGTCCAGATAGTATTGTGATAAGCTTGACAGCCAATGGGGGCTGAGAATATAGTTACAAGGAAAAGACCAATCGACGAGTGTAGATCTTAAGTATTGAAAACTAACATAGTATCAGGATACTTACCCAAGATGTGCCGTTCGCACATGAGCCTCAATACTGGATACTGTGTCGTGAATTTTGTTGCATTTCTTCCAAGTACATTTGAACACTGTCTTTTTGTGACCCTGTAAAACAAAAAAATCACAATTTTAAGAAACTTTTAATTAGAGACCATCCTAATTATTATGTAATTATCAATAAACGACTGTGAAAAGACTTCTACGTAACTTACGTCACGTGAATCAACGTTTGTTCTCGTGTTAGGTCTGAAAGTGTGATATCTTTCATAGACTTGTTTATATTTCTAAACAATCATAAAACGACATTCACAAAACATATCAAGATATATTCAACCCGGCGTTGTTTAGCCTCTAGATCAAGTTTAACAAATCTTATGTTTGTATTTATCGATATTAGCAAAGTGGCTAGACTTGCACAAAAATATGTTCTCATATCACTTCTTTGATCCAATGGTATTGCGCTGTATTTGTTTGCGTCCCTTTATGGTATACATAAACATCGATCCCAATGTACTGAAAATCCAATAAATATTTTCAATCATGTAATTTTAATAATAATCCTTCAATGGTATTGTCAAAAGTCGAATGTACACGCGTGCCTTCTGGTGAAGTTATACTATATGATAATGATGGTCAGTTTGACAGGTCTCCGTATTTCCAACCTCTTTCTAATTTCAATTTCATATCTATAACACAAAATTCCTTACTGGCTTTTTTGCATTTTACTTGTCTACTATCAACCTTCTGAACATGTTTTGTCATGTATGGAGAGTGCCGGAAGTTTCCCCGAATGTGTCGGACATCCTCTATCTAGACTGCTCAAATTTTCATGTCGTCAGCGCCAAGATTATAAAGTGCAAGTGACGTTGCGTGCAGTGTTTTCTTAAATTTATTCTTAAAAATATTTTGAGGGTTGCTACTGTATATTTAAAATTCCATCAAATGTTGCGAAATCGATTCCTCAATGAAAACACCTCTGAGTTTGTCATGTCGAGTCCAGCGTTCCATGACAAAGGTTCGTGGATCTACATCTGTAGGGAACAACTGAAGTCTTTTTAACAAGCATAGCTCCATCCAGGTCAACGAGAACCTGTTTTTAGTGTAGATAACCATTGGTCATAAAAATCTAGTCACTGTTCCTATTAGTTAAAGCACACTAGCTCCCGGCTATCGGTCGAGGTTAAATGATGACGCCCCTCCAATACGGTCAGGGCAAGTATGTCCTTGTTTGAGTAGTAAACAATTTACCTATAATTACCAGCATACTGACCACTATGGAGAGGTGGACGTCGTGGTCAATGACATGTCAAGCCATAATGGTCAGATTTTATCGATCACTAACAATTAAGAGCGACAATAATCATGGCTATGACACATATAATGAATTTACCAATCTGGTATAACTCGAGTTAAATCGTCCGCTGAAAGACCGAGAGGTCGTAATAGTGAACGTAAAACCCGTTAATAAATAAATAAATAAATAAATGGTATAACTCAAATGGGTTTCTCTCAAATATACCGTAAACAGCAATTTTGATGGTACACCACGGGGATTACATGTTGGATTTTTCATGTTACCAAATTCTTGTCGATTACGATCGGTTACCTTAGTTACTTTCTGAATTGTTAACAGGAGGATATGCATCAAATTCTGTGTTTTTCGTGTTCAGTTTTGTATATCAATTGATTATGGAATTTATAAACTAGACATGCCATCTAAGAAATGTTTTATACACGGTAGCATAATGTAATTATACTCAAGTTTAGAGTTTAAATCGCTAAGTCTCATTCTGTTTCATGAACTTTTCCTGTCAGCTGTCTACTGTTGAAATAAATAAAGCATGTCCGCTTTTGCGATTAGATTTCATTAATTCTAATTTGATCAATTGAATTCAAATTACAACAAACCATTATTTAAAAGCATACAAAGAAATGCTGTTTAAATCTTGAAATATTAAGGTAATTCTTTTGTCACATACTATAATTCTATGCACTGTACTATGTTAAATTGTTTGTAATCTCAAATGAATGAGAAAATAAAGAATATCTATCTATCTTTCCACGTCCTACCAGTAAATCGAACCCCAGTCACTTAAGTAAAAGGCGACTGCGTTATCATTGAGCCAACCGCCGCTCAATCAATTCCAGCTATCGTCTACATGATTTGGCGGACAACTCGTCCCTTTCCACTTTTTGGTGATTTAGAGGACAACTCGACCCGTTCCAAATTTGTCTTTGATTCCACCCTTTTTCTTTGACTGTGAGGCCCCATCATATTTTTCTATGATTTTCGCCCCGTTCCAAATTTGTCTTTGATTCAGAGGATCACTTGCCCCAATCCACCTTTTTCTTTGACTGTGAAGACAACTCGCCCCACTTCATATTTTTCTATGATTTAGAAGAAAACTCGCCCCGTTCCAAATTTGTCTTTGATTCAGAGGATCACTTGCCCCAATCCACCTTTTTCTTTGACTGTGAAGACAACTCGCCCCACTTCATATTTTTCTATGATTTAGAAGAAAACTCGCCCCGTTCCAAATTTGTCTTTGATTCAGAGGATCACTTGCCCCAATCCACCTTTTTCTTTGACTGTGAAGACAACTCGCCCCACTTCATATTTTTCTATGATTTAGAAGAAAACTCGCCCCGTTCCAAATTTGTCTTTGATTCAGAGGATCACTTGCCCCAATCCACCTTTTTCTTTGACTGTGAAGACAACTCGCCCCACTTCATATTTTTCTATGATTTGGAAGAAAACTTGCCCCGTTCCAAATTTGTCTTTGATTCAGAGGATCACTCGTCCCGTTTCTCATTTTGCTATTATTTAGAGGATTTCTTTCCTACTTTTAATTTTATGAAGATAAAAAGCGATCGTCACATTTCATCTAGAGTTTTTGCCAACTCGGAAAAAAAATATCCTCGTTTTTTTATGAAAGCAATGTATTGTCAGTTACAACAGAATTTTACGTTTGATAGTCTCTCTTTATTTGGACACAACGTGCGGTTGTTTCATACAACACACCATTATGGTCTGACTCAATATCTTCAGAACAAACTACATCGCGAACATGCATTACACATAATGAGACCGTTATATACCGCATCGGCCATCTGCAATTCAATGACTCGCAGCTGGGCCATGACGAAACGGTGTATTAATATTATTCATTTCCGCTATTTTAAGAGACACGTAACATTGATTGACAGATGAACCTGGGGTCATTTCGCGGATCCTATATATGGACTAGTTTGGTGTGCCATATTATGTATATATTAACATGGAGAGTGGCACGGTTAAGGATATATAATTACCAAAGAGACACAAGTCTTATTAACTTGTTTCCGGATTTCACTTTCTTTGTTTAAATATAAAATTTGGTATGAAAAAGATATTTATATAAAATGAGCTGTTCGAAGTATATCTGTTTTAGAAGACGAAAGTAACTTATGGTTAAGTTAAAATTCATTGTTTGGCTATATATATACTGTATCTGACACTTAATCATTTATTGAAATGTGTAATTTATCTGTCACTCAAAACTAGAATTAAATTTATCATGTGAGTACAGCACCGAAGATGCGTCACGTGAATATTGCGTTGCGTACTGGCAACTAATATAACAACCATGGATCTTATTTCACGATATTTTTTATCGATTAATCTGTCAGTGTTCTGCAAATCGAACATCAATGTAACCTATACATTTTTTTTCGAAGACAGTCTCCGTTTGTTTTCGCCAATAAGAATTTTCCATAAGCTGTTCCTTTGCGGTTGACAACATCTATAAAGGTGCAAGGATATATTTTAAAGCTTTACAGACACAATACGTTATACTTGTGTCATGGTGGAGAATATTGCCGATAAAACACATCAATTCACTGTCATACACATGCGAAGCATTCATGTATCGCCAGTTTAATGTATAACGTTACCATGAATGCATATATATACAGGTAAATGTATTATGTAGATTTGGCATTTTGCCATATATAGGCCACGTACTTTTACTGTCACCAAGATAAAGTTTTCAAATTAATAATGTTTTAAATCCTGTCATATTTATGAGATATTTTTTTCTGTCTTTTGTGTAATATGTAAACCAAGGTGTAAAAGATATGTCAGGCACATTGACTAACTGGTTATCTCCCTTGGATGTGTTAACCAAAATTACGCTTACGTGTTCAAATAATGTTTAATGTGTTTCCGGTAAGCAGGATCCGACAATCGGGAAACATATCTTGTTTACGGAAAGTGATAACAGATCTAACGAAAAAAAAATCCGATAAAATTTCATTTCGAATTGATTTCCTATTGTGTTTGGATTTTGTAATATTTTTTTTCATTTCAGTATAAGAAATACGGTCTATATTTTCGTTAATTATTCTGCCATGCTACAATGAATCTTTGAATTACTTACATATAATCTTGTGTATGGTTGTCATTCACCTGTACATTATAACAGAAACCCTAATCAGTACCTGTGCAGATATTGTGTCACGAATGTTTGTTTAAAGTGTCTTAATGCGTTTAACAATGGCTTCTTAACCCAATTTTAATCCGTCTCTACGAGGAAGCACGGGAGCGAACAATGTCCAGTTATCTACTGAGTATTCTCGTGTTCAGTAATATCTTGACATGCCATACCATACAATCTAGATGACTGCCTCTGATCTCTGAAGCTTTTAATACTCAAGAGTTCAGTGACCCCCTAAGAATATCTAAGCTAAATCTAGGTCAGTGTGTAAATAGGATAGTACACTGTAGCCTACAATGTGTGGCGGGACCAGAAACGCGAAATATTTAGGACGATGTGGAGGGTTAGGGGTATTTACTAAAAAAAACAGTAAATTGTAATGTTTTGGTATTCATATTCGTTATAACTGCTGTAACAAAATAGTTCAACACTAATATTTATACCCGCTACTAGCCTTCCTGTCTTATGCTGATTACAACTTAATTTAAACTAAAATAAATATGAATTATCGATGTTGTAATCGGTCGATTTCCGAACAGCCATTTTGACGGTGAAACGACGTCATTTTTGTTGCCACAATAACGAAGTCGTAGGGCGCTTTATGTCATTTACGGTTCTATAAATCGCACTTCTCTGTGGTTACTGCGTTGGTTACTATGATTTTTTTGTTACGCTTCAAACGTGCAAAAACATCAATAGTATCAAGCTTCATTTGCATGCGTCGTACGATAGTAGGTTAGAATTCATATACTGCATACAATCAATTATGATCCGCTGAATACCACAGATACCGGATCGTGTACATATGACACGCGGAAGCGCGTTCGCACGCGGTGCACGCCTGACTTCATTCATTGGCCATGTAACAAGAAGTATCACATGTTTTTATGACGCAATAAGTCACAAACGCACTCGTGTATGTAGTAATATATGTACTTGTTAATATCCGTAAACACGTTTTATTTATAAGGAACACATGCGTGCATGACAATATGCATACGTCTGTATAACTGTACACTACGCACATGTTGTCCTAAATAATGGACATGCGCATGTGAAATCTTATGTTATATAACCATAGATAATATTTACATGGAAGGTGGGGGGGGGAGGATCCAGGTTACTAAGTAACGGTCTGGGTGTCGGTCATCTGTGTAGCATTATCCCTAGCCTAATGACGGCACCTCCTACACGTTAAGTCTTGCGGAGGTGTGAATCTATCACAATGTTGGTCACTCGAAGGGACGGGTCTGGTCACTTATGTTATACAACTTAACTTTGTCGTGTCGGCTCTAACATTCCCTGTCCGTAGTCATCGTAGCCAGGTTGCAATAATTGAGTTAATTTGTTTCTGAAAGCGTTCTTGAAACTGTTTCGGAGCTTTAAAACTTTTAATGTTACCGGCAAATAGATCTATGTATACAATGTTCCCGGCAAATAGATCTAGGTATACAATGTTCCCGGCAAATAGATCTATGTATACAATGTTCCCGGCAAATAGATCTAGGTATACAATGTTCCCGGTAAATAGATCTAGGTATACAATGTTCCCGGCAAACAGATTAAGGTATACAATGTTCCCGGCAAATAGAGGTAGGTATACAATGTTCCCGGCAAATAGATCTAGATATACAATGTTCCCGGCAAATAGATCTAGGTATACAATGTTCCCGGCAAATAGAGCTAGGCATACAATGTTCCCGTCAAATAGACCGGGAAATAGATCTAGGTATACAATGTTCCCGGCAATTAGGTATACAATGTTCCCGGCAAATAGATCTAGGTATACAATGTTCCCGGCAAACAGATATAGGTATACAATGTTCCCGGCAAACAGATTTAGGTACACTCCCTGTTATAGTACTTCATCTAATTATTTTAATTCATCGATGTACAAGAACTGAAAATATCAGTGGCGATGCGATCCGTATAATAAGTTGTAAAATTATTTTCTGGACAGTGGCAGTGACGATCCGTGACATATGTGGTGTCCGGAGAGGTCAGTTACACCACTGACCGACAACTGACCCAATGTGGAAACTTGCCAGCCAAAATAACGGACAGGTAACTTCCCACAGGTATTTCATTAACGGAACTGTCATTAGTACTTGGGCACCTCTTTTATCGACTCCTTGTAAATAACACACACATGTCCATATATGGTGGATACAATGTAACAATCTATCAGATCCCTATGCGGTGAGATATATACACTGGGACCTGAGAACTTGGTCTTGTGGTCCGACCGTGGTTTGGGAATTCGTGCCAAATCCCTGTGGTTGTATAATGTAATCTCCTTCGCCATCCTTCTCATCCAAACCGTCAGCCAAAACAGGATCCGGAATAGGTTGTGTTATTCAAAGCGACTCTTAGCACACAATGTGTTTTATAATATAATGTAAATACCACGTCCGCAAATAAAGGAAAGAATGTTGCAAACAAGCGTTGCACTGAGTTACACAAAATACAAAGGGTGGTTTTCAATAACTGGAACAGCGTAAACAATCGGTAGCTAATACACATTCTTGATTGTTAGCGCTATAAATAGACGCTTTGACAAGCTATCACGTGGTCGCAATGATTGATCTTTACGGGCAATGAACTTGACTCGGGTCAATTTGCCAACGTCACCGGCTTAGAAACAACAGTACTGAGCACGTGAAATTCTCCTTTACGCTGATTTCAAATTTCCAGTAGTCATGAATTATAAAACAAATTGGAATTTTTAAAAGTAAGTCGCCTTTGGACAGTGTGTGTTTACCTACATTTTTACCACTGTTTAGAATATTTAGTGCTAGCGGTTAAATAACGTCAGCATGACCTGCGCTATAAATAGACACATCAGCTAGCGATCAGCTGTTGGAAGTAGGTCACGACAGAATGTATATATCTAATACCCACAGGAGTGTAATAAGCATAAACAAATTAGTATACATACACCTGCATTCTAACTTACCTGTACAAACCAGTACTTTTCAACCATGACTATTGAATATGGCTTATTATTCAGCACAGATTACATGTATAACAACTTTGTCTACCGTCTTTTAAGGTCGATGTTCTGTTTATTTTGATACGGAGGTTCAAAGTCTACTCTTTGTTTTGAATCTATTGTTCAGATGTACACTATAGCTACAGGCTGTTTTTGGCGTCTATTTTGACCTCTATCACTAATGTGTATTATAAAACTACACATTGTTAAAATATTTCCAGATTTGATTTAGAAAGAATTCAGTTCTATGTCCAAAATAACGTTATGTCCGTCCTTAATAAAATGTCTGGTTTAGAAGACATAAAGGTCATAATCTTTGTCATCATCGCTTACTTGAATTTTTTTTTTATTTCTCACAATACTGAACGCGGTGTGGACTCTTAGTCCGAGACCGATGAACTTGTCTGTCCGACCGTCCGAAAGTCTAAGTACGGGCAGGTTTTTTTCCAGCACATAAACAAAGGAATGTTTACCTGTGGACGTATACATTTTTATGTCTATCTACGTAGCAACAAATTAGTTTCTATTCCGCCTCTGAGCAACGAACCCGGTGGATGTTTACAGAATCTCCGAAATCTGCTTACCATGCAGTACATACAACACTCTGGTAACTGTACGCTCTCAGTGGGCTTTACTATAATATGATGACACAGCGGAATCTATTCCGGCTAATACACAACATAGCTTCCTCTCGATGTATGTCATTATGATCACTTATCAAACTGTTAAAATGCAAATTTATCATCGCCAGCAGTTCGTAACTAATAAATGTAGACGTCACAGATGCTCAGGTCACCTGTTATAACAGATCGCGTATTTAAAAAAAATTTCAAAACCTGCTGATGTATATGATTACAAGATCAATTTATTTTAATGGAAATATGGTTTTACCCTTGAACAAAAAAAAAAAAAAAAAACTAGTAAGGCCTACCTCGTATCCATGACTTTCAACCCTCTTTCTTTTCGGTTCCATATTTTCCACATCGTCATATTCATCGTCGTTTTCTTCCAGCACAACACCGTCATCTTTCGGATAGGATCCAAAAAACCAGCTCCCTGACGCTGCCGGAGCGCTTTCGCTGAGATTGCTGGAGAGGGGAGGGGAGGGGTCACTCCTTTCAGAATGGAATCCACTACTTGCCACACTGCTGGACAAGGGAGCGGGGCTCTTGTTGGTCAGATCTTGCAATCATAAACGTTGTACAACGTGGTCAGTTTTATATTTTCATTTCAAAGCAAACCTTTCGACCAACCAATTGGTAAGAACTAATACATATATATAAAAGGATACATTTCTCTGTTTACTGAAGAAGATACATGAAATTGCTTGCAAGTCATGTAGATATTATATATATATAAATCATTGAACTTTAAACAATACAGCCGAATTTGTTTACAAATGGGACATATTTACAAGATAATAATATAAAAATATTTATGTATTTAATAAAATAAAACACCTGTTAATTGTGACATCTGAAATTTGGGAGATTGTGGGCTACAAGACAGGCTCGTGAGAACCATTGCCGCTATCGTCTCATCCATCATCTCTACGTCATTTTCTTCTGTTTGAACGTTGTCTTTTTCCTCGTCGTCAATACTTGGTCGACGATAACGCCTGGATAAGAAAACAAGAATTGTCTTAAAGAATTCAGTGGTACAGATAGAGGGTCCGTTAATCGTATGTTAGGCCGATGGCCGGCTCAGCCGCTATCACGTGCCTAATTACCTTGGATTAATAACTGGTCCAGACCGGCATACTGACCCCAAACCGTTGGGTTTTAGTCAAAGGTTCAGTTTTATCCTACCAAAGTCTAATCGTCTATGACCTTTTATGCACTGTTCAGTGACAGGAAAACGTATTTTAAGCAATAAATTATACTCGGATCCTAATCGATTGTGACGTCACATAGTTATGAACTGCGTGGTGACGTCAATATCATTTTAACTTTTTATTGATAATCTCGGAATTCAGTGAGGTTTCTACCATTAGACCTACTGTTCATTACATATAGTTAGAAGTGTGCTACCGGACAGTAACCGACTACTGAAGTACATGTATTTTCTTCTTACTCGCTCACTTCCAAGCAACCGCAATCTCGGTATTTGATTCAATGTGTAAATAACACACAAAATGAAAGCGTTACTCCCCAATCCACACACTCTCTCTCACTCCCATATAAATCATAGAAACAAAATGTGATATAGACACGTCGGAGTGTCTGAAACGACACTTGAAATGAAACCGATTTAAATCACAATGTTGAATAACGATCAATTTCATTCAATCAGCTATTGTCAGAGGTTAAAGGTCAAGCTGACAATTAACTTCAAATGAGCATAATACAAAAATTGATTAAAGAGTCGTACATACATGTATACAGGTTAACTAATAAGGTCACAAGTCCAAACCTGTTGGCCGAAAGAGTTAAGACAACTTCAGTACAAGACATTAGCTACAACACCATATCATATGCCTTTCCAGTACTCCATAATCACTCATAAACAACAGTATTTTGATCTAACCATCTTACCGTCTAGTAAGGCGAGTCAAACTGTATACCGTTCGGATGTGACGTACAATTTTCTTTTTTCTCTTCCTCGAGTATATTTTCCCGTCATTTTCATTAGAATGATGGTTTGTTTGACAAAAACGACATTCCCGGCAACCAAGATACATGTTCCGTTTGTACTTTTCGTGGTATCCAAAAATTCAAGAACTATATTTCACCGATAATATTTCAATACTTCCTGGAAATAACGTTTCCCACTTTTTTTTAAATTAGGAAATTTGAAAATGTGTATTTTCTCTATACTGACTAATCACTCACAAAGTACGTATGTGCGCTGTTAGTACAATTTGATCACTAGGGAAGTACGTGCCGGCCGGTGTCTATTTATAGTACCGATGTAACTAACCGGCCAGAGGTTTCACCATACACCGTAACTTATGTCATTGATTTTACCTGGATATTCACGTGTATATAAATACAGGTAAAAGGCCTTTGAAGAGGAGTGCAATAACATGATATATATAATAAATATGCAATATAAATGACAGTTAAATGGAAAGTAGGGTTATCCATCTATAGATTTTAAAATAAAGATTTTTAGAAAAGTTTATAAATAGTGACTTACTGTGACTTGGACGGGACATCTATGACGTGAGATACAGTTCTTTTTTTGTCTCCCTGCACATTTAAATCTGCAAGTTTTGAATAATCAGTCGCCTGGTCCACCAATCTCGCCGATTTCCTACTTTCCATCAGACGGAGATCATCAATTTTCCGGATAAGCTCAATCCCGTCCCCGCTCTGTGTTGGAACAATGATGATGACCTCGTCCTGTGTACGATTATGTTCAGCTACAGAGCCCTGTACCTCCCGCCCGTTTAACGTCAGATACACTTTTTGGCCGTGCTTCAGCGTGATGGACGAGATGTTGCTAAATCCTGGTCCCACAATGTCACTCACGTTAACTTCCCTCTGGAAACCGTCATCAAATCGGACTGTATACTTTGGCTCTCTGTGTAAATCCCCTTCAGCTGGGTGATTCTGAATGGTGCCAGGGTAATATCGGCCATCTTGCCAAGCGGCACAAATTTTTGTGCCTATAATTGAGCGTTTTGCCAGTCGCCGATTTCCAAACATCTTGATTAAGTCACATCAAGAACATCCAGAGATAAAGTTCACAAAGTTTCACATCAAACTGTTAAGTAATTATACTACATAAGCTCCACAAAAATCAGCTGGTCGACGTAAACATATGCCGGTATATTGCGCCGGTTTGTTTTGGTGCTAGGGTAGGCGGAGCTAATTTTCCGGTATCAACAAAACCTCGTGATTGCTATCACTGCATTCATTGGCTAGTGGTGACACACCTCCGTGTTTCCATTTGCTGACGGAGTTTTCTGCCAAGGTCACGGTCGGTGATATTTTTGACAATTTATGGATCACACCAAATAGATCAACTTTTTGATATTTTCATGTATACAAATCTCTTAAGTATGTTTCGAAACATCAAAATCTTCAAACGCCGATAAAAAATCACGTCTAAATCACAGAGATTTGATAAAAATATTCGCTGTTGACTGCGAGGCGAATCTGTCAATCAAAAAAGTTGCATCACAATGTTTATGGAGAGTGTGACTTAGATATGTCCACCCTTCAATAAACGGATAGCATTAAGTCATCTTAATTATTTAGCCTTCTTATGACTATCTTCATTTACTATCCACTGAAATAATTTATAAATTAAACATGATGATCATGTAACTTACTTGCTTTTCCACAATCAATCTAGAAATATGCCAGTAAATGTATACTGCTAAGGGGGTATTGATAGTAAATGGAACAGCAATTGTTTATATCGCCCTAAATGCGGTTGCCCACGTGACAACTGTCAAACTCAGAGAATGTAAGCAAATCCCACAATGCATTTATACAAAATGGCAGCCTCCAGTAACAGGTGCTCGTTGTCGGCTTCAAACGTTTTAAACTTTATTTTTACGTTGATGATTGTATATTTCAGCTTAGAAAATGTTGCTTCAGTTGCCGATGAGATAACAGGTATAAACAGTCAGAATTGTCATGATCACAATTTACATGTAATGATCTAAATATATCAAGGAATTACACGATAACCAGTTGACACCTTGCCGTGCAAACCACAGTTGCCTGTGGTGCAAACCAGTAACATGCGTATCATAAGTGTTGACTGAAAAACATTTTGTAGCCTCCAAGCTGCGACATTATTTTTTTTCTGTTTCCGTTAAAAAGTATGAATACAAATAACGAGGTAGATTCATTGTTGAAATGGAAATAGATCTACTTGGTTGAAACACAAATAATAGTATTATCTGTCAACGCACTCATGAACTAAATATTTTAGTCTATTGTAGTATATTGCTAGACAAAGCAAGTACCTGTGGTCGATATACTTCAGTTGCAATCTGTAATGCAACTCAGGACTTTGATGTGTTTTTTCCTTATTTGCGAATATGAATAACCATAGTCATACACTTGTTTCCTTACTTCCAACAAACAGGAAAAAGAAGAAAAAAGAAAAAACGTCAAGAATTCAAATATCACTTGCTCTATCTGTATATAGGCATAGTGTTGTATCAATATAAAGCAGCTGTGATTCAGGTTCAAAATGTTGAAGTTTCCCTGATCCTTTATAATCTGTGCTATAACCATGTTCGACCCATTCAGTGCCTATATTCTTATAAGCGCCCTTCACAATCAAGATGAAGAATGGGGTTATATTTGTTGTGAACGAATCTGATCTGGTCATAAAATAGTGTTATTATGGTCTTATCCGATTAAAAAAAATATTTGTAAAGCCCCTGGACTCTTGATAGGTAGAATATGGTAAGTGATAAGTCTATGTTAAAAAAAATACATAATTTTTTATTAAGGATGCATAATGTTGTGATGGCCAAAATTTCTAAAATTTAATTGGTGATGAGTTTTTGAAAGGTTGATTTTCAAAAAGTAATTTTAAAGGCAAAAAAAAAATCAGTACATATGTTGCTTCATTCTTTTTCCAATAAGAGCATCAATATATGTTTAACATATTATTCTGTTTTTTACCTGAATAGCAAACATGCTTTCTTATTTTTGAGATAACCAAAAAATAAAAAAAATTAGAAATAACTTTTAATATACTCCTGAGATATTTTGACCAGATGTAAGACATAATTCAAAATATAATGAATTCTAAAAGACTATCTAGGACTATTGTCTTTTTAGGTCACCTGAAACAAAGTCTCGGGCTGACTCATTGTAATCTCCTTTTGTTCTGCATCATGCAATGTGCATCGTAAACTTTTAAAATTTTCAACTTCTGCTGGAAAACTTACGAAGCAATTTCAATGAAATTTCACAAAAACCTTCCATGGCTATAGGCGCACCAAAATTCTAAATTAAATGGTCCTCAACCCCAAGGGGCCTGAAGGCAGGGCCAAAAATGGGTCAACTTGACTGAAATTTCAGAAATCTTCCTCTCAAATTCCAGGTTTAGTGGAATCAAGTACTCCTCATGGATTGAAAGGCCTTCAGATGCTTTACCCAAAATTGTAAATTTCATGACCCCAAGGTCTTGTATTTCCCCCAGGGGAGGAGCAAAGTTTACTATAGTTTATATAGGAAAATCACATTTTTGAATATCATTTGTTTATTTTTCATCGGAAAAAGTTCAAACCTGATTAGAATTATTACTTTAGGATGACAGTTTAATGAGACACACATAGTTAACCTTTATCAATTTCTTCTGAAGCACAAATGATTCAACTGACTCCTTTGGGACAGAGGGTTGGGGTGAAATGGGAAAATAAATATGTTGTATGTTGTGTCCTTTTGTTTGATGAAAAATTATAGCCAAGCAAAGCCAGGTTGCTCTGCCTATTCCTTCGGTCCAATTTCTGTAAAAACAAACCAACGTTTATCTCTACTTATTTCACATTCAGATTTCCTGCTGTGTCGGAAGTGTGGACATGAAGTTGTTCGAGCTACACATTTGATCAACATTCCAAGCAAGTTGTCACTCAGACAAAGAAATTCTACTCTTGGAGGTGTTCCAGGAATTCTTATTCAAAGGTTTAGAAATCCACATGGTAAGATAGAGCACCAGGTCATATTCTCCTTGTACATTTTCAGGAGTCTCTGTGTAAATCTTTCTTTTGTTCATATTTTGCCCTAGTTTTATTAAATTTGAGATTGGATTAGGATAATTTTGACATTTTGGTATTTTCTTGTTTTTTTTTTTTATATAATTTATTGAAGTGTAAACTGTTAGTATTACATATGTTATAAGTGGAAAAAATTCACTTTCAGTTTTGAATTATAACCCAGATTTTTTTTTCTATTAGAACTTTTTCAGGCTTATGTCCTCCATTGTTTGGGTAGCTTTGGATGATGTGGTGATGTAGTCTGCTGAAATGCCATAATAACAGATGTAAACCCTGTGTAAATAGATAAATAAAGTTTCAGGCATCACAGCAAATTGAAATCATGAAAGATAATTTTCTGATTGATTTTAACAATCACCTGTAAATAATGATATGATACAAAGGCCTGCTGATAGAAATTACTGTCATTTTAACTTCTTATATAAAAAAATGTAAGACATCATTTAGAAAGCTAATTTATAATCATTTTTAGCTCATCTGGACTGAAGGATCATACCGTTTTTGCTTTTTGCTCAAATATGGTCTGAAGCATTCTTGAATGAAGAGGAATCAATTTTGTATAAGTGGTGGGTCTCTATGCCATTGAGCAGGAGGGGGCAGGACCATTTATATGGGAAATAGAACAAATTCTTCAAAATCCCTCTATTTAAAATCCTTCTGTAGGAAAATGAGGATTCTGTCTCAATATTTGGTCTGAGGCATATATGGTTTTGCTGACCCCACTAGGACCGAGGGTTGGGGCACAATGGGAAATATATATGTGTGTGGTGTGCTTGGATATTTAGAATTCTTTTAGTTTTGATGAAGCAATTTCAGCTAATCAAGGTCAGGTGAGCAATACAGGCCCAATGGGCCTCATGTTTTAGCGGCAAGGGAGATGGGGGGGCTATAGTTTTACTCCTTATCTGTCTGTCTGTCCGAGCATCTGACCCTGTGTCGGTCAAAGTTTGATAGGACTCTAGTAGCTTTATTCCTTCAGTGATTCTCATGAAATTTCACACACCTATTAAGTATAGAAATATCTTTGAGTCGTAAGGTCAAGGTCACTGCTATTAGTGTTGGAAAATCATTATCTAATGGCATTAATTGTATGCTTTCTTTTTTTTCAAATGAACACTAAATATCACCATATTTATAAATCATTACAGTGGAGGTAATAGTTTGTGGAGGCTGTTAGGGAACATTTAATGCTGTGGCAATTCTCAGTGTGCTTGTTTTTCAGGTATGAATTTCGAAATTATAACAGCAGGCAAAGCAGATGTTTTAGAAGATGTACAAGTAAGTCTGAAGGAAGAATGTATATCTGGATACTTTAATTTCCTTCCAGTCTAACAGGAAAGTCAGAAGAGGGAAATATATAATGTCATGTTTTCTTGTGAATACTTGTTCACCAAAAGTGTAAGTCACAAAATAGCAAAACTTTGTAGACATGTTGAGATACGATGTTAAGATATTTTTAACATACTGTAATCTAAACCGTAGCCAACATTTCATTTTGATACTGATGCCATGAAATCACCAGCACTTGGTCCTGGCCATCACTCTGTAATGGCTTTATTCTGTGTTAATTTGATTTTGGCTGATCTTGGGTATGATGGATGGAGATACTTTTTTACTGAGATTTTCTCTGTGGTTGCATAATCAAAAGTGCAGATAAAAAAAGTTATATTTGGTTCAGGTTGACTATGAGTCAGAGTTATGATCCTTGGAATTTGTATGTACATGCAGTTCAAAACTTATTATTTGTGCCTTGTTAGCTATTAATTGACCTTGGCATTTAGCTTTGTTTAACCCAGACAAGTCAGTGTACACCTTTAAAAACCAACATCAAAAAAGTGCGTTCATACATGTATAGTTTTCTCAGCAATGGTTTCTTACACACAACATCACTACATACTGCTTTACGTAGCATTATAGGGACGAGGGATGTGTCGATGTGTGACAGTGAGTACATGAGTGAAGCATAATTCTCAAACTTTAAAGATATTCAAGGGGAGGACAATCATTTAATTGACATCATGTAGTTTAAAATTTGGTTTTGTTGATAAATGATGATGTATGGACAATGATTTTGTTATGGATGATGATGATGATGATGATGGTGGTGGTGGTGGTGGTGGTGGTGATGATGATGATGATGATGATGGTGGTGGTGGTGGTGGTGGTGGTGATGATGATGATGATGGTGGTGGTGGTGGTGGTGGCGGTGATGATGATGATGATGATGATGGTGGTGGTGGTGGTGGTGGTGGTGGTGGCGGCGTCGTCGTCGGTGTCGTCGTCGTTGTCGTCGTCAGTGAATGTTAGAGCATGTAAATGTGATTTTATGTCATCAAATTTACCATATAAAGTCTTTCAAAAATGAAAAAAAAAATAAAAAAACAAATTACACATTTTTCTCCAAGGGCCATTCTGTTTTGCATTGCCTCGTTATTTTTTTTTCATATCTGAATGATGTGAAATTTTACCTTTAATACCACTTAAAATGATGGCTATTGTTTTGCTTTGTTATACAGAAATACAGTGATGACACATGGTTTCCTAACTACAGCTGGTGGATAATTACATGTCCTCATTGTGGTCAACACATAGGATGGTGAGTGTAAAATTACATTGATTTATACAATAAATACCCTGCAGTATGCCTTCTGGGGCTGGGCTTGCATATTATCTCCTCTTCGAAGTCTCCTGGATGTCTTATCTATGACTGAACTTTGTTATTGATTTTCTTATTCAAAGACTTGTGGTTGGCTTATTTGTAACTGGACATTGTTGTTCAGATCTTATTCAAAGTCTCAAGATTGGCTTATTCATAACTGGACATTATTGTTCAAAGTCCCGGTTTAGGTTTATTTTTGACCGGACAATTTATTCAAAGTCTCTGTATGGGCTTATTTTTTTCACATTTTTATTCAAATTATAATGATAGTGATATCAGTCCTTTTGTCTATCCCACCAACAATACTATTATTTCTAAAAGTTATCACAGAAATCAAACTCAACTAATATACACAGTATTATGTAGGTGTCAGATGATAACAAAAAATTTTGAGGTCAAAGCTGCTTATTGCTTAAAGTACATTGTGATGCCTCCTTTTTGACTCACAAGAGTTCGTATTGGTGATAAAAGGTATTCTTTGATGAAGATGACCAGTTCAGTGAGTCAGTAATTCTTTATTAATCACTTATTAATTCTATATGGTTATATGATTTTTATAATTTACAATTTTGAGTTACAGGAATGTTTAGTTTAAGTCAAGGTCATTGTTACTATTTTTAGAAAATCATTATCAGAGCTCTGGTGGCTTCATTCCTTGAGGGATTCTCATCAAGGGATATGAATGGGCCAGAAAGGGACATGAACTTTTATTGTGCTCCCAGAAGGGAGAGCATATAGTTGCCACTTTGTCAGCCATTTGTCAGTCCATCATAATTTTGTCCGGAGCATAACACAAAAACTATAAGAGGTATCAACATAAAACTTCATGGGTAGTTAGATCTCAACAAGAAGACGTGCAGTGCACAAGAACCATAACTCTATTTGCACAATTAAGGAGTTATTGCCCTTTGTTATTTTTCACACTAAAATTTTGTCTGGAGCATTACTCTTAAACTATATGAGGTATCAACATGAAACTTCATAGATTGATAGATCTCAACGAGAAGGAGAGCAGTGCACAAGAATCATAACTCTCTTATTGCCCTGTTATTTTACATACAATTTTCATAAATTTTGTCTCATTCGGTGAGCATTACCGGTCTCTGAAAGCCCTTGTTGCTTTAGCAATACTCAGTATGCATGTTTGCTGTAAAAAGTACTCCACAGATATCTATTTTTTCCTTCAGTATTTTTTCATAATATCTTGATGCAGATATCCCATGTAACTTTGGTAGGTAAAATTATCTGAAAATTCTGCTGTTAGGAGTAGGTCTTCTCTTTAATGCATAAGATTGGTAAGTCTGAGGTCCTGTGTTTGAACTCTTGCTCTGATGTTAAAATCAAAAGATTTTGTTTCATTTTTGATGATGTAGGGACTTAGGAATTCTATATACTTTGTGTGACTGTAACTGGTATGACTGGGAGTATGTAACCCTGGTAAAATACTGGCTGCAAAATATGGATATGGTGAGGAGGTGTGTTTTGTATCAAAAGTAGGTCACTCTGACCTTCATTTTGACCTTCGACTTACATCAAATAAAAAGTTTGTCCAGGTTCTACCCTCTATACAACTTGTCACATGAACTTTGTACCTAGGGTATTAGTTCATCTTGGTGAAGAAGTCTGACATGTAATACAACTAAGTCACTTCGACCTGCATTTTGACCTTTGACTTACATCAAATGAAAAGGTTTTCCTAGCTAACATCTCCCTCACTTCTAGTCAATGGATCTTCATAATTGGGTTATGGATTTTCTTTGATAAGACAATTGTGTCTTATGACAAATGTGGGTCAGCATTTTGACTTTGACATCGACCTTCATCAAAGAAAAAGTTTGTCCAGGTTCTATCTCCTCCTGTAACACTGCTAGTGACTAGGACATCTAACTACAAGCATGAGTTCACTTGCAGTGCATTTTGTCATATACATAATGTAATTTCACTGGGGGAAAGTACTTTCTCTACCCTCTTGATGGTATTGTTTTGTTCTTATATAGAGATAATATTAAGTGATTAAGACAAATGGTGAACAAGGATATGTATTCCTGATCAAAAGATCACAAGAAATTTCTTTCTTCTGTTTCAGGACATACAGAATAAATTCTCAGGGAACATCAACAGATACCAGACCAGACCAGTTCTATGGCCTTGTATTAGAAAATTTACTGGATTTAAAAGGTAGGTCCTCTATCTGATACAAACAGGTATTGAGATATTTCTCTCAGTATGGGGAGATTCCTATCGGATTGGGGAGGTTTCTATCAGTGTAGGGATATTGCAAGCAGTATGGGGAGATTCCTATCTGTATGGGAAGATTTGTCTCTGTATGGGGATACAGCTAGCAGTATGTGAAGATTCCTATCTGTATGGGAAGATTTGTCTCTGTATGGGGATACAGCTAGCAGTATGGGGAGATTCCTATCCAGGGCTCTCGATCTGCCAGATTTGGGGCAGATATTTGGCCCCATTCCCAAAGCAAAATAGTATCTTTTTTTCCCAATTTAGACCCCAAGTTTTTCCAATTCTAAGGAAAACACCATTATTTTTCCCAATTCAAAGGGCCCCGAGCCCCAGTCCCAAAATGGGGTGTGAGAGCTCTGCTATCAGTATGGGAAGATTTTTCTCTGTACAGGGATATTAATAGCAGTGTGGGGAGATTCCTATCAGATTGCGGAGGTTTCTTTCAGTATAGGGATATTACAAACAGTATGGGGAGATTCCTATCAGTATGGGGAGGTTTGTCTCTGAATGGGGAGATTCCTCTCAGTATTGGAAGATTTGTCTCTGTATGGGGAGATTCCTATCAGTATGGGAAGATTTGTCTCTGTATGGGGAGATTCCTATCAGTATGGGGAGATTTGTCTCTGAATGGGGAGATTCCTCTCAGTATTGGAAGATTTTTCTCTGTATGGGGAGATTCCTATCAGTATGGGGAGATTCCTATCACTGTGGGAAGATTTTTCTCTGTATTGGGATATTGCTATCAGAATGGGGAGATTTGTCTCTGTACAAGGATATTAATAGCAGTATGAGGAGATTTGTCTCTATATGGGGAGATTCCTATCAGAATGGGGAGATTTGTCTCTGTACTGGGATATTGCTAGCAGGATGGGGAGACTCATATCACTGTGGGAAGATTTGTCTCTGTACTGTGGAGATTACTATCAGTATGGGGAGATTTGTCTCTGTACTGGGATATTGCTAGCAGGATGGGGAGATTCCATCAGAATGGGGAGATTTGTCTCTGTACTGGGATATTGCTAGCAGGATGGGGAAATTCCTATCAGTATGGGAAGAGTTGTCCCTGTACAGGGTTATTGCTAGCAGTATGGGGAGATTCCTATCAGTATAGGAAGGTTCGTCTCTGTATGGGGATACAGCTAGCAGTATGGGGAAATTCCTATCAGTATGGGAAGGTTCTTCTCTGTGTGGGGATACAGCTAGCAGTATGGGGAGATTCCTATCAGTATGGGAAGGTTCATCTCTGTATGGGGATACAGCTAGCAGTATGGGGAAATTCCTATCAGTATTGGAAGAGTTGTCCCTGTACAGGGTTATTGCTAGCAGTATGGGGAGATTCCATCAGAATGGGGAGATTCAATTATGTATGGGAGATTTCAACAGGTTTAGGGGTTTCCTACATGTTAGGAGGGATTCCAAAATATGTAAAAGATTCATTCAAGTACAGAAAGACAATATTAAGAGATTCATGCAGAAAATAAACCATAGTTTCATAAATGGCTGTATTGCAGTTTCCCATGGTTTATACTCTGTGTATAATGCATGGTGATATGATATGCATGGTCCATTGAGAGTCATTCTTTATTTTGCTTGTTGCTTTATTTAAGATTTCTGTAATGTCTGGTGTATTATTGTTAGAATGATAATAAATTGATTTTTATACCAGTAGTAAGCTAATATTTTCCATATTTCAGAAGCGGAATCATTAATTCACTTTCCCAAAGCCTATGGCTTCTAATGGTAACTCTGTGCCACTGGCCTCATACTATGCAGCACACAAAGATTCTACACACAACTCAACTGTGATAACTTAAATCTGTGGAGAGACTTTCTCCGAAAATTTCTAATCTGACCATTCCCTAATCTGATCTGTTAGGCAACTACAATTAACCTTCAAGTACTTCTGAATATAAGTTTTCTTCAAGGCCATGTGAGCTTATTCCATGGAGCAGTGTCCATTGTCCTTCCCTCGTCAGTTGTCTGTCCATCTGGCATCAACTTTTCCATTTAAATGACTCCTTCTCAATATCCAACAGACCATATGTCATGGTATTTGGCTGGTGGGTTGCTTGAATAAATCTGGACAATATCTTCAAAAAGAAATGACCTTGACCTTTATTCAAGGTCACAGTGGTTGAATTTGTTAAAACTTCTAAACAACTGCTTCTGACTAACCAAAAGGCATAGAAGCATTGGTTGCTAGGTTCCTAAAATGAATCCTGACAATTTTACAAAAGAATTGATCTTGACCCTTATTCAAGGTCACAAGGGTGAAATTTCTTAAAACCATAAAAGAGCTTCTTCAGACTAACTAAAAAACCCAAAAGCATACTTGGCTGATAGGTCTCTGGGATGAAGCCCATCTAAGTTTGCAAGAAAGAAATGACCTTTAACTATTTTCAAGGTCACATGGGTCAAATTGTCAAAATCAGTAAAAATAACTTCTGGTAAACCAAAAGTCTGAGAAGCAGGATGTTTTTGGTCCAAGTCTGACAAATTTTGACAAAAAAATAAATCTAGATTACCTATAATCCTGCTCATAACTATGACTGTATAGAGTTAAGAATTAAAAGCAGTTTGTTGTGGAAATGGATTGGATATGCCTATTTGAATGTAAATGGTGTATGTGTTAATGTATTTGTGATAGATACTAATTCTATTTTTAATGAACATTGAATACCAGTGAGTAATACAGGTCCATTGGGCCTCTTGTTTTTTGTAATGGTTCAAATTTTTATAGTTTCAAAAAAAAAGCTTGAAGTAAAGGGGATGTATTTTGGTTTTGCAGTAGCATCTAAAGGTCTTTGGTTTCTCTTCTAATTAAATATAAGTAACTCAGAAATGGGTTTTTAGATGAGATTATTAATCTACGGATACTGATGTAAATATATACAAATAGCATTTATCGTGTATGATATCAATATAATAATACACTTAGGTATTTTCTTAAGGTTGCCAAATCTATGATGTTAGTAGTATTTCATATAGAATGACTGATTCAAACCTGAGATGTCAAGTTTAACTGCCAATTCTCAGTTACCTTCATCTGACATATGACCATTAAAGTAAAAGTTCACTGATATGTGTCACATGTTTTGGATGATATTCAAATCAACAGGCTAATTTTTCTTCTCTTTAAGCAAAGATGTGACAATCGAATTGAAGTAGGTAAGTATGTAAAAGATTGATTTAGCAATAGAGAGAGCAATCTGTTCAACAACTTGGTGAAAGAAATTGATCCATCTTGATACTCTTAAGTGAATCAGATTAAAATAGTGAGGAGCGGGGTCATAGATGCAATGCATATCTAATATAGATATTTCCAATGCACACTCTTAGTTGTAGACTTGTGCTGATCATTTTGAATATGATGAGTACTTTCTTTATCATTTGAACTGTATCATAAAATGGTCACTGAAATGTCCTACATTAGTCGTGCAAACACTATCATAATGTATACCGATGCATAACACACTGTATTTATACACTCTCTGTTTTTCCTTTCATTTTTTGACTCTTTCTTTTTAAAACCAATTATAGATACTGGATATACAAAATGCAAAACTTTACATGTAAGTGTTTGGTTTTATTTATTTTCTGTTTTTATTCAAATGAGGGTTTCAGAAATTTACACAGTGACTGGGCTAAAAGATGCTGTGAGGTGTTTAACTGGTAAATTGTTAACAATTTAGTGAGGTAGACTATATTAGATCCCTGCCATGAAATGGCAAATAGGAAATATTTTGAACTTATTGTTTGTTTGTTATGCTGTTCAGATCCACACTTGTAAAGTGGATATAAAGATATATATATGTATAAAAATCACTCTCCAGTGTTGTTCAGTTCAGAATCTGGACATTACTGGAGTGTACTGGAAATAGTTAATGAATCACTGCCTGTTTATTTGTAAAAATGTTATTTACATGAAATAGAATATACCAAGTCTGTGGACACATATATAACATTTGCTCAAGTCATTGTTTGTATAAATTGTTCCGAGTTCTGTACAGATCACGTTTTGATGCATTTTACGGAAATAAATTTGTTGTTAAAAACCAAGGGGTCAAATTGTTGACCTCATCACTGCCACCAAGTATACTTTATAGATTTAATTATTGCTAGACAAGAAATGTAAAGTTGATAATGTGTACCTCAGGTATACACACCATGGTGTTCCATAAATTGATGATTTAATGTCATAATGAGATGATTTTGTGTGATGTGTAGCTCCTGACATCCAAATGTACATAGAACTAATTATACAATTAAAGATTGCCAAAGTCTTCATGGATGACATTGAAAAGGAGGTTTCTCACTGAAGTTTCAAACATCCTTGATTAAGTTAAAAAAAAAATAAGATCTCAGATTCATATATATCCATTGTATAATCAAGGTTGTCTCCAGAGAGACACTGATTTGGACTTGTTAAATATCTTACCTATATTTACATATGGTATAGATATATGTGTAAAACTGTATATATTTTATGTAAACCTACAGATATTTGTTGTATTTTAACTAACATGTGAAGATGCCTTGAAATTTATGTACAACTGCAGTTGTCTCCCTTTGGACTGTAATGTGTTTTTATATATGTGCCATGTTTGACACGTCTTTAAGACCATCATGCTGTTATTGTATTTTCATTAGGTTTGATTCTCAATCCTGAATGGTGTATATTGATGCTGTTTTGGTGGTTTAATGTATGTGTTTTTCTAAAGATAAGCTTTTAATTTGTATCATGATCATTTCAAGTCTTTAGCATGTTATAATTTCACTTTATATGTTGGGTTGATGTCTCTTCTTAAAAAGCATGTACAGAATTTATGCTTCATTTCTACCAAGAAAACAAATTGTAACTTCATTATGTAACCTTACCATTTACTCCACGATCTACACATTTGATAAAAATAAATTTAGATTTTATATGGGAAATATATTTGTTTGTTATTTTGTAAAACCAAATACATGTCATGTTTTTGTCCTATAGTAAAATACTTTACACCAATTGTTAGCTGTTAACAGGGCAGTAAACCAAACAAATGATCCATATAAGGATTTTTCGCTCTGTTGGTCTGAGACCAGGTTAGCCCTTGTCATTGTCTCACATTTGTCCACCAGTCCTTGTTCTTACTACCCCTCCTAAGATTTCTTGTTTCAGAGGGCAATAATTTTTCCAAACAAGGAGAAAATTCTATGAAATTAAATTGCATAAACAAGCTTACAAGAAAAAAATGACAAAATGGGTAATCATGAGTGAAACGTAATCTCAATTTGGTACAGTGTTAAAATAACAATATGAAAAAATAGCCAAAATAAAGATGAAATAAAAACAAGAAATATTAATAAAAAAAAAACCACAAAAAACACACACAAAAAAAACCCCACAAAAAACACACACACAAAAAAAAAACACACAAAAAACAACAACAACAACAACCCCCCCCCCCCCCCCCCCCCCAAAAAAAAAAAAAAACCAAAAAAAAACCCCAACAAAAACCCCGACAAAAACAAGAAACGCCAGGATAACAAAGATATAAATAGTGTTGAAAAGGGAAACAACACAATGGAACTTTTACTTAATACGTAACCCTTCATTACATAGCCACATGAAAAAAATGAAAATGAATCTAAAACTTAAGTTCAATGGGACTGGTAATAAAAAGTAGGACGTAAACAAGTTCAAACATTTATAAATGTACTTGATTTAGATCACTTTAGCACAAAGTTACGAACACCAAATTAGGAAAAATTGATTCCAAAGAGCACAGCTTTTATTAAAAAAAAAGAGACCACACTCGAACGTAACAAACATTTCATTTAAAAATTCATCAATCATGTTTAATCGCATTATCTTTAATAAGAAAATCGGAAAACGAAAGAAAAAAAAACATCCAACCTAAAGTGGGCATAATGCTATCAAAAATGGCTATAACGACATGCATTGATATAAGAAAGACAATATTATGAACAAAACAACAACGGAAATTCCTGGTACGGTCAGACGGAGTGCATGTGATCAGTACATGAATAGATTTTAAGCAATGTTGACTGAAATAAATAATGTTTACTTTATTAGTTCAAACAGAGATCAGTTATGCTGACTTGCACCACTTGTTGGCGGTGTCATCTCTGTCATTCTGTGGTTGGTGAATCATTCCAATAATTCTAAAATGGCGTTACTCCAGCAGACAGACTAGAGAATACATCGTTGTTCAAAAGAAATGCTTTTCACGTTCGATCATTAACTATAGCTATCTATCGTACATGTATGCTATTAGTCATACACCAATACTATGGGTTATTCAGGAGACGTTTTGAGGTTTAAAGTTAGTTCACTGTTGTTGTTTTTTTTAAAGCAAACCTGTTTATAAAGTGTCCATCTTGATCGCCCCTTCCGCCCCCACACCCCCTCCCCCCTTTACCACTCTCTACTACATCACCAAAAGCAGGTAATTCCTCTCACACCTCAGGTAATAACCATGATATACTGAATCCTTTCGACACTGAATAGAGCTTAACTCTGAAAATACAGTGTTCACAGTATTAGAGTTAATTCACAAGACATCTGCGACACGAAAATCAATGATGTTGAGTTTTTTCAGTTGTGACGTCTTATAAAAAAAAATCACCAACCGCATTAGATAGTTGACGTCAAGTTATAGCAATCTAGGGATGCCGACGACGGTACGGTACTGTCGCGTTCAAATTAGAACGCCACAAGATTTTTTCGATGCATTTATGTCGTTCTTTTTGTCTGTTCAATGCATGGATTGGTAGTGTAAGTTTTTATATAAACACATATTAATTTCGTCCACTAGGGATAAAGTACGCTATGTATAGTTTGATGAATAAGTCAGTTACTGTCAGTCTTCGGAAATACATGGAAACTGCGGTAGCTGAATCAGCGAGGCGTTTGACTTCAGTACGGAAGTTCGGGTGAAGGCGCGAGGTCCGTGGTGCGACCCTTGGCGGTGTGTGTGTGTGTGTGTGTTTAACGTGATCGAAGCTGAGAGCTTATATGTTCTTGGTCAGTGCCTTTGAGTCAGTGAGGTAACTACAAGTCACTTCATGGAGAAGACCTCTCCTACGAATATTACCAGTGAACTGATAAACGTAAAGTTATATTCTAGATCTAATCCAACGATTTTTTTTCTTCATTCAAAGTCCAACTTGAAATGACAAACATCTTTAAGATGTCGATAGCCATATACATATTGCCGTTATAATCTGTTACCTCAGTCTCCAGCTGAAATTCTGTAACATATCATTCTCGGCAAATCGACCTCGACAACATATACGCGTAATATATTTTTCCCTCGTACATCTTTGTGTTGGGAATTTCAATGTCGAATTATTCTAATCAGATAAATTGTCTCCATTTGCAGTTCCACATGCGCGAGACTGAAAATTCTGCCACAATAAAAGATTTTTTTCTGGCACCTACTACTCTGAAAATTATTCGATATTTCATCCGAGTTTGGCGTAGCCCGTGGGAGCCTCAACTACCCACACAGCCTCTCCACGTTTTTTTGCCGATGGTGCCGCGTAAACATTATTGACCGCAAATAAAAATACCATACTACCTTTCAAGAGCGTGGGTGGCATTTTCTATTCCATTTTAAAAATTATTAATTAAATAGAATATATCTGAAATTTTAACAATGACATGACCTACGTTTTTGTAGAAATGTTCGGGTGTAGGTGTCACCAGAGACATATATGACACAGACGTGATATGTACGTCTCTGGTATCACCTACGCCTACATGCGGATGAATACACCGATGCGTAAAAAAATCCGCGAAAACGCACGTTAGGGTACATGCTTGACAGATCGAGTGAGATAGAAAAATCTAGGACGAGGTATTACGTTGGATATCCCTGTCTGAGGTACGAAAAAAGCTTGGCCCCTCTCCCCCAACCCCACCCACCTCGGATTGTGACCGTTCAATCTCACCATTAATAAAGTGAAATTTTCTGGGTTTTAAAATTATTTTTTAACAACTTATTGTTGATTTTTTTTTTATCTTTTGTAAATCTATACAGTTTCGGAATTTTTACGGTAATCGGAAAGTTCCTGCATTTAATAAACAGATATTTGACATAGAGGATAACCAAATTATTGGTTGCCTCGGCCCTCTCCGAATATTAACAGTGTAAATTCTAAACAAGTCAACTAGGATTGAGACGTCATTTGGCGCCCTGTAAATAATAAACTAGATTTAAAACTTTGATATAAAACTGTTTTGTGATCTATCTAAAACATCAATAAGTGAAAGTCATTCTGGCCGTCCTTTTTATCTGTGGCTGTTGGTCATACCTATAATTCTTCACTTCCATATATACAGCGGTATATAAGCCAGAAATAATTAAATAGTACTCCTGTTTGTGAAATCAAAATAATGCGACTGACTTTAACTAAAATGTTAAACTTCAAAAACTTCGAAATGCATTCAGAAGGTTCTGATTTTTATCACCTAGAAATGAAGTTAATAAAAATATATGCAGTTGGAAAAGCTCTTACAATGTTCTATATGTTTTAGGACAACTCTGAAGAGAAGTCCGGGAGATGTATTCGTAGTCGCTCCCTATCCATCCGAAACAAAGTAAGCGATTAATCTACCTTCGTTAGCCAGTCGCAAAACCTCAATTATTCACTGCGGAGGTCGATAAAGTACAATTCAAGATGGCGGACCAAGGTAAACAATTTTCGTTCGCTTAGCATTTTTATCTAAATTTTGACCGATTTCATGGTCATTATGTTGTCATTAATTTCATATAAGCGATATAGAAAACTCACATTTCATTTTATTTGTAGCTGTATCATCAACACCTCTATTTTGTTTTGTTAAATATTTAACGTGCGTTGGACAAGTTCACATACGTTCTGACCGGCATTTCGGTAGCTAAGGCCACACATAAACATTACCTCTATATTATGTACCCCATCAACTCTCTTAATATCCAGTATTATCATATGTTAAAATGTGTAAATATTCAGTATATGTTTTACTTAATAAGTGACATAACATTTTTGTCTTGTAATTATGATTTTTATTTGTTTTCAGGTATTTATAATAATATATTAAAAAACTACTTACAATGTACTATTGTTGACATTTTATGGACCGTAAAAATGAAATTAAGAAAAATTATTTATAATTTTGTAACGGTCTATCTGATGTATCTTATTGCTGTTTTCATTTGTAACAGAGAGCTAGTTGATAAAAAATGCAATTTGCATTAATGCCAAGTGAGAAATACACATTCCTTGCTGGCAACATGTGTGCTAAAATCAATGAATATGTTCTGTGTGTATGATTACTTTCTTTGTTGTACAGCCTTTATGCAGTTGATCATCAGAAAGATAAGAAAGCTTCAGGAATAATGCATAAAGAGTTATATCCTTCAGGTTTTCTTTAACTGGGTTCATGTTTTCAAAAAGCATTTTCTTTTTCAATTGATATTTTGAATTATGCTTTTTTTTGTTGGCTGTTTACATAATCGATAACATTAGATTGATATAAAATAAAGTTGAAAATTATTTTTGATAGTTCAGGCAATAGGTATCAAGAAGACATTGATTTCTTTAATTCATTCAACCAAGATCTACATGTCTTTTCTTTAAATATTTTAACATTACAGTATCTTTCAGTAATGTCATTAATAAGTTATAGTGACTATTAACAATACTAACCCTGGGTGTTAAGTGGAGCGTTAAAATTGATCTACAGGAGTAGATAAATATATAAGAAAATAATGATTATAAGCCTATAAAGATGAAATTTTGACTGTGATAATAAGATGATTCATCACTAAGTAGGAATGTTAAAAAAGTGTATTTCTCATTGATGTGTTAATATAAAAAAGAAGCTGGCATATTTAATCCATTATCAAACTGGTAATTTACAGAAATTTATGATCTACACAAGATACTCTCACTGCCATTATGAAACTATAACCTCTTTGGAGGGACACTGCATTTTAACTACCTTCCTCTCCCAGCCTACCCTTTGACCCTTTCTTGATATACAATATTTGATGGACATCAATTGCACCTATGATACCCTTGCATCTGTTAGTTTATCCCAAGTTACAAAAAAATGTATTAAAACTATTGATACAAAAAGGCAATGTAACAAATAATACAGTTCTTTGTTGACATTCTCTACAGCAGATTATACCACACGCTGTAACATAAGTCCTTTTCATACCATTGTATCACACATACTGTATATATCTATTTCTTCAGTGTTGATTCAAAAATCACTTATTCATATACTGAATGTTTATGACTTCATCACAGAAATGTAAGATTTAAGCAGCCAATATCTATACAGCTATCGTACCTGAGATTTATTATTAAGTCTAGACAGTGAAACATTATATTTCCTATCCATGAAATCATTAAATTAACTTCCTACAGCCAGGGTGTCCCTTTTCCTATCCTGTTTTACGGTTATTTTCCAAAGTTAGGGAATTGAAAAGTGTCAAAGTATTTTTGTCCTTTATACATGTATTTGGTTACCATGGCAATAGACTAGAACTAAGGAATGTTAAGGAGTGCTGAAACTAACCACACAGGCCTCGGATAATGAAATTACGGGGCATTTTATTTCAAACTGTTCAGCACATGTGCTATTCCAGAAAAAGTAAAGTAAAAAAATATGGATTTTTTCCTACATATGTCCATAACGTCATTTAAAGATTTGAAATCCTGAAAAGTCAATAGTTGGTCTGATTGTCTTTGTGAACTTAATGGAGAATTTTCAAAGCTTTTTACTTGAGTTCAAGATATTTGGTTTATAAGGTACTGAACATTTAGATTAACATGGATTACTGAAATGAGGTTCTCGTAGTACTAGTGGTAGTTATGGGTTTGTTTGCTGAGGACATGTCAGAGTTGATTTCAATGAAGGACATTTACACAAGAGCTTGTATATGTATACATTTAAAGTAGTATTTATCAGAGATAAACAGAGAAACTTTGTGTTTGAAGTGTTGTCAGCTTCATTTGGCAGAAAGTAGGATAAAAAATTATTTCCAATGTCTTGTCAATATATTTATGATACAGGATTTATTAATTTCAGATAAGCAGTATCATTTTCTTTCTGTTGAAAACTGTGAGCTTGAAGAAATGATCTTAAGTTTTTAAGCTAGATACTTTATAGAATTTAGATTTAAGAATATGCTGGGTATAATGTATTAGTTTAAACAACTTGTGCAAATAATTAGCATATTTTGTAATATTTTACCTGGAATATATCAAAGCAAATATCCTGAATTTGTAAACTGTATGTAAAAAGGCACTTAAAATTTAAGTAACTGTAGAGGGATACATTACATTAAAGTTAGATTTTAGGAGCTACAGGTAATATTGAGAGATCTATATATCACAAACTTCAAACTTGATTTCATTTAAGGGTGTGTCTACTCCTGACATGAAAGGTGTATAATTATACCCCTATGTCATTAGTCATACATGTTGTGTTTTAAATACCAGGGGTAACATAACATTTTCGACACTGACATACTGGACGAGTTATTTCTTGTGTAGATTAAGTTAAATGTCTAGTAAACCCACTGTATTACTTCAGCACTTGTTTCGAACAGACACATCATTGTAGACACACAAAGAAATTATACTAGATACTCTGATCCAGTATCAAACAGAAAACTTCCTGAGGAGAAGTTGTAATTTGCTTTGAATTGGTTTTCCAGCATGCATGATGAACTTTCACCATACTGATGTACCAAGTTCTATATATGTGAAAAGATTTCAGTGTACATTGGTCATTTAATTATAAGTTTACAGTGTTAAAGGTTGGCCTTTATTGAGATCAAAGGATGATCCATATATGAGATCCCTCAAAACTTAACTCCTCTGTTTGATTTCCTATCTTTTCTTATCCGCTTAATGGCAGAAAGACTGTATTAGTGCATGGACATCATACCTGTGAAATACATATACTTAAATAGATAAAAACAGGGTGTTTCCTTTACAAACTTGGTTCCGATCTTATCCGCTTAATGGCAGAAAGACTGTATTAGTGCATGGACATCATACCTATGAAATACATATACCTAAATAAATGAAAACAGGGTGTTTCCTTTACAAACTTGGTTCAGATTCACAATATGGTGGCATGTTTTCAAGTTTTACACCTGATTAAACTTTGGTGCTTGTTCATTCACTTTCCGATTTCATTGTAACTAAAAAACAATGCCTCAGTGTTTCATGACGTTTTACAAAGTAACAATATTAAGTCATTAACACAGATTTTATTGTATTTAAAAAACAATGCTTAGGTGTTAGAATTGATTTTTAAAGTGTTTTGCCCAAGGAAACAACCATGGCAGAATGGATCTTAACATCCTATGAATCACAATCAGCCATGAATAGGGAGTGTCGAAGCGCTCATTTCAAATCTTCACCAAGTTGAAGAATAATGGTGGCCCTCCTTCTTCCACAAACTTTCCATAGGCATTCGAAATTAGTTTCTAGGGTGTTTTCATGGCAAAATGGAAAACAAATCAGTGTCTCTAATCAAGGATGTTTGATTATATTAATAATGATTTCTTGATATGATGCAAAAAGGGTTTTGGTCATGTGACTGGCCATATGGGTTTTAAATGTTTTCTCCGTACTTGCAAATCAAAAGATCCTCTATTCTCTTCCGTCCAGGTCAGCAATCGGTAAGAATAGAAAGTTATAACATAAAGTTCCATGATATACATAAGTCTAAGACTACCTGTTGCATAAATTACATTATCAACACATTTATACATCATTTATCTTACAATCCTCTAGGGGAACAAACACTTGTGATGTACTTTTTGCTCAAGGTCAGAGAGTGGGCTTATTACAGGACATTGAGACTGGTTTTAATCTTACTACACGGCAATCTGTATTAGTGGCACAAGAAAAGTATAAATCCAGGACTCAAATATCTGAGACCCAAAAATCACCTTGCCAGTACATGTAACACTATATTTGTTGATTATCTGTCGCAGTTGAACCAATCATGTTGTCATCACTCCATACCAAGTTATATATTTTAAAAACTTCTTAGAGCCTTTTATTTTGCCGAAATAGAGGGTCAGCAAGATGAAAATTGAAATTGAAGTTAGTGTTTGTTTTTTTTTAAAAGTAATTTTAAATATTTTTTCATTGTAGCTAATATGAAAATTCAGCGGAAGCCATGTCGCTCCTGTGGCAGACAGTTTGTGCAAGAATCATTGGTAATACTTCCTGACAGCTTGTCCTATTTGTAGCAATAGAAATCCTAAAAATGGTACCCAAGGTTTCATGTCAAACTTATATTATCACTTTTATCACTTTGAAGAATTAACAAAAACCTGAAATTCAATTTATTAAAAGAGAAAGTATGGAGAGTCTCCAATTTATGTGTTATGTACAGGAAATGGATTGTTATAAAAAAATCATCTTCTCCCTTTCTAGGCCAAACATGAACCTATTTGTATGAAGCAAGCAGCGAAAAAGAGGAAAGTGTTTGATTCAACCAAACAGAGAGCTGAGGGTACCGAAGTTAGCTACAGACAAATGAAGCAAGCACAAAAGAAGGTATGTTCTCAGGTAGAATAAACTCAGCAACAAAGACTGTCCATTTTACAGATCAAGACAGGAGAAAGAACATAAAGAATTATGATTCCAGTCACAGTTGAATAGTAATTTATACTTCACACATGTAATTAGTGGTTCATGATTAAACCAAGGATTCCTGACTGTGGTTAATGGTTTGTGGAAAGTTCAAGGGTCATGAGTGTGAGAACTTCTCCAAAATTTATATTTATTTTCTTTTGAAACTTTCTTAAACTTTGAGTGGATGAAAGGAGGTTTTTAGTGTTTCCAAACAGAGCATTTCTGACCAACTTTAGAAAGTTGCAGTGAGATCATTTTATCAGAAAGCAACACAAAAGTCAAATCTGATAGTTAGGGATTCAATTTCTCATTAAAATTTCCAGAAAGTTTGGTGAGTTTTGAGGGTCGGCAATAAGTCCTTTATAATATTTTAAATGCATCATTTTGTAAGTTTTTGAGCACTTGCAATTAATTACTGTATATATTTTTTGATATTCAAAACAGGTTTTAAGCATGCTAAGTTGGAATTTTAATTCTAAATGCATATGTGATTTGAATATGTAAGAGAGTCAAAACAGGAACACCTCTAGAGATATGTAAAAGGTTTTTTATGGTTGGTTCTTTTCTGCCATATTCTTTTAGAAGTCTTGGCTTAGAATTCTTGTGAAAAGCTGTCATGTATATAACCAGAATATCAAAAGACTGACATTTTATTTGATATTTTATATTCTGTTAGGAGGTAAGGCCACCAAAGACAAATTGGAGGGCACAGCATCAGGACTTCATCAACACTGTCAGATCAGCCAGACAAGTTACCGTAGCCATGGAGCGGGGAGATCCCCTACCACCCCCTCCTCCACCTTCTATCAACCCAGGTATTCTGTCCTTTAGTCTGAAAAATCTTGTTGATAGATGAATGAAAAATCTATCTTTTTCCAATAATTTGTATATTATTTTTATACTAGGCAGTCGGTAAGAGGACACCTTAATCTTCGTCTAGTTCGCTAGAAAGTGGCGATTACACTTGATAGTGGGTTAGGATCACTACCAGACTTGATATTAATTCTGCATACAGATGATAATGAGATTCAATAGGCTTTTAATATACACCTTCATTCATTCTGACTCCTTTTCTCCAGACTATGTACAATGTCCTCATTGTGGCCGTCGGTTCAATGAGAAGGCTGCAGCACGTCATATCGGATTCTGTCAAGAACAACAGAAGAGAATTAGCACAAAACCACAACCCAACGCCAACGCTAAAGCCAAGATGGATGCCAGAAATTCGGTAAATATCAAGATATGTGGACCTAATCATGTAGAAAAGGTATTGACATTTAGGGTAGATGATATGCTATGTTATCATCAGACTTTTGGGGCTATGGACCCGTAGGGACAGTGACCTGCCAGGTATAGACTATTATTAGTAGGTACTGAGGTAGTGGTAATGATTTTACAGTTTGTAAATGGAACTTTGAAGGAAACTATATACTGGTTCCACTTCAGACGAACAAATCATGTGTATAATTACCTGATATATGTAAATGGTTGGTTGAAAAGTTTTAATGTTTATGTTTGACCTAACGGGAAGTGTATATATTTCATGTTATACAACTGAATTAACAGGAACACAAAGGGTACAATTTTCAATCCAAATTTTACAAGAGAATTTTTCATTTAGCACAACTAGTCTGTCCCCCTTCTCCAGCCTCCTGCCAATTTGATCCTCACATTTTCTATATGCCAACACGAAATCTGAAAAAAAAAACATATAGCAGCTGACTTTTAAGTTTCTTTTTGCAAGACATCAGACTTATTGTTACCTTTCCTTTAAAAATTAACAAACATCAATTATGGCTTCTTCTACCAGTACCAGCCACCAAAACTAAAGAGTAAAGGAGTGACACCATCACCATCAACAGGATACAGTAGTCCAGGAGCCAGGGGTTCCCCAGCAGCAACTAGAGGTGCACCAGCAGCAAGGGCATCCCCTTCATCAGGTCAGTGATTCTCCAATATTGACAACTGTCATCATTTATTGATATCTCAGATAAATCCTTGGTCTAGACTGTCGTGTTTTCAGTTTACTTACCCAAATAATACACTGAAGGAGTATGTAGGACTAAAACAGGCATTTGTTTCTACTGTTAGATGCTTGTTTCTGTATTGGTAGGCTTTCACAAGTTACAGGGAAGGTGTGAGGTAATACATGTAAAATTTCTATCGATTTAAATGCTACATCTGATATTCTAGGTTTGGACTTTCTGTCCATCATTCCCTGAAGGTGATACTTCTGACATCTGTAGATTTGGACTATCTGTCCGACATCTGTAGGTTTGGACTATCTGTCCATCAGTCCCTGAAGGTGATACTTCTGACATCTGTAGATTTGGACTATCTGTCCGACATCTGTAGGTTTGGACTTTCTGTCCATCAGTCCCTGAAGGTGATACTTCTGACATCATCTATGTGTAGAGGTTTGGACTATCTGTCTGACATCTGTCATCAGGTCCTGAAGAGGATACTTCTGACATCTGTAGCTTTGGACTATCTGTCCATCAGTCCCTGAAGATGACATCTGTAGATTTAGACTATCTGTCCGACATCTGTAGGTTTGGACTATCTGTCCATCAGTCCCTGAAGGTGATACTTCTGACATCTGTAGATTTGGACGACATCTGTAGGTTTGGACTTTCTGTCCATCAGTCCCTGAAGGTGATACTTCTGACATCTGTAGATTTGGACTATCTGTCCGACATCTGTAGATTTGGACTATCTGTCCGACATCTGTAGGTTTGGACTATGTGTCCGACATCTGTAGGTTTGGACTATCTGTCTGACATCTGTAGGTTTAGACTATCTGTCCATCAGGTCCTGAAGAGGATACTTCTGACATCTGTAGCTTTGGACTATCTGTCCATCAGTCCCTGAAGATGACATCTGTAGATTTGGACTATCTGTCCAACATCTGTAGGTTTGGACTTTCTGTCCATCAGTCCCTGAAGGTGATACTTCTGACATCTGTAGATTTGGACTATCTGTCTGACATCTGTAGGTTTGGACTTTCTGTCCATCAGTCCCTGAAGGTGATACTTCTGACATCTGTAGATTTGGACTATCTGTCCGACATCTGTAGATTTGGACTATCTGTCCGACATCTGTAGGTTTGGACTATGTGTCCGACATCTGTAGGTTTGGACTATCTGTTCATCAGGTCCTGAAGATGATACTTCTGACATCTGTAGGTTTGGACTATCTGTCCATCAGGTCCTGAAGATGATACATCTGACATCTGTAGCTTTGGACTATCTGTCCATCTGGTCCTGAAGAGGATACTTCTGACATCTGTAGGTTTGGACTATCTGTCCATCAAGTCCTGAAGATGATACTTCTGACATGTGTAGGTTTGGACTATCAGTTCAGTCTGTATACAATTTTTTTTTCAGGGGCAGATATCAGAACTGTATACTTGGTACAATTTACACTTACCCTACCTATTTATAGTTTTAGATGTCAGAGTGTCTTATACCCAAAATAGGTCTTGATTGTCAATGTGATTATAGTGAGATAAGGCTCTTTGAACACTGTGTTCATAACAAATTTGTATTGTTTGACTCATAACATCCAAATATATATGAGGACATCTTGATAAGATGGAGTGTTACATCATGTAATTGTATCCCTTGTCAGATTATACACAGAGTTATGTCCCTTTGTTAAGTGTTTGTCACTTTGTCATGGGCATCTCCTCTTCTGTGAATATATGTATACTATTCTGGTATCTCGAGTGATGATCTGGACAGAAATTGTCTGATACAAACAAGGAAAAGACAGATAACTTGTCCTTTTAAAGACAGAAAAATGCTAAGATTTCACTTTAGGTAAGGTGTCACTATTGTCAGAGAGGGAAAAAAGGACACCGACAACATGAAGGTATGCTTAGGTGGAAAGGAATCAGTGTTAAAAAACAGTAACCAGATTAGAAAGATAAAGTTTAGGTTACATTGAGGTAGGGATTCTGTACTGTTAATCTGAAATTGTTTCAACTTTCATGAGTTGTTAGAATTAATATTTTAAATTTGGAAAAAAAATTGTTCCTTTGTCCTTTATCTTAAAGAATAATATCCCTTCCATTTTGTTTACACTCTGTGTTTAGGAAACGAGTCCCGAAGTTGTGCCATCTTATGACAAGGTATCACATGACCAGTTAGAGCGTGATTAACCGATTGGTTTGATATCTCTGTAGGAATAAGTTAGATGGTCAGTCTTTCTGGGATTTTCAACAGTCGTTTTCATCAACTGAATTTTTATTGTGCTATATTTGCATATAACAAATGTATGGGATCACCATTTTTGGAAAAAATGAAAATTTATCATACGGTTCACATAACTATTGATATCTTAATCCTGGTGATATGTTAGCAGTTTAACATATACTGTAAGAGGGTTTTGGTTTCAATTCGTGTTTCCTGTGAGAGAACAAATTATTTATGATGTGTGTATCATCAAAAGAAAAGTGCTAACCTAGCTAGCTTAGTGTTAACTTAATCCCAGAAAGACTGACCTTAAGGCTGATATGCTGCCTGTATCTAAATTCACACTTTCAGAAAAATTCCATTTACTGAAAAGTTTTATAGATTCTTAAACTTCATATTTGGAACAAAAAATTCAATTTGACTTCTGGTTTATTCTGGATTTTCTTAATTACTATATGAAATTATTCATATATGAATAGTGATATAAATATAAGGTAGCATATCCCCTTAAATCAAATCTTATACAGTGAAACCCTGTATCAGGAAAGGGGATTTTTAATATTTCAAACAAGAAAAGAGTGTCTGTTTTTTGATGGTTTTTGTTACAAAATTATTTCTTCTTAGACTTTTCTGGCTGACATAAAATTAAAAGAAATAATTTTTTCTTGTTTTACATGTTTTCACTGGTAATACTTACATAAAAGTGGAATTATTCCTTATTGCAAAATATCTGTTTCTTGGTAAGGGAAATAACTCTTTCACTAATACTAAACTAATTTAATTGACTTTTCAAACAGTTTGTGACAATTGTAATACAAAAACCATATATCCAATATTTTTCATACTCTGTTAATTGTACGAAAATATTTTTGATTAATAAAATAATTCTGTGATACAAAACTACTTCACTGGTATTTAGAGAGCTTTATCAAATTTTTTTACTGCTGATGAAATAATTTTCACTGATACTAGAAAGATTCTACTGTTGAGACTTAAAGTGAAATATTGTGTTAGGCTGAGCGATTTATTGACAATGCTAGTGTAGATATTTAGATACCTACTAGCGATATGTTTTGCCAAGTGTTATTAGTGATTTGATTGAAGTGAGTTTTATCTGTTGTATAATTATTAACCAGAAATGATATATATATACATGTACTTAGATATAACCAGTCTCATTGTAACTTGAATACACTGTAAGGATGTGTTACTTCTAAAAAATGAAAATTGTCATGCTTATTTTCTTAATTTTTTCCTCCACATTAATTCACCCGGTACCTGTTTTCAGTTTGAGTACACTTCTGCATCTGATAAAGCCATTGTGAGATAAGAGAATCTTCTAATACTACACCTGCTAAGTCCCAGCAGATTAGAACAAAGCTTCCCAGAAGAATTGACCTACTAGGGATGGGTTCCAACAGAAAAGACCCAATGAGAAACCCATAGAATAGACCTATTGGACTCCCCACAGAATATACCTACTGAGATCCCCATAGAATAGACCCACTGGGATCCCCATAGAATAGACCTACTGGGATTCCCATAGAATAGACCGACTGAGATCCCCATAGAATAGACCTACTGGGATCCCCATAGAATAGACCTACTGGGATCCCCATAGAATAGACCTATTGAGATCCCCATAGAATAGACCTATTGAGATCCCCATAGAATAGACCTACTGGGATCCCCATAGAATAGACCTACTAGGATCCCCATAGAATAGACCTACTGAGATCCCCATAGAATAGACCTACTGGGATCCCCATAGAATATACCTACTGAGATCCCCATAGAAAAGACCTACTGGGATTCCCATAGAATAGACCTACTGAGATCCCCATAGAATAGACCTACTTGGATCCCCATAGAATAGACATACTTAGATCCCCATAGAATAGACCTACTGAGATCCCCATAGAATAGACCTACTGGGCTTCCAATAGAATAGACCTATTGGACTCCCCATTGAATAGACCTACTGGGATTCATATAGAATAGACCTACTGGACTTCCCATAGAATAGACCTATTGGACTCCCCATTGAATAGACCTATTGGACTCCCCATAGAATAGACCCACTGAGATCCCCATAGAATAGACCCACTGGAATCCCCATAGAATAGACCTACTGAGATCCCCATAGAAAAGACCTACTGGGATTCCCATAGAATAGACCTACTGAGATCCCCATAGAATAGACCTATTGAGATCCCCATAGAATAGACCTACTGGGATCCCCATAGAATAGACCTACTAGGATCCCCATAGAATAGACCTACTGAGATCCCCATAGAATAGACCTACTGGGATCCCCATAGAATATACCTACTGAGATCCCCATAGAAAAGACCTACTGGGATTCCCATAGAATAGACCTACTGAGATCCCCATAGAATAGACCTACTTGGATCCCCATAGAATAGACATACTGAGATCCCCATAGAATAGACCTACTGAGATCCCCATAGAATAGACCTACTGGGCTTCCAATAGAATAGACCTATTGGACTCCCAATTGAATAGACCTATTGGACTCCCCATAGAATAGACCCACTGAGATCCCCATAGAATAGACCCACTGGAATCCCCATAGAATAGACCTACTGGGATCCCCATAGAATAGACCTACTGAGATCCCCATAGAATAGACCTACTGGGATCCCCATAGAATAGACCTATTGAGATCCCCATAGAATAGACCTACTGGGATCCCCATAGAATAGACCTACTAGGATCCCCATAGAATAGACCTACTGAGATCCCCATAGAATAGACCTACTGGGATCCCCATAGAATATACCTACTGAGATCCCCATAGAAAAGACCTACTGGGATTCCCATAGAATAGACCTACTGAGATCCCCATAGAATAGACCTACTTGGATCCCCATAGAATAGACATACTGAGATCCCCATAGAATAGACCTACTGAAATCCCCATAGAATAGACCTACTGGGCTTCCAATAGAATAGACCTATTGGACTCCCCATTGAATAGACCTACTGGGATTCATATAGAATAGCCCTACTGGACTTCCCATAGAATAGACCTACTGGGATTCATATAGAATAGACCTACTGGACTTCCCATAGAATAGACCTATTGAACTCCCCATTGAATAGACCTATTGGACTCCCCATAGAATAGACCCACTGGGATCCCCATAGAATAGACCCATTGGACTCCCTACAGAATAGACCCACTGGACTCCCTACAGAATAGACCTACTTGGCTCCCCTGTGAATAGACCTACTGGGCTCCCCATAGTATAGACCTACTGGGCTCCCCATAGTATAGACACACTTGCTCTCCACAGATGAGACCTTCGTGACTCTCTAAAGATTAAACCTAGAGAATAGAATTGCTGGACTACCAGCAGATTATACCTCCCCAGGGCTCCCTTCAAAATAAACCTGGTGGACTCCATACAGAAAAGGCCTGCTGCACATGTTAGGCAACAAAACACACTATGTGTTGCACTAATATTTTATTGAAAAGACCTATCTTGCTTCTGACTCATTGACTCGTTTGTATGTTTGAATAATTTTGACAGGCACACATTGTAAGCTAGAGTTGTAATCTCACGATTCTGCTTCATTTCTGAAACTTTATTCTTGAAATACCACTCTTAAGAGTTTTTGTTTCCTTGTCCCTCTCAAGGCACACTAAACAGTACTTGCTAATGTGTGGACCTAATTATAACATTACTGGGCAGATAGACTGTTCAAACTAACCAACTCCATGTCGTATTTTCTATAAAACACATCTGTTTTAGCTCGAGATTCATTTGAAGTGAAGGGGAAATTTTAGAGGCGGATTCATTGACTCGAGCCTCCCTGTAAAATTAATGAAATTAATTCATTGTATAATTTCTACAATGAATGAGGAATAGTGCTCTCTTAATCAAGATTAGTACAGACTGTTACTGTATTTATCTTATTATACTAACCCATTACACGAAAATGTACAACAGATAATAAAACTAGATGTTCTTGAAGAGTAAGCATCTTCTGCTTCATCGATGGCACCCGACATATAAATCTAGGTCAATCTAATTACGTAATGTCACATTCCTAAAGGAGAACAAGCTAAATGACAATGGAATCACTGGGTTACTTTTTAAAATGTTCCCAAACAATTTAGTAAGAGATTTGTCAATTACCATATAACTGGTTATTTGTGAGAGGCATTCGGATGTTTGTCAATAACTGTTTAGTTGCTTATTTTGGGAGAGTGATATTTTTGCTATTTCATTGTACTTTAAAATGATTTTTAAATTTAATATGTGAAATAATGAGACATGTGTATAAGATGTCCTTTTAAAAGCTGATTGTGAAATTTTAATTTGTTTAAATATAGTTCAGTCATTTAGAAAAAAAAAATTCAAAAATTGACCGATGAACAATTGCCATTAATGTTTGTTATGTGAAAAGGGATTTAAGTATTTTTTATCAAAAACAAAGGTTATCTGATAACAAATTGAGGATTTTATTGATTATTTGAAATAACAAAAGTCATTTTGATAGCAGTATTTGTGCAGGCAATGTCATGTAAATATACAGTATTCCTTCAGTAATGTTCTTCGTCATATATATATAATCACAGATAACTGTTCTGTTGGTTGTTTATTTACTGTTACTTAGCAAATGTTGGAACAGCAGTAATCACACAATGTTAACTAATAATTTAGTTTACTTAAGAATATTTAATCGACAATTTTAATTGTATCCAGATTTCATAAAATTTTTGTGATTGAAATGGCTGTATGTCTTATGTTAGAATCCTTGGATGCCAGTTTTCAAATAAATTTAGAGCTACTGTTAAGTCAGTAATTTTTGTGGTCTCTAAGGGATTTATTTTCCTTGATTTTGGGGTGATCTTCACAACAAATTTATATGTCCATATACTATTGAATCAGTATAAGTAAAGCTATTGAGGTATATCTGACAACAAATTGAAATATCTATGAAATAGCAATTATTGGAAAGACAACGAAAACTGAACACCGTAAAGTATATATACGTGTTACAATATATGTTTGGAAAAGGAGACTTTCGGCTAAACTGATGAAAGGAAGAAAAAGGAGGTAAAAAGACAAGACAGTCAATGCTAGTGTACCAATCCTATATGTTTCTTTAACCTTACTGCTAGTGTATCAATGTGGTTTGTTAATTACAAAGATCTGATATTTACAGAATTATTCTCCATTTAGTATGTGTTAAGAAATCTTAAACATTAAAGTGATTTTCTTTATTTATCTCCAAATCAAGGCTTTACTAAATCCAGGATTGTCCTGAAAAATAGAGAAAAAAAAAACAAATCTGAGATGTGGAAATTTTTTTCATAACATCATTGTCATGTTTTCACTCACTGACATCCTAGGGTATCGTTCCAAATTAGAATAGTCTCTGATTAAGATTAAGAAAAAAAAGTCTGGATAAATTATGTGTGAGGATTTGGATAAACTTGATAGCAGTAAAAATGTAATGATCTGAAAATTGGTTAAATATATTAGATCATTGAAATAGTTGTAATATGAAAAAAACAACACATTATTTCTGACTTTGATTTACAGGAAGAGGAAGGACACCTGTTGGTACTACAGGAAGTGGGTATGGCAGACAACCAGCACCTGCCTCCAGGGGGCGTCCTTCACCATCAACAAATCAGTATCAGGTAAGTGTTTGAATTAGAGCTGATTATTTTCTGTGTGACATTTAACATTTTAAATACTTTTGCTATCCCTTATATGACTGAAGGATGCTTGCTTGAACTTAATATTTCTGTAGATTAGTTCTAATTAATATTCCTTTATCATTTATATCTAATATTTAATTCTATAATCTATTTTCTCTAAGTAACAATCTCACTAACAAAATTTTTTGTGTTTTATGTATCAAATATATGCTTATTTTCGTGGTTACCACGAGATAGTACAGAAACTTTTGGGGTCACTATTTCTATGGTTACTACCAGAGGGTACAGACATTTTCAGGATCCCTATTTCTATGGTAACCACAAGATAAACCACATTTTTTGGGTTTATATTCCTATGGTTACCACAAAATAATAAAGACACTTCTGGGGCTGCTATTTCTATAGTTACCACAAGAAAGAACAGATGCATTCTGAGTGGCGGTGTTTCTATGGTTACCACAAGGTATTACAGATGTTTTCTGAATGCCTGGTTGCTATAGTTACCACAAGGTTGTACAGATGCTTTCTAAGTGCCTGGTTTCTCTGGTTACCACAAGGTAGTAAAGATGCTTTCTGAGTTCCTGGTTTCTATGGTTACCACAAGGTATTAAAGGTGCTTTCTGACTACCTGGTTTCTATGGTTACCAAAAGGTAGTAAAGGTGCTTTCTGAGTACCTAGTTTCTATGGTTACCAAAAGGTAGTACATATGCTTTCTGAGTGCCTGGTTTCTATGGCTACTACAAATATTAAGACACTTTTAAGATTCTAATTTCTATGATTACCTCATGATAATACAGTCACTTTCAGGGTCCCTATTTCTAAGATAGTACAAACGCTATCTGAGTGCCTGGTTTCTATGGTTACCACAAGATAGTACAGACACGCTTAGAGCTTCATATTTCTATGTTTACCACGAGATAGTACAGAGATTCACTGATGCCTTGAAAAACTGTAAACTATATATATCATAAAACCATGTTATGTAAACTATTGTAAGCATCCCTGTTACTGGATATGGAAGTGCACTTTTGGGTCTTGGTCTTACTGTAGGAGGAGTACACTGAGTTATCTAAATTATCATTGAGTCTGACACTGTTGATTTGTGTCTGGTTTAAGTTTTAGACCAGATTTATCTGGTAACTGGTTAGTCTAGCACCTGGTTAATATGTATAGGTTTGGAAACTGGTTAGTGAAGAGGTGGGATCAGATTAATGTTGTATAATGTGAGTTACTCTGGATTATCACAATTAAGTCTTAAACTTTGTCAACATAGGGCATTTTTTACTTCATGATATATATTTAGCAGAGTAGCATGGTTTGTGGAACTAAAACATAAAACTTTCTGCTTTTGAGAATTTGAGAAAATAAGCTTTGTTGTGCTTTGTATTGATTGTGATTAAATATTTCAATTGATATATTTATCAAAGTTATTCTTCAGTATATACCAGAATCACGTTTTGAAAGTTCCAATTTAAGATTATTTCAGAAAGGTCGGAGTTGACTTTTAATTATTGCTATTAGCTACCATTCAGTGTAGTATTTAAAGTAAACTTTTTTTCTTTAGAGAATAGATAAAACTTATCAAAATAGTATCTCTTTTGGAGCAACAATTTTTATAGACAAAATCACTTAATGCAAATTTGTTTTTCCCTGATTAGTCTAAATATATCAACTCTTGAAAGTTGCTTGCTTTTAGCTGCTTGAGTCACTGCTTTATCGGCCTGCTCTGTTACCTCTCTAGGCTATTGACTACAGCGACTCTTCTCCGACAGGGTTAGAGGGTAGTGCTGTGGGGGTGCCCACAGGACGAGCTTTACGGACAGGGCGTAATTCTGCTGTGTACAACGATGCCAAGCGGGGGACTAGACCAGGCAGCACAGGAATGCCTAAGTCTAAGTCATCCTCAAGTATCAGGTATAAGTAACATTGTCCTCAAGTATCAGGTATAAGTAACATTGTCCTCAAGTATCAGGTATAAGTAACATTGTCCTCAAGTATCAGGTATAAGTAACATTGTCCTCAAGTATCAGGTATTAGTATAATTGTCCTCAAGTATCATGTATAAGTTAACACTGTTCTCAAGTATCAGGTATTAGTAACATTGTCCTCAAGTATCAGGTATAAGTAACATTGTCCTCAAGTATCAGGTATAAGTAACATTGTCCTCAAGTATCAGGTATTAGTATAATTGTCCTCAAGTATCATGTATAAGTTAACACTGTTCTCAAGTATCATGTATAAGTAACACTGTCCTCAAGTATCAGGTATAAGTAACAGTGTCCTCAAGTATCAGGTATAGGTAACATTGTCCTCTAGTATCAGGTATAAGTAACATTGTCCTCCAGTATCAGGTATAAGTAACATTGTCCTCAAGTATCAGGTATAAGTAACATTGTCCTAAAGTATCAGGTATTAGTAACATTGTCTTCAAGTATCAGGTATAAGTAACACTGTCTTAAAGTATCAGGTATTAGTAACATTGTCTTCAAGTATCAGGTATTAGTAACATTGTCTTCAAGTATCAGGTATAAGTAACATTGTCCTCAAGTATCAGGTATAAGTAACACTGTCCTCAAGTATCAGGTATAGGTAACAGTGTCCTCAAGTATCAGGTATAGGTAACAGTGTCCTCAAGTATCAGGTATAGGTAACATTGTCCTCAAGTATCAGGTTAACACTGTCATCAACTATCTTAGAAGTTAATGTTGTCCTCAAGTTAGAGAAAAACTCATCAAGTTCTGTAGTGTAAGAGTGGAAACTCATCAGGTTCTGTAGTGTTAGAGGGGAAACTCATCAGGTTCTGTAGTATTAGAGGGAAACTCATCAAGTTCTGTAGTGTTTGAGGGGAAACTCATCAGGTTCTGTAGTGTTAGAGGGGAAACTCATCAGGTTCTGTAGTGTTAGAGGGGACTGTAGTGTTAGAGGGGAAACTCATCAAGTTCTGTAGTGTTTGAGGCGAAACTCATCAAGTTCTGTAGTGGTAGAGGCGAAACTCATCAAGTTCTGTAGTGTTAGAGGGAAACTAATCAGGTTCTGTAGTGTTAGAGGGAAAACTCATCAGGTTCTGTAGTGTTAGAGGGGAAACTCATCAGGTTCTGTAGTGTTAGAGGGGAAACTCATCAGGTTCTGCATTGTGGGAGGGGAAACTCATCAGGTTTTGTAGTGTTAGAAGTGAAACTCATCAGGTTCTGTAGTGTTAGAGGGGAACTCATCAGGTTCTGTAGTGTTAGAGGGGAAACTCATCAGGTTCTGTAGTGTTAAGAGGGGAAACTCATCAGGTTCTGTAGTGTTAGAGGGGAAACTCATCAGGTTCTGTAGTGTTAGAGGGGAAACTCATCAGGTTCTGTAGTGTTAGAGGGGAAACTCATCAGGTTCTGTAGTGTTAGAGGGAAACTCATCAGGTTCTGTAGTGTTAGAGGTGAAACTCATCAGGTTCTGTAGTGTTAGAGGGGAAACTCATCAGGTTCTGTAGTGTTAGAGGGTAAACTCATCAGGTTCTGTAGTGTTAGAGGGTAAACTCATCAGGTTCTGTAGTGTTAGAGGGGAAACTCATCAGGTTCTGTAGTGTTAGAGGGGAAACTCATCAGGTTCTGTAGTGTTAGAGGGGAAACTCATCAGGTTCTGTAGTGTTAGAGGGGAACTCATCAGGTTCTGTAGTGTTAGAGGGGAAACTCATCAGGTTCTGTAGTGTTAGAGGGGAAACTCATCAGGTTCTGTAGTGTTAGAGGGGAAACTCATCAGGTTCTGTAGTGTTAGAGGGGACTGTAGTGTTAGAGGGGAAACTCATCAAGTTCTGTAGTGTTAGAGGGAAACTCATCAGGTTCTGTAGTGTTAGAGGTGAAACTCATCAGGTTCTGTAGTGTTAGAGGGGAAACTCATCAGGTTCTGTAGTGTTAGAGGGGAAACTCATCAGGTTCTGTAGTGTTAGAGGTGAAACTCATCAGGTTCTGTAGTGTTAGAGGTGAAACTCATCAGGTTCTGTAGTGTTAGAGGTGAAACTCATCAGGTTCTGTAGTGTTAGAGGGGAAACTCATCAGGTTCTGTAGTGTTAGAGGGGAAACTCATCAGGTTCTGAAACTCATCAGGTTCTGTAGAGTTAGAGGGGAAACTCATCAGGTTCTGTAGAGTTAGAGGGGAAACTCATCAGGTTCTGTAGAGTTAGAGGGGAAACTCATCAATTTCTGTAGTGTTAGAGGGAAACTCATCAAGTTTTGTAGTGTTGGAGGGGAAACTCATCAATTTCTGTAGTGTTGGAGGGGAAACTCATCAAGGTAAACCTGATACTATCAAAACTTTCTAATCTATTTTTAATGAATCAGTTTGCTGTGATATATTTAGCTTTGTATGGCCATGTTGACAAATGTTTGAATGATATAACTCTTCCTGTACCCTATGGATCTCTGCCTTCTCCTTCATGTATAATCAATACTTCAATCATAATGGTATGTAGTGCTAACTGTTACTAATATCACCCATATTGATATTTACATGTATCTAATAACGTTTGATGTGAAGACTTCAATTTATTTGATCAAAATAATCCATCTAGCCCAGTTTGGAAGAAACATTTTGTCTGACATTGGACTTTACTGCATATGTCATCAGTTAGTGACACCTTTAGGTCAGGAAAACATCCTTAGGGGGTCATGACTGAATGATATCTAGAAATTTATTTTTCTATAATGTTCTTAATCATTTACCTTAAACACCTTTCATTCATTATTCATTTTCAGTTTTTGAACTCAGTTTGCCTCCAGGTAGCCATTGGTAGACTGTTGAATTTTTTAAAGCTGAAATTCACAGTTGTTACGGAGGCTCTAATTAATTTTTAGTTTAAGAGTTTGATCGGGAAAAAATTTGAAATGTCACACATCCTGAATTCCACCATTGATGTTTGTCAACAAATTGTTGCATTTCTGTATATATTTTGTATATTTCACATTGAATTTCAAGTTGCTTCTAAATAAACAAAAGATCAGGTGTAAAAAATCGCAATTTCAAGTCTCAGCCATTTTATGAGGATGGAGGCATATTGTATTAATACCTGTATCCATCCTTCTCTTCCTGTTCCAAATTATATCATATCCTGAGAACCTCATAACAGAGTTGGTTCTCATTTAATCCATAGCATAACATAACATTTCACACCTGACCAGATTCTGTTTTGTGATTTGGAGTTATTGATGGTAGGCATATAAAGAACTTAATTTAGAAAGTCTTAATTCCTCAACTCTCTGTACGCATCTGAAACAAATCAGTATGTAGCAAATTTTCTTTAAATTATTCCTGTTATAAAAAAATGAAAGGAATTTGTTTCCATGACAAGAAATTTCATTTTCTTCACTTTCTGTCTATTTTCAGAGTCGCGGGGGCCGGTTCTAGCTCCCCAGCTTTTGGATCACACAGTCCATCTATGCCTTCGGGGTTTACAGGTGGAATTACAAGGGAGAATGAGTCTGGTTACTATAGCAGCAGTTCAGAAAATGAAGTTCATAGTCAGTATGGTAGTAAACAAAATGTGTCAAGATTCTGTCATGAATGTGGAACTAAATATCCGATTAGTACTGCAAAGTTTTGTTGTGAGTGTGGAATTAAGCGATTTGTGATATCCTGATTAAAATGTGGAAGTTTTTAGATATTTAACATCAACATCAATACACACTATATCGATGTTGATATACTTTCTCTTTATGTTTTTAATTTAAGATATTTAATTCTATTTGGTTTTGAAAAATGTTTCTGTAATTTGAAGTTGAATTAATGAAATGAATAAATAAACTTTTAACTACCTGGAAATCAGAATTAAACTAAATACAAGGCATTCAATGAGAATATTTTATGACTCCTAAAATTGAGTTTTGACTTTTGGGTTTAAAGGAACATGTGTTTTGACTCTTCAGATTTTTATTTTATTTCTGAAATTGCCAAATTTCATAAGACAACCGAAAATCCTGACTTTAAACACTATTGTCTGGGGTTAATCCTTTTTGTTCTGATCACAATAATAAGTAATGAAGGTACCTTTTCAGAAGTACCAAACAGTGTAAGCCAATATCTTATTGCAAAATTTTCTGATTTTCTTTTTTATGAGGTTACCACCTTTCCTGTGTGTTCATTTCTACTGAAAGCTCACTGTCAAATGTTTTAATTCATTATTTTGTTCGGCTGTTGTGATGTATTTACCGATATATAAATGGATGATATACTTGCCAATAGGAAGAACTAGATATAAAAATGTCCATGTTTAGACCACGATATATGTCACTTGTCACATCATTTACAGATTTTTCTGATGGTTAAAAGTTATGTTGTTTTACTTGTTGCTCGATTCAAAATAGATAGATTTTGTGTAGAAGTCATGAAATGAGACATTGTTTTCTTTGATAATTTTTATTTTAAAGTTTTTTTATTTTTGTGGTTTATTCTGTCCTCTAAAATAACAATCTGTCAAAAATTACAACCTTTACGGTGTTTTCAAACATATATGTAGCATTAACAACCCTGACAATGACAAAAATAAACGAATGTAGACCAAGAGGTTTAGCTGCGGACCTAAACATTTATAATTTTCACGATGATACATGCAATGCTCAAGACTTCGGTTGTTCTGTATTACAACTTAGATTAAAGGAAGATTTTACATTCCTGTGTAGTATGTGTGATCATAGTAATATCTCATCTACGATTCATGGATTTCAGTCAGGGACCAAATACATCACTGTCTCACATTTTTTAAATGGTATACTATTTGGGTCCTAACAGCATTTTTATAATAGTTTCTTCAGTATTAGATTGAGAATATGTAGAAGTATTAAATAAAAGTTTTTGTCACATCATATTTAAGAGCTTTACATCGTATAAAATTTTAGAGCATTATTCTCCCATGCCACTTTAGATGTTTTACTGTTACTTGAAAATTTCTAATCCTGGACATCCAACACTGAAAATAAGTTTAGGTAATAATTTGACGGTCAGGACGGACTAGAGACAAGGGGTTGGGATATTATTCTGGAATTAGAGATCTTCCAGTGTGTAGATTTATATTCAAGGTTGCTGTGATAAAAACGTTAAAATGGAATCTTTTAAGTAGAATTTATTTTCAGAAAATGATATATGTATGTTGTCTATGGCAGTGATAAACAGCTTAAGGAGTTTTTTTAAATAAATGTCTTTGGCCTTTATCCAAGGTCGCTGGTGTCATGCAAATATTTAAAATTTTGTATCAATAACTTTTATGAAATGAGTTAGACCAAGCTAAGTCTCCAAAAATAATAAGATTACGTACAAGGTCAAAGGTCACAAAATCTGTATATTTCAAAATTTTGAAATTTGAGTTACTTCCTGTTTTAAAAGGATATGCAATGTAAATGAGAAAAAAATAAAATGGCAATTATATAGATATCAATCATATAAATAGATACTAACCGGAAAAAAAGGAAGGTTACAGGCCATCCAGACCTTTTATTCACAAAGTAAATTTTTCAAGATATTATAAGTAAGTGTATGTAATATGTTATGTGTGAAAAGTTGTAACATATATACACAGATATACCCACGGACACACATATATATAGGTGTACATTTGTATTATCATGTATGATAAATGTCCTATAGATGTGTTAAGTAAGAATTAATGTATAATGATATGTCATCATTTGATTAGAAAGATAAAATAAGATGATGAAATACCAGGGTATAGAAACATTTTTATTCTTGTTTATTCTCACAAATATCACAATTTGCTGTTACATGTGATACAGGATATAGGATTTCTCCATTCTCCGTCCAGTTGTTGAGAAATCTACATATCATTGAATTTACATATCACTTGTATCTCATATTTCACTTCCATGAGCTGGTTGAAACAGAGTTCATATTTATAGACAGCTGAAGTAAAAAAAATCTGTCCATTTTCCCAAGTAAATATAAAAATGAAAGAGTTATCTCCCATGTTGATTTGAATTGTGTTTGTTAACATTAAACTCAGGGTATAAGTAGGAAATTACTTACGATGAATCCATCAGTAAAATCAAGCTGATGTTTCAACTGAACTTTGACCCGTTTCCTGTACTGCTGCTGTAAGGTGATATGAACAATGAATAGCTCGGAGTCATTCATAGCGTTCATGTATTTTTTTTTTTTTTCCGTACTACTAGTTTGAATACATATTCCAATGCACATTTTTTTATTGATGAAATGATTTCAAAAGAATAGTGTTAGACTTTTGATTAAAAGGCAATAAATTATATTGAGCTGTGACAGTGTTACTTAATTGTTTTAATATTTACTCATTGATATTTTTGTTTTTGTGAAGACGTAATTGTTTAAACAATGTAAACAGGTCTGGATTGTTTTCGTCATCTATTTATTTTTTTGTGATGTGTTAGATGTATACTTGGTAATTCTTTAGTGTGCACTCATAGTTATCTATGTTATATTAAATAATTTATCATATATTAAATGATTTATCATGTGCTTTTATTGTTTAGACAATATCAGAGTTGTTTCCCTTTACGTACTTCCTGAAATGATGTTATAAAATATTTTTTAAGGATGAACTGGAATATTAAACTTCATTCTAGCTTATCCGCCTGCAAGAATGACTATTTTTTGGGTTGGGTATTATTGTCTAAGAATTAAACATAATTAATATGTATTAAATTTTATTAATTGACAAGGTAATACACAATTTATATCTGCCGTCCAGTAGAATTCTTTATAGAAAGCTAGTCGTTCTTTTGACTGTGATAAAAAAGATTGTTTCAAACCAAAGTAGCATTATTTATTCAGTATCACAATAAAATGGATTTATGTCTCAATCTTAGTCTCAGACAGGGAAAGTTTCAATATTTCAATGTGTGGAAAATATAGCAAATTTCTAGTTCTATAGACCCTGACTAATTTAGGAGATAAAAATGATTTAATCTTTCCTTACTAACTACATTTAAACTGATATCAAATTTCTTTTACTTATGTGTATAATATGTATTATCTACATGTACACTGTATGTCTATTTTAAATCAGATTTTCTCTATTGATAATCTTGAACTGATAAATAGCCCATTTAGTTTCTCATATTTTCAATTCAAATCTTTGCATCTAGCTGCTAGCATTCATCTAAGTTGATTTTGGAACATTGGAAAAATAAACCAAAAACAAAACAAAAACAAAAAATAAAGAAATACCAACTAGTTTCAGTTATTCAACTCAAACTACATACATGTACTACCATAGAAATTAGTTGTAATGGAAATTTCACATCCAGAAACAAAATCATTGATTTGTTGTAAAGAAGAATTCATTGTTAGCGTGTTTATGTAAGTTAGAGTTATGCTGCAAGTCCATTGAATTAACAGCTACCGGTACTTGCTACATACAATAAATGTACCTTGTTTATACAAATTTTCTCTTCAAACTTGTACATTTTGCGACGTACTAGTTTTAAGAAGTGCATTTATGATTTTATAAAATCAAAATAGGTGCTATTTTCCAAACTATCTGGTTTAATGTTTGTTAGCTATAAAGAAATGTTTCTGTATATCGCTTATATTAGAAATCAGTTATCTACTACTTTCATTTTACATATGTTTTGTGTTTACTTTCACTTCAGATGTATTCTATGCATAACAGCTCACATGAAATGTTTAACTGTTGTTATATTGTTACTTCAACCATTCCATTTTAATCAGAAATGTTTGCAAATAATCGGTGTGTGATAAATGTTTGTTCAGTTTTATTCTAATTCAACCAAAAATTACGAAATATAGATTCATTTACAAACTTATGAAAACAGAGCAGGGGGCACGTGCCCATTTTCAGATGCTAAAATAGCTAGCTTGTAGATAGTGATTTTAAGTAAGATATGTGATGAAGTATATTGATAGCTTGAATTTAACATGTAATGTTTTTGATTTGGTTGTTTACAAGCTAGTGTAATGTGGAAAGCATACAAAAGATTTATCTTGGTAATGGAGATTAAATGTGTAACTTCAGTTGTCTGAATCAAGATGTGTATACATTATATAAATGCATATATATTATCTAAGGTTTGTGAATGTTTTCTTATGCATTGTTTTGGCTTTTTAATTTTTTTCTTTTTGTGATTGGATGATTTTGTGTTAAATCTGTTTGTTAATGAATATTAAGTATGAGAAATGTAAAAAAAATTAAACAATAAGAACAAGTAATATTAAAATTTTGAAGGAAACCATTCTGGGAGTGTGGTCCGTTACACGAGTTAGCTTAATTCCTACAGACATTGTATTCAATGTACTACAGACATCAGTACTTTGAAATGAAATCAGTAGGTAAATTTTTTTTTATTATAACTGTACTATTCCTGAATAAGGAAAGTATATTTAACCAAAACTGGGAAATGACAAAAAGAAAAATAGATACATTGTGTGTTAGTTTTAATCTGTGGAGTTACATTAATACAATGTATATTATTCCATTGACTTTCAGATATATTTAATATCAATCCATATTGCTATGACTGGGGCCTTATGCTTATTTTTTAAAAAAAATAACTGGAGAGTGCTTTGCTTTGAATGTTGTATCCTATTTCATAGTATTTTTTTACACACCTTACACATGCTTAGCTGAGAAATGAATAACATTCTTTACTTGACACTTCAAAATTTTCTCAGCATTCCAGCAGTAAGGTCCTCGGAATTTTCACACTTTATTGTGCATTTCTTTTCAATTCAGAAAAAAATCTTTGTGGTTCTACAATTTCAACTAGTCTGGAAAAAGGCTTGCATAAACATTTACACAAATGTGGGTTTTTTTTTTCGTCTCAGTTTTGATAAAAGTTTGGAATTATAATATCTATGTTGGATTTAAATTCATTCATTGGTCACCAGCATTTGGTCTTTTCACAAAATGAACATTACTACATTGTACATACAATGTACCAGTATATTGAGTGGGTTACAGTACAAAACTGACCAATTATTCTGCTGGTTTGTCTGACCTACACAAAGCTATTTATAGATATCATTAACACATCAACTTCACTATCTAGAGCATCACTTTAATTTCTTGTAACTGTATGATGTTATCTTCTGTAATAAAGCTACTTACAATGAAGGAGAATACGATTGTTTGTTTTCTTTGTAATGTTTCTAATGTAAGGGAACACTGAAAACTTGAAAATGTGTTTGTAAAAAAAATAGAAAATGTGTTTATAAAAAACTAGAAAATGTTTGTACAAAATAACTAGAAAATGTATGTATAAAAAATAGAAAATGTGTTTATAAAAAACTAGAAAATGTTTGTACAAAATAACTAGAAAATGTATGTATAAAAAATAGAAAATGTGTTTATAAAAACCTAGAAAATGTGTATATAAAAACCTAGAAAATGTGTGTATAAAAAAACTAGAAAATTTGTGTATAAAAACAACAGAAAATGTGTATAAAAACTATAAAATGAGTATGTAAAAAAACTATAAATGTGTGTATAAAAAAACTAGAAAATTTGTGTATAGAAAAAGTAGGAAACATCTGTATTAAAGACTGGAAAACATCTATGAAAATCCACTAAGAAATTAATTAAGTTGCAAGAGTGATGTCATCAATTTAAGATAGGACAGGGTGGGGTGGTCATTGGTGATACTATATATTCACTATGTGAACCCTACACATAAAAAGGTCAATGTATAAAAACTACCTGCAAAGACTTCTCTGTGTTAAACATTGGCAGTAACTTCAAAGACTTCTCTGTGTTCAACATTGGCAGTAACTTCAAAGACTTCTCTGTGTTAAACATTGTCAGTAACTTCAAAGACTTCTCTGTGTTCAACATTGTCAGTAACTTCAAAGACTTCTCTGTGTTAAACATTGGCAGTAACTTCAAAGACTTCTCTGTGTTAAACATTGGCAGTAACTGCAAAGACTTCTCTGTGTTCAACATTGTCAGTAACTTCAAAGACTTCTCTGTGTTCAACATTGTCAGTAACTTCAAAGACTTCTCTGTGTTAAACATTGGCAGTAACTTCAAAGACTTCTCTGTGTTAAACATTGTCAGTAACTTCAAAGACTTCTCTGTGTTCAACATTGTCAGTAACTTCAAAGACTTCTCTGTGTTCAACATTGTCAGTAACTTCAAAGACTTCTCTGTGTTCAACATTGTCAGTAACTTCAAAGACTTCTCTGTGTTAAACATTGGCAGTAACTTCAAAGACTTCTCTGTGTTAAACATTGTCAGTAACTTCAAAGACTTCTCTGTGTTAAACATTGTCAGTAACTTCAAAGTAGTTGTCAGTAGAATGTATAAATTGTTTTAGTTGTACTTATACTCTTTAAGAAATGCATTTTTAAGGAACCTTTTCCTATTTTTTTTAATTTTAAAAGGTGATTGCATAAGATGAAAAGACCCTTTCTTTATGTAAATAAGACTTTACATGCACAATAATGTGAAGGTTGGTAACTAAAATATATCTGTTAAAAAATATGCTTACCAAATGGTATTAAAACTAACACTGAAGTGCACTGCGTCCAATCGGTATGATTAGTGCAAGGTTGAGGCCCGAGGTTCCATCTCGGTATCAGAACGTAAGAAAAAACACCCAACAACAGGAGTATGGTTTAGGTAGGGTTTATTGTATCTGCATGAATGCTTTGTATATATGAAATTAACAATCAACAAATAAATTACACACCACAAGAGACACGACATGTTATACAACATAAGTCCTGGTCGTAGCACCAAATCTGTATTAGGAAGGAGAAATGGAACACACTGCCATCGCAGGAATTTGAAATATCAACCTTTTGATCTCTAGCCAGACAATTTCTTAATCTACCAAAAAGGAAATTTTCACTAGACAAGGCTAGTAAGGCAACCTTTACTCATAATTTCTATAGTTATACATTATTTTGTTACATAATATCAAGAGAAATATCCAAAGAGCAAAAGTTAGTTTCTGTTTCTAAAACTAAGTACAAGCTCTGATTTCATAAAGTTTCAAGTCTTCATGACACAAAAAGAGAGATTATTTCTGAAAGTATCAGTAGTCTTTTTTTTGTTTCAGTGGAAGATTGACATGGGATTCTACTTCATGTTATGAAGCAATAGCACAAAATGTCAGTGAAAGTCTACCACACAAGGTAGTTTTTCAAATGAATAAATATTACCGGTACTTATAAATATCAGATATAGCTTGAATGCAAAAATGTGTTTCTGGCAGCTTTCATTCTTAAACATACTCCTCTATCCTTTAAAACATTATTATTCTGTTCTCTGTTTAAACCCATTTTAAGCAATATAGACAGCACAGTAATAGATTAATCTGCAAATGATTTGAAATAAATATTTCCTTTCCTAAACAAAATGAAGTCTCCTTTTAAAAGCTAACGATAAAACTCATCTAAGTATATAGATTTCTTCTGCAGATTAAGTTTCCATAAGAAAACACAAAAATAAAAATGTTTCCTTGACTTAATTGTCAGAAGAAATTTTGATATCATATTTCAGATCACTGCATTGTCAATACCAATACCATATGTTAGATATTTCCAATCTTATCACATACAATACTGCAAAATTATGTATTTTTGTGAGAGATCTATAAGTGTACTTTCTAAATCCATGACTTTATGTCCACAAAAAGATAAACAGTTGAAATGGATTAAAGTGTTAGCAAATTCTGTTTTCAAGATTTAACATGAAAATGTATATTTTTGGAAAACCTAAAAATTTAATCCCTACAAAAATATATGATTCAAAGTATGTGGAGTTCACAGAGCAGATATCAATTAATTGACATGTCCAAATTACAACATTAAGTTCTGCGTCGTAAATCCTCCAGATGTAAAAAGTCTATCAACGTAGAAGGTAAGGGTAGTGCACTTGTTGAGGCCCACACAGGTTTCTTTATTGCAGAACGGATAACAATACGACAGCAATTCTTCAGATTTAGCGGATTGCGAGCGAGCATTACTAAGTTTAGCATATCACCAGCACTAAAGTAACATTTTTGGGTTGTCATCTCTTTCAAAATTGATAATTCAGAGTCTGAAACAACTGCACCTGTAACTATCAACAGGGTCATCATCCAGACCTGAGGGTAAGGTTGAAGAGCAGTTCTAAAGGGAGTTAATCCATTCTTTGTTTTCTTGTTGACGTTACATCCTGCCTGTAAATTAGGTAAAGGCAAAAGTTTGTCTTACATTTAGTAAAATAAACCTCTTACTGTAAAGTTAAACTCAAATATAACTGTATAAACATATACTTTATTTTTCTATTGAACGAACAGAATAATGTGCGTGCAGAAAAAAAATTTACTGGAAGTAACATTATGCTTGAGGAACACATTTAATAGCTGTTTACACTAACACTTGGGTGAATGCTTTAATGGGAAACTATAGGCATATAGTGAACCTTGACAGATGTCTTACATCAAAAAATAAGGATTTCAGATTCACATACCTAAACACCTAATGTCTAACTGAAAAGAACAATTATTTTTGTATTTTGATAGATGAATACTTCAGGAAAGTGGTCCTTCATTCCATGTTGGCCTAAATCCATCAGACATAATATCGGTAACTACACTAGAGATCCCACTTTCGTATCATCTATATAATTTCTGTATAAGATTAACAACAGACTAATGAATAACATCTTTTTACACACATTAGTGCAAAATAACGAATTAAACTGCATTAAACAGCTTATTTGTCCTTTACAGACTTGTCAATGATGAGAAAGGCATAAATTTTAAACTTAAAAGGTGACTGAGGAGAATTCAACGGGCTCGAGAAAAAATATTTGATGATTTCAAATGAACATGAAGTACACGTGAATACTTTTAACCATGCCACTATTTAAATGAATCAAAATAAAACATGGCATGTAGGTTAAGTTCTATCTTTTCTGGTCTTTCCTTGTATCTGTGCTTAATCTGAGAATGATCCATCCATTTCATAACAAACAGCCATAACAATCTATGACTGTCTAAATCCCAGATAGCCACTCTTCAGCCATTTTGATTTTCCTGAAAAGTTTCTAAATGGAGTAAGTAGAATTTAGGGATCAAGAAGATCCAAATTCATCCAGTATTTCTAGAAGAAATAGCCAAGACAATAACTGTTTACAAACAGAAATAGACAAATGACAGACAACAGATAAGGGCAATTTGAACAGCCTACTATCTTGTGTAAGAAATAACATCATTCAGGCATCCTTATATATCTTCTAATCTTTTAAAATCAAAATGCCATATTGCTTATCAAGGACTTCTACAAAAAGAACAACACGTGATAGGGTGTTTCTTGAATATCTTACAGTCTACAATAGATCCCTTCACTGAAAACCAACAACAAAAGTAATGATGCTTTGCGGAGCATTGTTTCTGTCATTCTTCACAAATTTTGGCTTAAAGAGCTTTAACCTATAATCCCTTCTACAGAATCATGTTTCTGTAATTCTAATAGAAGTTACCTGGAAATACTTACCTGTACAAGCAAGTAGACGAGATCCAGGAAGTGGTGGTGAGTGGCCATTATAAGGGGTGTGGCTCCATAGTGGTCACCATGATCAAGATCCGCCCCAGCATCCATCAGCAGAAAAGCGATCTCTGTCTTGTTGAGTTCAACAGCTTTTAAAAGCGGACTCTTCATTTCTTCATTTTCCATGCTTATTTTGTTTACATCACAATTATGAGAGATAAGGACCTTAGCAGACTGAAATTCAAAAAGTTGTGATGGTCATTGATTTTTGGTCAATTTTTTCATTGAATAAAAAGTATAATTATGTATTCATATCATATTTATATTTTATTTATGTTTTATTTGAACGTTTCATTGAACAAGTGAATGCAAGAGGCCTAGATAGGTATTATTCATTGAAATATCAAACATCAGAGCAAATTATATCTCAGTCTCTACTGTTCCAAAGTATTCTTGAGCTTTTTAAATAAAAGCAAGGAGAATAATTGTCTCTCTGGTAAAACATCTGACTGAATGATATTAAAGAAACTTAATTCAAAATTTGGATGAACTATTACAAGACACAGATAGTAAGAGTACAATGTTTATAAGATTTCAATATTTTAACCTTTAGGAGAAGGATAGATACTTCTTTGCAAAACACTTATTTCATTTTTCCTTCAACTGGGTATGAATTGACTCAACCAATTCTTTTTTGTTCTTCTGAAAACATCCCCACAAGGCTGGCAAGTGAATAAAAGGGAAGTAACTCTGGGAGATCAAGATACTCTTAAAACGACAGGTGATAAAAAAAACTGAACACTTAGCCTCAACAGCAGACAATGTTGAAGGCAAGTTACAGCTACAGAATTGAGAAATGATGTACATGTACCTTCAAAGAACCGCTGATACTGGCTATGTGGATTGCTGTCCGATCATTCCCTTGTATAGCAGTGTCCACGTCCACTCCGGACCGTATCAGCAGATCCACAATCTCAGCACTATCACTGGCTGTGGCTAGATGTATAGCACTGGGTCCTACACCACCCTTCACAGCAAACATGTCTGCCCCAGCTCTCAACAACTCCTGAAAGAAAAATAACCATATTTAACTCAATTAATATCAGTAGATGTAATGTTGACTTTTCAAGAGAACCCTGGTGCCTGAATCATTCACAGCTTTAATGTCCTGATATGGAGAATTTAACACAGCAGACATTCAAATGTAAAGCATCTTATTAATTTTCAATACTTCATTTGATAAAATTTGATTTTAACCATCTGTCATTGACCTCAGAGTGGCCTTTTTGGAAAACTTTTTTCAAATTTATTTACCTTTGCAATATCCAAATGGCCCTTTAAGGAGGCCATATGTAGGGCTGTCTCCTTTCCATTGGTGCGATCATTCACATCACAGCCTGGCTGACCTAGTAGGTACTGCACAATGTCCAGGTGACCATTCAAACAGGCCTCGTGGAATGGTGTGTTACCTTGTTACAGAAGCAAAGGAAGAGAGCCAGTGAAAATTAAAAGTTTTCCTGTTATGCTATTACTTATTACTGTTGGCTTAATTTCACTACTGATACTTATTTCATGAACTTAAAAACCCCAGACACGATAACAAGTCAACAAGGTTCCTCTGGCGTCTTAATAAAAGTCTTGGTAAAGCCACACCAGGCAAAAATTGTAGGCAATTAAGGGTCCTTTGCAACACTAAGCGACCTTCTGAGCTTTGTCTGATGAGGTATAATGATCAAGATGCCCACGGGCCTTAACGGTCATCTGACTATAAAGACCTATTTATTTTAACAGTAACAGGTAGTAGTAGTATGGACATTAATGAATTGATTCAGCAGTCTTTGTACCAGTGGAACTTGAGAAAAAGTTTAAAATTTGTTTTTCAAGATGGAAGCCATGGCAGTGAAATTGAATTTCAGAACAACTAAAAAAATAACAACATTCAATCAGAACCATCATAGGACCATTTCAAGCATGTTACAGCTCAATCTCACCAGTGAAACTTTGAGAAGTTTAAAATATGTATTGTTCAGGGACACCAAGATTGCACAATCCTGTTTCAAAATGGCTGCCATGGCTGCAATATTGATCTTTTGACAAGGCATAAAATAACAATACTGTATTGGCTTCCCATTCCATTACATTCTCACCAAATCCCAGTTCAGTGACAGAAATGGAACTTCAGAAGAAATTTAAAATGTGTATTTCAAGAGGATGGCCATACTGGATTTCAGACAAACCCAAGAAATAACAACATTTGATCAAGACCATTTCAGAATCCTTTCAGGCAAATCCACAGGTGGAACAGAAGAAGTAATTTGATGATATAGTTGTTGATATCACAATTCAAATGACGTCGTTAAGTTATGATGTCATAATTGAAACAATGGGGATTTTCAGCAAACAAAAGCTCTACTTAAGTGTGATTATCCTGGAAGTATAATCAATTTAGCACAATCAAACTTTAATATATTATCAGGTTTTGGCAAATTGGCAAAATGATGAAGCTATGTGTCAGTAATGTTCTTATACGTAAACAATATACACAGGAATATCAGGATTTGAGTAAGTCGGGAATTATGGCCAGTATTTAGAATAGACTAATCAGGTTAGCTAGTAACACAGCTATAGGTATATTTACCAGCAGCATTTCTAAGTGAAATATCTGCTCCAGACTCGATAAGGAATTTGACAAGATCCAGGTGTCCACATCTTGCCGCTAAGAATACAGGGGATTTCAAGATGGCTGCCCCGACATTGATGTCACATCCTTGTTTAATCAATAATTCTGCTATAGCACAGTTCCCAAACTCAGCAGCAGCACCTTAAAAACGAAGAATATAGTTCTCTATAAAATCCTACACTTAAAGTAAGTAAAGAATATTAAATTTCTTGGGTTAAAAATCATTAGTAGATTAACAGTATCATGAAAGAAGATATATATGTGCTGTATATGGAAGAAACGTTCACTCTATTTAAATTTTCAAATGTCATTTCAGCCTTTTGAAAATATAGTGAAAACAAATAGTGAACAAAAGATGGATGATATAACTGAAATCCAATTCTTTGTTTCTATTTGGTTTTGTGCCTTAAGGTCAATCAATAGTGCAAAGTTCAGCATGTTTCTTTCCAAATAGCATTACATCTAATAAAATCATTCCTTTTAATGCAATGAATTATGACCCCTTTTTTTTACCTTTAAAGTGACAATTAGTCATATTCATTTAAACACCATCATGATACATGTTTCTTTTAGTGATACAAAAGATTTCTCTCATTTAACCTCTGTGACCTTGGAAATTAGGCCAACCCATTCATTAGAGCAGGAGTTTTCATTTAACTCTTGGCTATAAAAAAAGTTGTTGCTACAATGCAGTAAGACGTTAAAGCATTTTTTATATCGACGTTAATTTAAGTCAGTCAATTAAAAAATTGATAAAACTTGGTCACAGAATGCATCTTGTTCAATATCACGGTCCTTATCGGTTTTGGTTGTCGTTCTAAATAATGTTGTTTACATACAATTGTAAAAGCAGTTTTGACTTCATGGCCATTAAAATGTGCCAATGATATTTATTTCAGAATCTTTGTTATTTTTTTTTTTTTTTAGTATTTGTTATGGGAAATCAGTTAAAATCCATAATTGATAATTGGTCAAAATTAGAGAGACTTTTCGATGACTGCATGCTCAATAATATTTATTTCAGAATCTTTGTTACTTGTTATAGGAAATCAGTTAAAACCCATAACTGATTATTGGTCAAAATTGGATAGGCTTTTCGATGACTGCATGTCAAATAATATTTATTCCAGAATCTTTGTTACTTGTTATGGGAAATCAGTTAAAATCCATAATTGATAATTGGTCAAAATTGGATAGGCTTTTCGATGACTGCATGTTCAATAATATTTATTCCAGAATCTTTGTTACTTGTTATGGAAATCAGTTAAAATCCATAATTGATTGTTAATTATAATTGGATAAGATTTTCGATGTAGTTAATCAATTACGTAATCAGCTGACAGTTCAATATCAGTAGAATTGATGTGGATGCATTTTCTATTGCAGCATTTCTTCCGGTTTGTTTTATCGTTTGACCTAAATTTGCATAAGAATGAATATCACTGGCAACTGATATCCTTATTATGCATAATATGATTTTTTTTAATAAAACACAACAAAATATAAAGGTACAATGAGCGATTACGAAAAAGTTACAATCAAGCATGACATCAGATAAGATGAAATGATTAAATAATCGACTCCATCATCGTCCCATCCACCGTCACAACTTGTATTACCATCACTCTAGTAAATAACAAATTGACGTCAACTTACCGCGAATCTGAGAAGAATTTATAAAGATTTATAAAGCTTTTAAAAAAGTGTCTACACAGATTCATACTTACCTAAGGCTGACTTGTGGTCCACTGTGAAATTAGGGTCTTCTTTCTGTACTTCATTTTGTAAAATGAGATCAACAGCTTTCAAATTGTTGTCTTTGATTGCCTGGTGAAGGTTCTTTGCCAAATCTTCTGACATTCAAGATGTTGTCTTTATCCTATAACCAAATTTATTTTTGAGTGTAATTATCCTATTTATCCAGTATAAAGTGTAAAATTTAAGGTTAATATCTATTGGTACAAAAGTACTTATTCAGTAATAAGCCATTGTCTGGTAATAAGCCCACCTTTAATTTTCTGTAATTTTTTTAATCTTTTCATTTATTTTCAATATATAAAATACATATACAAAAAGCAACACCAACCATCCCCAAATTCACACGTAGGAATCATAAACATTATACAAGAATATTCACTTCAAAATCAGCATCATCAACATCGTCATCGTCATCATCATTAACATAATGTATGCCTATACATATTACTGTTCAATATAATTCTAATTAAATATTTTAGTCTTGCTTAAGATTGACCTCTGACTTAGTCACCCCAAAAAATCAAAAAAGTCTTCCAATACTTAGAGAGATTTGATGACAACAGAGAGAAGATACTTAGTTCAGTCTAGGGGACAGACATTAAAAGATGTCCATTAGGAAGCCATGACAGTTTTCCGGTCACTAAAACTGAGTTTATGTTGATAAATTAAATCTGACAAGCTGTATTTACATTCCAGAAAATTTTGAAACAGTAAAGTGTCTATTTTATCAAGTTATATTCTAGTTTTTTTTGTTTGTTTGTTTATTTACTGGAACCGCCTCCTGAAGATCATAATCATCAAAATGATTGATTGTAAAGTGCTAGACTATAATAACATGCAAGACCTGACAAGTGAAAAGTGCAGCAATTGCTGTCATGGAGATTGAAATAGTGGAAAAATGATATGTAGTTGTCTTACGACCTAAAATGTATTCACACAGATTAGTACTGACATAATGGGAGGTCATAATGCAAAATGTAAATATTGAAAATAACAAATTCTCTATCCAAAAATCATGAAATCTTACGCAATTCATGAAAATAATACATATCATAACTACACAAAATTGTGTGTTTTTTTGTGTTTTTGTGAGTGTGTGTGTGGGAGGGGGAGGAGGTGGGGGGTAGATCCCTAATTCCCTAATCCTTGATATTCCAAGGTTGTGTTCTCTCTACATAGATCTGTATACATTTGACTGATTAGTATCATGTTACAGGCACACTAATTATACTCCAGGGTTACCCATACACTTCTTTTAGTTCTCTGCTGGAACATTTCAAGGAAAATTGAAGGGTTCTATGTGACACCTTGTGGATAAGACAAGTAGACTAGTTTGATCCTTTGATGTACAACAAATGAATACTGCAATCGCTTAACAATATGTTGTAGCAACTTTGATATTGGATGTCCCTTTTTCGTAATCTTTAAAGGAGTTTTTTTTTTCCACAAACCCACCCTAGAGCAATCAAATTACTTTGCTTGTGTCTTCAGTTTTGCAGAGAATAATTGTGAGTGTAACCCCTAAAGTATTGAGGATGGAGATTCCAGGAGAAAAAATAAATATATATTGTATCAGTATGTGTACATATAAAATGGCAATAATTCTTCAAAAAATGTTCAAACAACTACAATTCTGTCCAAGAAAACATCATTTCTAATCTGTAGTTATAAAGCCTAGAAATTGCCAAGTGTGAAAGATTTAAAAAACATTTACACAAGGCATTAGAAGGGTAACATACAAAACAATGTCTACTTCATCCAATTGTTGGCCAATTATTTCCATTTCATTTCTGCCTGTTCAGCTGTTAAGGTTGTTAAAGCAATATTTCTGACACGATGGACAAGAAGAATTTGATGTAGTAGGAACTGATGAAGCCTCAATCTGGAGAGTTGACTTAACCCCACCCTCAACCTCTCTCCCACTGCCCCAGCAGTTCAATTGCAAAAAAAAAAATTCTTTTTAATATCATGTTACTTGTCTCAGCTCACCAGTTGTTTTATACCGAGTTTGAAATCTTAAGGTCATTTACAGAGTCGGTTATCTATTTCTGTACCTTGAAAGTGCAGTGTCACATACAAGCTCCAGTCTTTTGGATTAATTGAGCTAAGAGAAGTTCTCTCCTGCCAAGCGTTACATTGTGGCTAGTATTTTACCAGAATTAATCTATTAAGGTAGTATGTGTACTAGTGTAGTGACAGACAAGACCCCTTCCTAGGATGCTACACACATCATATTTGGTCCAAATCAGTGCATCCCCGATATATTTTGATATTCACATAATTTCCTTTAATTGAAAACTTTGAGACCTCAAGGTCACTTTCAAGGTCAAAATAGTGTCAAGGTCAAATATTTTTTAAGTTTATCGAGATCGAAAACACATTCCATAACGCTGCTCTTAAACTTAAAGCTCTTTATGATGAAAAATCATTGCATGCGCTAATGTTTATCAGTCGAAATAAGAAATGAAAGTAGGAGACTATCTCACCCCGAAGGATGCTGGAACAAGTTGGGCTTGAAACCGGAAGCGAATATAACTTCCGGAACACAGAAAAAAAATTGCGTATTTTATGTGAATATGTGTTTCGTATACATATGTTAATCTATTTCCGTTACTCAATAGGCTGTGAAAGATTCCCAAACCCAATGGAAATTTCCGAAGCGCTGTATTAATGCGTTACGTAAATAGTGGTCTTCGGTGTTACATAAAAGTCAATGCGCATGTGTAAGATTCAGTTCCTGTAAAAATGGCCAGTGCGCTGAAATTGACCTCTCAAACAGCTCACAGAGCTGTATTGAAAACTTTAGTAAGTATAACTTTGTCAACATATTGGATGTATTATGGAATTGAGTTGAAAAGTATCCATCCGAAAATTGGTTAAGGAATGTTGTTAATGGTGGAGATAGGACAAACCGGTGGGTCACGTTGGACGGTTTGACTTGGTTGCGTAAGGTAAACAATATCTTTGCAAGATGTCATTGATGTTGACTTTAGGAGCACGCTTCACTCATGGAAGTTGTTACTGTGTTAACTTTCTGTGGCGTTTACTGGAGGAGGTTAGGTAATACTGTCAGAGTTGTATATTTGTATATTTCATCGTTTTCTTATCTCTTGACCTTGAGGTTTTTCACTTCAATGTGTTGCTCAACAACAGTAAAGGGAGTTAGTATGAAAAAACATGACATTCCGGTTGATTTTTTAGGGAAGAGTTTGTAATTTAAAAATTGACACCAAGAAGCTTAATTGTCATCTTACGAACTTCGGGAGAAGACAGAGAAAATGATTAGTATTTTGCCAAAACTTAAGTGTATGAAAAACTTGCATCTCACAAACAAAACAGAATAGTTGAATTGAGCTGGTTTTTTGTGATGCATTGGCTGCAGTTCTTCAGCTTGGATGCAGGGTCTATAGATAATGGGGAACCAAATGGTAATAAATTGGAGTGGTCATTGGGGACTGTCATGGAAATATGGAGGTTTGCATTAAGACCTAAAATCTAACACATCTAATTTTGCTAAATGAAAATGAGAATGTTTTGAATGTTGTTCTTATTTTTATTTGACATTTGTAACATATCAGAGCTGCTATTCTACTTATTTGAAATATCTGCTGATCACTAAGTCATTATTGAGCATAACATGAAATATTAGTACTAATTTTATGCTGATTTTCTATCTACAGTTGACCAAAACAGCTACACCAGCTGCAGGCTCCAGTCAGAGAAACCTTCACTTCTACATACAGGGTCGTAACAGTGATGCAAAATCATCAAACGGTCAATCGGTAAAGATTCTGTTATATTTATTCACGATTTATAGGTTAACATGATGAGACAATTACATTAGGTAGGAAAAATTTTCATAAATCAAATGTGAAAAGTTATTACTTAATCAGAGGAGTCAACTGTTTTAAGGAGGGTTAGACCTGTTACCCAGATATATAGGATTTATGCCTCTACCTGATTAGAAAATTAGCGCATGCAGTAATCATGGAAGTTATCCTTACATTCCTTCTCATAGTTATCTTACTAGGTCAGAGTTAGTGTCTTTGTAAGGTCTATAGTTAGTCTTTAGAAAATTTTGATTAAATATCCTCCTTTTAGTAGCATCAGACCAATGATTCTTGAGTTGGGTGTGACAGTACACAATGGATTCTTATAGATAATGCTAGGTTGAGATATTTTATTGTGTGTAATCTACTGGTAAATAATATTTCATATTAACATCATGCTGTGACTCGACATGATAGATTACAGAACATAGGGGTCTTTTTCGACTTTAATTAACAAGCTTTCATAAGAACTGACATAAAATCTGCCAATGAAATTGTGATCTCTTTCATGTTTAATATCAATCTCATAGGAAAAACAAAATATAAAATGAAGTATTGTTGTAATCAGTGATATTAATTGACAGGTAACAAGGAAGTATCCTGTGATTGACCACACATATGATGCTGTAGTCGTTGGAGCAGGTGGTGCTGGTCTCAGAGCTGCCTTTGGTCTGGCAAATGATGGTTTTAAAACAGCATGTATTACAAAGCTCTTCCCTACAAGGTCACACACAGTGGCTGCACAGGTAAATAATAAAAACCTTTTCCCCACAGGTTAAACACACTGAAGCCTTCCCTTAGTGTGCAATTGTAATTGTAGAATTTCTTTATTAAGAATGAAAATGCATTTAAGATATCAGTTTGAATTGTATGAGTCAATTTTCTTTTTCTAGGGTGGTATCAATGCTGCATTGGGACACATGGAAGAAGATTCCTGGCAATATCATTTCTATGACACTGTGAAGGGATCTGATTGGCTGGGGGACCAGGATGCCATTCAGTACATGTGTGAAGAAGCCCCTAAAGCTGTCATTGAGGTATGCATAGGCTTCAGTCATGATAATTTTATTGTAAGGTTCTTTTGAAATATTTTGAAACTTGTTTTTATCATGTTGGTTATCTTACTATTTTTTTTAACTTCCACACATCTAAGGACTATGGATTGCTTTTGTTTTGCAATTTTGAGTTTCATAGATGTCAAAGAAGTTTTCTTCATTTCTAAAGACAAAATAACAAAAGTTATGAACAAATTTTTGAAACATCAAAAATAACAAAAGTTATGAACAAATTTTTGAAACATCTCTCTTTTGAGCAACTCATGGTAGGAAGATACTGAAAATTAATAAGTTAAATTTTGAAACTTTTGTGACAGAAATCATATTGATTATTTCAAACTCTGAAATTACACGGCATACTGGTATGAAGTAAGTAAAAATCTCTATATTATGTATGATACAAAAATCAGGCTGAATTTCAGAATACACTCTACATGTTAAGACACCTTATCTTTAAAAAAGAAAAGAAAAAAAACTTTAAAAAAATTAAAGCTGAAGGATATGGTACTAAAAAGCTAATGGTTATTCTTCATATTTTACAGCTGGAAAATTATGGCATGCCCTTCAGTCGACTGGACAATGGGAAGATTTATCAGAGAGCTTTTGGTGGTCAGAGTCTGAAGTATGGAAAAGGTGGACAGGCCCACAGATGTTGCTGTGTAGCTGACCGCACTGGTCACTCTCTACTTCACACACTATACGGAAGGGTACATATTAAAATATTTTCTCTAGGTCAAATTTTAGGTCATATTGTGTTTTGGTTTTCAGAAAATGATTAAGTGTGATAGTGTAGAGAACTTTTTTTCACAGATCACAGTTGCTACAAACAGCTCAGCCCAAAATGACCCTGACTGTTGACGGCTCATTAAAAAATAAATCAAATCTTGGTTAGACTGTTGTCAGTATGTTGAGCTCTGTGTATAATACATGTCTTGCTGCTTTTATTTCTGCATTTTGTTGTCTAATGACCTTATATTTTGTGGAAACGTTAAGAACAAAAATTACTGTCGAAAAGCATTATCAGGAAGTGAGGGAAACCCTGGGGAAATTTTGAGTATAAATCAGAGAATTCGATATAAGTGAGTTTGAATCTTTAATGTGAAATATGGCTGGGACTGATGAAATACTTTGAATTAAACATGGTCTACATACAAGTTTTAAAAGTTTGAGATAACGAGGTTCAACATGTTTCAAGACCTGTATATTTATGTATAAGTAATTCCTTGATAACTGGACCTAATGTTATATATACAGAACTGTTATGATTTACCCATAATCAAGTATTGCTCTGTATCAGAACATGAGATAATGCTCTGGGAGAAAATAAATAGTAGCAGAAATTTAAAGGCATCTAAAATCATTTTAACCTTAATCTCATTGTATTGGTTATGTTTTTCCTTTCAGTCTCTGAAATATGATACACATTACTTTATTGAATATTTCGCTTTGGATTTGATCATGGAAGAAGGAGAGTGCCGTGGAGTTATTGCCCTTTGTTTGGAAGATGGTACCATTCACCGATTCAGATCCAAGAACACAGTTTTAGCTACCGGGTACGGATATTTACATCGATCAAAAATTAATTCTTGACTATAATCATCAAAATGCTTTTTCTCCATGAAATTTTAGTAGTGGTTAACACCTAGATATTTATTCCTTGAAGCCATAATACCTCCGCCCCTTCAAATGCTATTCTTTTGCATTGACTTTTCTGTCATATCATGTACAGTTGAGTTATTTTCTGATGTTTTTCATTGTTATAGAGACATTGAATTATTAATTGGTTCATCTTCGCCAAATTTTATAGAATATTTATTAACTGTGAAGACTTCTGTTTACTTCTTAAATATGTCAGTCTCTTCTTAAGAGACCTTTAGTTAAAAGCTATTCTTGTGAAGATCATTGTAGTCATTGTCTCAAATTGTACTGTTGTAGTGGTTATGGCCGTGCTTATTTCTCCTGTACATCAGCTCATACCTGTACTGGAGATGGTACTGCTATGGTTACCAGAGCTGGACTACCTAATGAGGATATGGAATTTGTACAGTTTCATCCTACTGGTAATATAACACTAAAGTTTTCATGTTGGCCATACATAGATCATTCTAAATTGAAAAGTATGAGTTCAGGACTCAAAAATCCAGGTGCTGAAAATCACTGATGGCTTGATTAATCATTGCTTAAATGAAAATTTGATATCTCAAAAATACACCTCATTATCAAAGAAATCTGTATTGATGTTTCACTGTATTGACAGGAATCTATGGTGCTGGCTGTCTCATCACTGAAGGCTCACGAGGAGAGGGAGGAATTCTGATAAACTCTGAGGGAGAGAGATATATGGAGCGTTACGCACCTACTGCTAAAGATCTGGCTTCTCGTGATGTGGTGTCACGTTCAAGTACTATTGAAATTAGAGAAGGAAGGTGCGTTTGCTTACTGGTTTATATGTAAATAATTCTTACCTTGATGCTGATTCAGAAGTACTCTGGTATACTTCAATATTTAAGTGTTTCCTTACTGCTTAGTCTTGGATATAGAGCCAACCTTACTGATTCAGAAACAATTATCCATACTTGGGTATAAATACCATAACTTAACAGGGCTCTTGATCTGCCAGATTTGGGGCCGATATTCGGCCCCATTCCCAATGCAAAATAGTATCTTTTTTTCACAATTTAGACCAGAAGTTTTCCCAATTCAAAGGAAAACACCGTTATTTTTCCCAATTCTAAGGGCCCCTGGTCCAATCAGAAATTACTATCAATACTTGGGTATAAAAAAACCAAATCTTTCTGTTGGCTCTGTAACAATTATCCATACTTGGGTATAAAAACCATTCCTTTATGTTGAATCAGAAATAATTATCTATACTTGGATATGACAAACATTCCTTTACATTTATTCAGAAATACTGACCAATACTTAGAGGTAGTAATGACTTAACATAAAGAATTCCTGATTTTACAGAGGAGTTGGCCCAGATAAGGATCATGTATATCTACAGTTGTCTCATCTAGATCCAGAAGTATTAAAAGCCAGACTTCCTGGTATTTCTGAGACTGCCATGATCTTTGCCGGAGTTGATGTGACAAGAGACCCAATTCCTGTCCTTCCCACCGTACACTACAATATGGGTGGAGTACCCACGAACTACAAAGGACAAGTAAGCATTATTAAATTTCCTGGTCTGTTAATAGGTAAACTTGGATAATAAATTCTGTTGTCATGATGTGATATTTAATGTTAATATGTTTGTTGATCAGCCTGGGATCTAGCAATATTTTGTTTGCTTCAGTAATATGCTGAAAATTTTGTTGTGAAAATTAAGTCTTACTCCATCCTCAATCGACATTTTGAATAATTAAGTATTTTCTGGTGTTTAATGTTTCTAGTTTATTTTTATTCTCTTTGAAGGGAGAGTACATAGTTGATTTTTCCATTTGTTTGTCTGTCCATCTGTCATAATTTTGTCCGGAGCACATCACAAAAACTATTAGAATTATAAACATGAAACTTCATAGGAGGATAGATCTCGATGAGGAGAGGTAGAGTTTACAAGAAGCTGAACTCTCTTTTGAATAAGTTAGGAGTTACTGAAACTTGGTGTATACATTGGTCATGATAGGAAAATGTGCAGTGTAACAAATTCAGGGCCTGCAATTTCTTAATCACTGAATTACTGCTGTTTCAACAATATCATTTTCAGGGAGTATACATCAGTTTCTCTGATACCTTCTAATCCATCTGTTCTGTCAAATGATGATTAATGAAGCTGTAATGATTTGATAGGAACAAGGTCAAAGGTTTTGAAGTTTGCCGTGGTTTAGAAGTCCTAAAAGAAATATCTGACTGAACATTTCAGGCAATCTATGTGAAAGATGGTGAGGATGTAGTGGTGCCTGGTTTATATGCTTGTGGAGAGGCAGCATGTGCATCTGTACATGGGGCCAACCGTCTTGGTGCAAACTCCCTTCTTGATCTAGTTGTCTTTGGACGGGCATGTGCCAACACCATAAAAGAAGAGAATCGACCTGGTGAACCTATTGGAAACATCAAGGATGTAAGTAACAAATACACAGACGTGCATTGTAAACAATATCAGAGTGACAAATCTAGATATGTTGAAAATGATAATGCTTTTGTTATCTCAGTAAGATATAGTAAGAGATAGACCCTGTTTTGTTACATACCTCAGTAATCTGACCCTGGTGATAGAACCTGTTTTGTTACATGCCTCAGTAATCTGACCCTGGTGATAGACCCTGTTTTGTTACATACCTCAGTAATCTGACCCTGGTGATAGACCCTGTTTTGTTACATACCTCAGTAATCTGACCCTGGTGATAGACCCTGTTCTGTTACATACCTCAGTAATCTGACCCTGGTGATAGTCTGTTTTGTTACATACCTCAGTAATCTGACCCTGGTGATAGACCCGTGTTTTGTTACATACCTCAGTAATCTGACCCTGGTGATAGTACCTGTTTTGTTACATACCTCAGTAATCTGACCCTGGTGATAGTACCTGTTTTGTTACATACCTCAGTAATCTGACCCTGGTGATAGTACCTGTTTTGTTACATACCTCAGTAATCTGACCCTGGTGATAGACCCTGTTTTGTTACATACCTCAGTAATCTGACCCTGGTGATAGACCCTGTTTTGTTACATACCTCAGTAATCTGACCCTGGTGATAGACCCTGTTTTGTTACATACCTCAGTAATCTGACCCTGGTGATAGTCTGTTTTGTTACATACCTCAGTAATCTGACCCTGGTGATAGACCCGTGTTTTGTTACATACCTCAGTAATCTGACCCTGGTGATAGTACCTGTTTTGTTACATACCTCAGTAATCTGACCCTGGTGATAGTACCTGTTTTGTTACATACCTCAGTAATCTGACCCTGGTGATAGTACCTGTTTTGTTACATACCTCAGTAATCTGACCCTGGTGATAGTCTGTTTTGTTACATACCTCAGTAATCTGACCCTGGTGATAGTCTGTTTTGTTACATACCTCAGTAATCTGACCCTGGTGATAGTCTGTTTTGTTACATACCTCAGTAATCTGACCCTGGTGATAGACCCTGTTTTGTTACATACCTCAGTAATCTGACCCTGGTGATAGACCCTGTTCTGTTACATACCTCAGTAATCTGACCCTGGTGATAGTCTGTTTTGTTACATACCTCAGTAATCTGACCCTGGTGATAGACCCGTGTTTTGTTACATACCTCAGTAATCTGACCCTGGTGATAGTACCTGTTTTGTTACATACCTCAGTAATCTGACCCTGGTGATAGTACCTGTTTTGTTACATACCTCAGTAATCTGACCCTGGTGATAGTACCTGTTTTGTTACATACCTCAGTAATCTGACCCTGGTGATAGACCCTGTTTTGTTACATACCTCAGTAATCTGACCCTGGTGATAGACCCTGTTTTGTTACATACCTCAGTAATCTGACCCTGGTGATAGACCCTGTTCTGTTACATACCTCAGTAATCTGACCCTGGTGATAGTCTGTTTTGTTACATACCTCAGTAATCTGACCCTGGTGATAGACCCGTGTTTTGTTACATACCTCAGTAATCTGACCCTGGTGATAGTACCTGTTTTGTTACATACCTCAGTAATCTGACCCTGGTGATAGTACCTGTTTTGTTACATACCTCAGTAATCTGACCCTGGTGATAGTACCTGTTTTGTTACATACCTCAGTAATCTGACCCTGGTGATAGTCTGTTTTGTTACATACCTCAGTAATCTGACCCTGGTGATAGTCTGTTTTGTTACATACCTCAGTAATCTGACCCTGGTGATAGTCTGTTTTGTTACATACCTCAGTAATCTGACCCTGGTGATAGTCTGTTTTGTTACATACCTCAGTAATCTGACCCTGGTGATAGTCTGTTTTGTTACATACCTCAGTAATCTGACCCTGGTGATAGTCTGTTTTGTTACATACCTCAGTAATCTGACCCTGGTTATAGTCTGTTTTGTTACATACCTCAGTAATCTGACCCTGGTGATAGTCTGTTTTGTTACATACCTCAGTAATCTGACCCTGGTGATAGTCTGTTTTGTTACATACCTCAGAAATCTGACCCTGGTGATAGTCTGTTTTGTTACATACCTCAGTAATCTGACCCTGGTGATAGTACCTGTTTTGTTACATACCTCAGTAATCTGACCCTGGTGATAGTCTGTTTTGTTACATACCTCAGTAATCTGACCCTGGTGATAGTCTGTTTTGTTACATACCTCAGTAATCTGACCCTGGTGATAGTACCTGTTTTGTTACATACCTCAGTAATCTGACCCTGGTGATAGACCCTGTTTTGTTACATACCTCAGTAATCTGACCCTGGTGATAGTCTGTTTTGTTACATACCTCAGTAATCTGACCCTGGTGATAGTCTGTTTTGTTACATACCTCAGTAATCTGACCCTGGTGATAGACCCTGTTTTGTTACATACCTCAGTAATCTGACCCTGGTGATAGACCCTGTTTTGTTACATACCTCAGTAATCTGACCCTGGTGATAGTACCTGTTTTGTTACATACCTCAGTAATCTGACCCTGGTGATAGTCTGTTTTGTTACATACCTCAGTAATCTGACCCTGGTGATAGACCCTGTTTTGTTACATACCTCAGTAATCTGACCCTGGTGATAGACCCTGTTTTGTTACATACCTCAGTAATCTGACCCTGGTGATAGACCCTGTTCTGTTACATACCTCAGTAATCTGACCCTGGTGATAGTCTGTTTTGTTACATACCTCAGTAATCTGACCCTGGTGATAGTCTGTTTTGTTACATACCTCAGTAATCTGACCCTGGTGATAGTACCTGTTTTGTTACATACCTCAGTAATCTGACCCTGGTGATAGTCTGTTTTGTTACATACCTCAGTAATCTGACCCTGGTGATAGTACGTGTTTTGTTACATACCTCAGTAATCTGACCCTGGTGATAGTACCTGTTTTGTTATATACCTCAGTAATCTGACCCTGGTGATAGTACCTGTTTTGTTACATACCTCAGTAATCTGACCCTGGTGATAGTACCTGTTTTGTTACATACCTCAGTAATCTGACCCTGGTGATAATACCTGTTTTTAGGGACTACATTATACTTTGTTAAACATATCCTTTGCAAGATGTTTTAGATTGATTTGTTTGAATCAGAATTATGTCGAAGGATATGTCTAACAACCTGATGTCATTTGTGTAAATACATTGTGGTGTGAGTTTCACTTATTTTCACTCCTAATTCTACCACATGGATTCAGCTTAAACTTTGCCTGTAAGTTTGGTTACAGAATTACAGTAGTATGACACCACGTTTTTGTCAGATTAAGCATTGACAGTCATTTATGGTGAGGGATACTGATCATATATAAAATAGGTATCCAGTCATTCAAAAAAAATTAATTTAAATTTTGATAGTTTAAATTATTTCTACATAACAGATAGTGCTCATATATACAATGTATTGTGTGAGAATGAAACAAAATTAATGTTTTGTCTGTTGTTTGACAAAATCCTAAAACTGCTTAATGAGTTCTACTAAGGAAATTCAATTGAAATTAAATTAAATAAAATGCAAATCAGTGCATCAGTAGGGTAAAAACAACCTGATGATGATATTTGTTGAACTTAAGATGACATCGGGTAGTGTTTCTTGTTACGAAAATTCACAATCTTCATGAAATTGAAATCAATTACTTTAAAATATAAAAAAAAATTACTATAAAGTTGCTGATCGGAACAGAATTGTGATGTGATTCATGTGTATTTAAATCTTGTATCACTCATCACATATTGTTAATTGGTGATATTTACAGGGGATTAAATTTTGCTATATTCACAGCCATTGAAAATAGCAGGAAATTAATTATCAAGCAGTCATCTTACCATGAATGAAAATGTAAAGATATTTATATTATAGGCTGACTACACTGATGACAATGTATAAACATATGCAAAATTTAATCCCATTAACTTTCCTAAACCAGGACAACTGTAAAGTATTAGATGTTTGTCAAATCTGTGAAATATTTCACATTTCATTTCTCAGTGATATTTTCTGAAGTGTTAGATAATTGTTATAGGAAGTGTTTGAGATTTTTGTTTTATCACAAGTCTTACAAAGCTCCCATCATTGTAGAATGCCGGTGAAGAATCTATTGCTAACCTCGACAAGCTCAGACACGCCAATGGAAGCACGCCCACCGCTGATCTTAGACTAAAGATGCAAAAAGTAAGAGAAAAGTTTGTCTTATCTGCATGTCCACCGTGGATCTTAGGTTAAAGATTGGAAATGTTCGAGAATGATAATTTTCATTCATATCTGCACACCCACCACCGATCTTAACCTAAAGATGGAAAATGTTCGGGAATGATAGCTTTTATTCTTATGAGCACACCCACCACAGATCTTAGGCTAAAAATTGGAAATGTTAGAGAATGATAACTTATTAGTTTATATACAACAACCACTAAAGATGAAAAAGGTAAATGAAAATAGGCATCCTTATTATAAAAGAAATTAATACATGTATGAGTGTGAGATAACTCCAATGTCTCTCTCTCTTGACAAATCAACGGGTTTGTGTATCAATATCAGCCATATTAACAGTTTACAGAAACTGGCACTACTATCGCCTTGTGAAATTCTTGCCGAAAAATACTATTTTACTAAATTACTATGGACTTACATACACCATTACTGTTATTTTTTCGCAATAGTTATAAATCATAATTTACTGACATATATTCAGATTTTGATAGTCACTTCTGATCCACTCAATGAAATCATTTGTAATGATTAATTAGTTATTAATTTTTTTGTTGTAGGTAATGCAGAACAATGCTGCAGTTTTCCGTGACGGACCTATCCTCAAGGAAGGAGTAGATAAAATGAATGATCTCTATGACCAGATGGAAGATATCAAGGTAGAAATCACAACGAAACATAAGGCTGGCGAATCCTTAACCAGTAACTTTAACTGAAAAGTTTTGGGTCACCATGAATGAGTAATTCCAGTGATAAATTGAAATTTAATGTATCTAGGGTGTTTTCTCTAGCTCGATTATAGCGTACAGTTTCTCAGTCAGTAAACTGTACATTGCATTAGAACTGTTCTGACATGGCCACTACAACACTTGTCATGGTTGTAGGTATCAGACAGAGGTATGGTGTGGAATACAGATCTAGTAGAGACCTTGGAACTACAAAATCTAATGCTGAATGGTATGCAGACCATTGTATCAGCTGAGGCAAGAAAGGAGAGTCGAGGCGCTCATGCAAGAGAAGACTTCCAGGTTTGTCAAATGATTGTTATTAACATAAGTTCATGTAGTCTTAGTAATACAATAAGTTTATGAATTGGTTGTACTTCTGTTAGGATTGTCTTTTGACTGTAGTCTAGGATAATGATGACAGACAGCTGTATGTTTAATGAATGAGTTAGTTAGTTTGAACTTGATAATAGAATTACAACCTCTGTAGATTATGAAAGTATATGTAATGTAGTGGTATTCAAAATAAGAAAAAAAATAGAAAAAATCATCATTATCGTCATCATCATCGTCGTCGTCGTCGTCGTCGTCGTCATCATCATCATCATCATCATCATCATCATCATCATCAAAATTACGAAATAATTATTTAAAGTAGGTTGTAAACCATCTTAATTTTTGAAACTCTAATTGAGATGAACAAAATTTTCTGTAAAATAAAACTGATATGAAAAAACTTTCAAATACTTGTGCTTTTCAGGAACGTTTGGACGAATATGATTATGGTAAGGATATTGCAGGGCAGACCCCAAAACCTTTTGATCAACATTGGCGGAAACACACACTCTCTTATCAGGACCACCAAACTGGAAAGGTAAGAACATATATGTCTCATTCTTGCTGAAGACTTTATAATAGATTTTTCCTGTAACCCATAGACAGACCTCATTAATGAAACATTTAAAAGTGCTTACAGTGTTATTATCAAAGTTTTGTATTAATTAATTAAAGAGTTGATGTTTACCAACAGGTGACACTGGAGTATCGACGGGTAATTGATGATACCCTTGACAAGGACAAATGTGAAACCATACCACCAGCAATCCGTTCCTATTAGATCTGACCACCCTAAAATTTCAGTAAGTAAACAAATGAATTTTCACCTTAATGTTATAATGCAAAGAAAACATTTCCTGGTTGATTGTTGTTTAGATTATTTTGTGTAACGGACCACAAATATTTTAAATAAGTTAAACAGTACTCTAGCATAGAAACTCACAATCATGATGAATTAATTGTGCTATGTACTGTAAACAGACTTATTTGATGCGACCAATATTTTCAGTTTGAAAAACACTAAATTATCAATGTTTGCAGTAGCAACCACAAAAAGTCAGAATAGTACTTTTGTGTTTATGAATGGCACAGTTCAGCATGATCAGTTTGTACTAATGAGTAGATCAGAATTCGAGTTAGTTAACCATTTTCTCCTGTAAAAATGATGACAATGATAAAAAGTTCCTAGTAGTAAGTTCCTGGTTGTAAAAATGATGAAAGGGATAGAAAAGTACCAGACAGTAGACTTCCCCAAATTTATAAGCTCTGAACAAATAGAGAAATTCCTATTGGTCTATCATATTGGAACATCATAATTAAAGCTGAACACTGCTCACTGGAAATATACTGTTTTAAAGTTATCATTTTAAAATAACACACAGTGATGTCTTTATTGATATAAAATATTACTGACTGATGTCTTTATTGATATAAAATATTACTGAATGAAAACACACTGAATCAGAGTTTACCAATATCAAATTATATACAGTGATGTCATGCCATTGGCAAGGAATGAAATATTTCATATAATTTTTTTTAGCAGGTGAATAAATGAAGCTGTTTTGATATTATTGTGAAGCTTGCATTTTGAAAACATCTTTAAAGCGTACATGATATATATATATATATAAAGAAATTTTTGGTTATAATTTCTTTTTTTTTGTTTGCAGCATTTTGAGCAGACAACATTTTGAACAGACATTTTGAACAGAGGTGTTTAAGTAGCTGAGCTTGGATGGAGGGTTCAAGTATATCTAAAATATAGTGCATAAAATCTGAATATTTGGAAACAGAAGCTGCTGATTTTACAAATATTGTGCATAATCTGAACACTGACAGTCAAAGTCCTAGTCAAAATGCTACTTTAATGTAAGGATCCTTGAGAGAAATTGAGCTTACTGGTGATTCCTACATACTCTGTATTGTGGGTTACTGGATCTGTGCCATTCTGTTACTATTTCAATGTTTGGGGTGTTGATCAATTTACCACCATAGCTGTAGAATGCTACCTCGCACAGTCTTATGATCCAGAAACTGAGTGTGTTGTAACAGAAAACTGTCGCAGTAACATCTCTTTTCTCAGTTTCCTAGTGATATCAAAATGGAGTAACTCAGCACATTTGAATAGATAATACAATTCTCCAATTTTTTTTCTTAAATTGTGAAGAACCTTATAACATACATTTCATCAATAAAATTGGGATGGTGATCAAGAAGAGAAGAATTGACCATTGTAAAGGAAATGTTGTGTACAGAAAAAATCACTAATTCTACTCTGTAATTAACATGTATCCTAAATTATTTGATGTCCATTTTCGAGACATTTGATGTCATTTCTTCCAGGGTTGTATAAGGCTGCTGTGTTAACTTCAATCACATCAAAATCTTTCATCTTTATGGTGCGATTCACTCTGCTGTGGACAGATAGTAATATATTGTTTGTATATTTATGAGAAAGAGAATGCAAGCTTTCTTAGACTTTGTAAATAAATTATGTCTTGTGGTCTTTAGTGCTTATTTTATCAATTCACAAAAAGATTCATATTAATTAAATAATTCATTTGTAAACACTTGTTGAGTTTTACTTTGATAAACATTCTTACTTATTTCAAAAAACTTAAATATTCCTGGAGACATTATGTCCACAAAATAAATGGTTTAAACAATATTTTATTTTCAGATTTTCATTTACAACATACACATACACAAATTATAAAATTGAAAATGGATCTGGCAACAAGATTATAAATCTTATATTAAGCCATCTCCAATATAAAACAGTTACAATAGTACAATTTACATCAAACACATTGAAAGAGATTTTTTTTTAACTTAACATTCACTGATGAACACTGACCGTTAATATGTAAACCATAAGGAGATAACATAAGTTGGTAAGATAGGAGAAAGGAAGAGATAAAGAGAGCACAAAGAAACTCCATCCGGCACCTAGAATCTACCCGACTTTACGATGTACCTTTGCACCTTTTCAAATATAATGATATCTTGAGACAGGTTTGGGTCACCATGAATGAGTAATTCCAGTGATAAATTGAAAGTTAATGTATCCAGGGTATTTTCTCTAGTCCATTATAGCGTACACACTGCATCAGATAATGATAAGGAGTTTCAACCTGCCCACATACACACAGATCTGTATCTGAAACATGATTATTATAGAGATGATAATTGAGAGAGCTACATCCTAGACAAAGACGAGTGTGCATTACCTGAGCCCAGCCTTCACCAACAAAGAAGTATAGAGGTTTAATAATTTGTTTATCTAGGTGTTTTTGAAAGTGTTCAAAGTTGGAGAGTTTCTTATGTTATTTGGTATGCCATTCCATTCCGTAATAGCAGTAGGTGAAAAAGAGTTCACATAGATATTTGTCCTACTTGCTGGCGGATGTATATTTGAATTGGCCCTTAAATTAAATAATAATTAGAAAAAACTGACATGGATTTTAGTGTGAAGATTTCTGAGATTTATCCTTAAAATCAAATCTAAATAAAAATGCCAATTTTTGGAAACCACAAAATTGTAGGCCATTGAAAATACATAGTTTCAAAGTATCCTGAATAATAGTCGCGAAATGATAAGAAATCCATGACTACTTACAGACAATTATATTTTGCTGTCTTTGGCTATTGCACAGCTGAATTGTCATACACTAAGGATATCCTGAAGGGATCTAGTCGTAGTTATAAGATCTTGTTTAGTCCCACATTTATCAGATAATAGGTTGTTAAACTTACAGAATTTTTGTCGCTGCTATATATATGCTGGATGGGTCGTTCTCACATTTCACAAGTAGTTACCCCATGATCCCTTGTCAAGCATGGTTTATTTTGGGCTTGATCAAAGAAAAACTAAATGAGCCCTATCGATTCGGGGACCGAGTAAAAAAAAATTGTGACATCTGGCCATCACCTTATTTTGACTTTGAAAGTTTGGTATTGATAATTTTTGAGAACTAAAGAATGAATATTCCCGAGTTGGTCCCAGTACCCTTAGGATTTTGGGACTGACCAGAAATAATGTCAGATTTGAAATTGTGTTTGACAAACAATATTGTCGTTCTCTAGGATCTTACATTATAATTTTACATTATGCCCGATTCTTAAAAATTTCATGTGAAGGTTTACCCTGTAATTTTTAATTGTACTTTGTCCATTTTGGGGGGGGGTACAACAAGTGAAAGGTAATTGATGAAGGTAATGTTTTCTCATCATAAATAGATACAAGAAGTTAGACTAAGCACACTGTGATTGCCGAGGAACAACACATCGACAGCTCTTCAGTGTGCGTCCTTTTTAATTCGATGACGGTGGTCCTCATACAATCATAATTACTGCAGGTTAGAATACAACATGCAGTTAATGCAAGATCGGTATATATTTAACTTATCAGTATCACTGTACAGGTACACTGATTAGTATCACTGTATACAGGTACACTGATTAGTATCACTGTATACAGGTACACTGATTAGTATCACTATACAGGTACACTGATTAGTATCACTGTATACAGGTACACTGATTAGTATCACTGTATACAGGTACACTGATTAGTATCACTGTATACAGGTACACTGATTAGTATCACTGTATACAGGTACACTGATTAGTATCACTGTATACAGGTACACTGATTAGTATCACTGTATACAGGTACACTGATTAGTATCACTGTATACAGGTACACTGATTAGTCACTATACAGGTACACTGATTAGTATCACTGTATACAGGTACACTGATTAGTATCACTGTATACAGGTACACTGATTAGTATCACTGTATACAGGTACACTGATTAGTATCACTGTATACAGGTACACTGATTAGTATCACTGTATACAGGTACACTGATTAGTATCACTGTATACAGGTACACTGATTAGTATCACTGTATACAGGTACACTGATTAGTATCACTGTATACAGGTACACTGATTAGTATCACTGTATACAGGTACACTGATTAGTATCACTGTATACAGGTACACTGATTAGTATCACTGTATACAGGTACACTGATTAGTATCACTGTATACAGGTACACTGATTAGTATCACTGATTAGTATCACTGTATACAGGTACACTGATTAGTATCACTGTATACAGGTACACTGATTAGTATCACTGTATACAGGTACACTGATTAGTATCACTGTATACAGGTACACTGATTAGTATCACTGTACAGGTACACTGATTAGTATCACTGTATACAGGTACACTGATTAGTATCACTGTACAGGTACACTGATTAGTATCACTGTATACAGGTACACTGATTAGTATCACTATACAGGTACACTGATTAGTATCACTGTATACAGGTACACTGATTAGTATCACTGTATACAGGTACACTGATTAGTATCACTGTATACAGGTACACTGATTAGTATCACTGTACAGGTACACTGATTAGTATCACTGTATACAGGTACACTGATTAGTATCACTGTACAGGTACACCGATTAGTATCTCTGTATACAGGTACACTGATTAGTATCACTGTATACAGGTACACTGATTAGTATCACTGTATACAGGTACACTGATTAGTATCACTGTATACAGGTACACTGATTAGTATCACTGTATACAGGTACACTGATTAGTATCACTGTACACTGATTAGTATCACTGTATACAGGTACACTGATTAGTATCACTGTATACAGGTACACTGATTAGTATCACTGTATACAGGTACACTGATTAGTATCACTGTATACAGGTACACTGATTAGTATCACTGTATACAGGTACACTGATTAGTATCACTGTATACAGGTACACTGATTAGTATCACTGTATACAGGTATACAGGTACACTGATTAGTATCACTGTATACAGGTACACTGATTAGTATCACTGTATACAGGTACACTGATTAGTATCACTGTATACAGGTACACTGATTAGTATCACTGTATACAGGTACACTGATTAGTATCACTGTATACAGGTACACTGATTAGTATCACTGTACAGGTACACTGATTAGTATCACTGTACAGGTACACTGATTAGTATCACTGTATACAGGTACACTGATTAGTATCACTGTATACAGGTACACTGATTAGTATCACTGTATACAGGTACACTGATTAGTATCACTGTATACAGGTACACTGATTAGTATCACTGTATACAGGTACACTGATTAGTATCACTGTATACAGGTACACTGATTAGTATCACTGTATATCACTGTATACAGGTACACTGATTAGTATCACTGTATACAGGTACACTGATTAGTATCACTGTATACAGGTACACTGATTAGTATCACTGTATACAGGTACACTGATTAGTATCATACAGGTACACTGATTAGTATCACTGTATACAGGTACACTGATTAGTATCACTGTATACAGGTACACTGATTAGTATCACTGTATACAGGTACACTGATTAGTATCACTGTATACAGGTACACTGATTAGTATCACTGTATACAGGTACACTGATTAGTATCACTGTATACAGGTACACTGATTAGTATCACTGTATACAGGTACACTGATTAGTATCACTGTATACAGGTACACTGATTAGTATCACTGTATACAGGTACACTGATTAGTATCACTGTATACAGGTACACTGATTAGTATCACTGTATACAGGTACACTGATTAGTATCACTGTATACAGGTACACTGATTAGTATCACTGTATACAGGTACACTGATTAGTATCACTGTATACAGGTACACTGATTAGTATCACTGTATACAGGTACACTGATTAGTATCACTGTATACAGGTACACTGATTAGTATCACTGTATACAGGTACACTGATTAGTATCACTGTATACAGGTACACTGATTAGTATCACTGTATACAGGTACACTGATATAGTATACACTGTATACACTGTACACTGATTAGTATCACTGTACAGGTACACTGATTAGTATCACTGTATACAGGTACACTGATTAGTATCACTGTACAGGTACACTGATTAGTATCACTGTATACAGGTACACTGATTAGTATCACTGTATACAGGTACACTGATTAGAATCACTGTATACAGGTACACTGATTAGTATCACTGTACATGTACACCGATTAGTATCACTGTACAGGTACACTGATTAGTATCACTGTATACAGGTACACCGATTAGTTTCACTGTATACAGGTACACTGATTAGTATCACTGTATACAGGTACACTGATTCAGCCCTTCTCACTACATTCTCTATATGTTCCAAGGTTTCACTCACTGTAACTCTGTACCCTTGGAATATTTTTTGGCAAAGCTGAAGTTTCCATGTTCGATACCTTGTGGATAAGAGGAGAAGACTTGTTTGATACTGTAATATACATCAAACGAATCTCGAGGTGTTCCATAATGGTATGTTTAGCTGGCTTTGAAGTTGTGTTCGCACCTTTGTGATATTCACATGAACAGTTTGTGATTAGTCAGTTTTTTACTCCTGAAACCCGCTTTAGACCAATCAAATTACTTCGTTTGTTCCTTACATTTTGCCAGGCGTCCTGGAACCGAAAGTAATCGTAACCTTAAGAGTATTTAGGGTCTTTACATGGAGTCAAGTTGTATAGGCTAAATGCTTTTGATGACAATGTCTGCATTTTCTTTGTTCATTTCATCAGAATCGTCGTCTTTGTCCTGTCGAGTTGTTATACAAAAAGCCACCATATGGAGAAGGAGTGCGCAGCCACGACAGCCAACGTCTAGGGCGACCAATCGGTAGCGCATATTTACAATGTCGTATAAGCCACAGGCGCCTCGCACTCCACACGTTGTCTTCCATATTAAGCAGGCACTGTCATAGATCTTTCCAAAAGCAATAGGTGTAGGAATGAACACTGAAATAGAGCAGAATAAACATCACTTACATGTAGGAACAGCGAGGAAATATTACCATTTTAACCAACCATTAAACGACAGAGTGCAAAATATTTGACAAGAGAAAGTTTTAAACTGAGACTTTAAAAAGCGAAAGGAGACTAAAACTAAAGTTTATTGGAAGCGCAATCGTCTTCTGTTTCACCAGCGACATTATGAATTCATTTAAGTAATTTCACGTTCTTAAACGAGAACACCGTCAGCCATGAAATCACCTCAGGTATATCACAAAGTATCGAACAAATATTACTTCATACCAAAAAACGGAATAATATTTCTTTTGAGATCATGTTGACAACGATAACATTTTCTATAGTCTTCTATAAACCTGCACATCTAGAAGCCTTGGTTTGTAAGTCCATCTGTCATGCAGCTGTATTCATCGAAAATAAGACATAGGAAAAACACTTTTACGACAAGATTAACTGATCCACTTTTCACGAATTTGTTTATAACCCGTCGGAAAGAAGCTCTGATAAGAGAAAGATATCAATTTTCTGAAGTTAAAGAAAGAATCAAATATAAACAAGAAAGGTCCGTATCCTTATTACTTATAGGAAATCCGAATTATTGTAATAGTAATGTATATTGTCTTTTGAATTATATATATGATTTCCTTCGTTATCGAGCAAGTATACTTCTTTCCCGCAGACCGGGAAAGTGGCAATGTTGCAGTCTAGAATCAGGTTATTCAAGAGAATTTATCTGTGGACTCTTGATTTCGTCATCAAGGAATAAAGACTTGTATTTCGCTTACATTTTATACATTAAACTGCTAACACTCTAAAAGAAAATCCAACAAAGAATGCTTTAGTCTAATCCAATCTTAAGCAGTGTCCCTCCTGATGAGGGGTGGATAAGGATGCTCTCAGGGTCGACAAATATTGATTATTTTAGAGGAGGATGGAGCAAAATAGATTTGATCCGCACTTAAGTTAATCTAACGCAACATGCTCTCGGTATGTTAATTCTGCACTTTATGTATAAACAGAGCTGAAACACCATTTACGATTTGTTTCGAGTGATTTGTATTCAGCAGTTGCAATACTTGTGTGTTAAAATGAAATGACATTGGCACCCTCTTGTATTGACGTTGTCGTAGCATATATTTGTACTTGGTCATCACCGTCTAGTGTTTATTCAAAGTTTTACAATAAATTGATAGCAAAATCTTGGCAAACTGATAGTTTATATCGCAAGACGAAATGTTTTTTTTATTCCAGTCCGATAATGTTCTCACTGTGAGATATAAACGTCGAGATTCCCAAACATTGGTTCTCACTGTGAGATATAAACGTCGAGATTCCTGAACACTGGTTCTCACTGTGAGATATAAACGTCGAGATTCCCAAACATTGGTTCTCACTGCGAGATATAAACGTCGAGATTCCCAAACATTGGTTCTCACTGTGAGATATAAACGTCGAGATTCCTGAACACTGGTTCTCACCGTGAGATATAAACGTCGAGATTCCCAAACATTGGTTCTCACTGTGAGATATAAACGTCGAGATTCCCAAACATTGGTTCTCACTGTGATATATATACGTCGAGATTCCCGAACATTGGTTCTCACTATGATGTATTAAAGTCGAGATTCCCAAACATTGGTGCTCACTGTGAGATATAAACGTCGAGATTCCCAAACATTGGTTCTCACTATGATGTATTAAAGTCGAGATTCCCAAACATTGGTGCTCACTGTGAGATATAAACGTCGAGATTCCCAAACATTGGTTCACACTGTGAGATATAAACGTCGAGATTCCCAAACATTGGTTCTCACTATGATGTATTAAAGTCGAGATTCCCAAACATTGGTTCTCACTATGAAATATAAACGTCGAGATTCCCGAACATTGGTTCTCATTATGTCACGGTGGTCAAACTTATATATACATATAGTTAGATATATAGTTCGGCCAGTAATTTAATTAATGTGATATATACCGTGTACATGTGTATGTTAATACTTGCGCTGTGTATTGTGTGCCTGTGTATAGTAATGTACTGTGTATGAGAGGTGGGTGAAAGTGATTGGATGACAGTGACCTGCACTTTGACCCTGCATGACCCTGTCCTCGCACGTGAAGTTTCCCAAATTTCCTTACCTGGGTGAAATTCGGATTACAGGTCGCTGTCCTGTGAACAGGCTTAACACTGTATACACTCACTGATATTGCCTGTGTGGGTTACTGCCACAGTGCAGGTAAGTGTTGTTTACTTAAAAATATTTAAAACTACATTTAAATATTACGCTACTAGAATATTATGTAAAATAGTACTTTCATCTAATTGACCGTCCGTATTTTAACTATCTAATATGTTAGGCCAGAAGTAAATACATACGTGGACAGGCTCTGTATATCATAGGGTGGGGTCAAAACAAGAGTTGTAATTGTAAATATATAAGTATCTGTAATAGAATATACAAGTTAATAAATGTCTATAAATATTTAATACTTTACGGTATTGAATATTGGGTGTTGCATGTTTATGCGCGTAAGTTCTATATTATGTTCAATAAACTGTGTGTCGTGTAAACGGCCTTGGATTGTTGAGTTACACATTATGCTATTATGTAGAAAAACCCACACGCATACGTGCGACAACTATGATATATTAACGTCGAGATACCCGAATACTGATTCTCACTATGAAATATAAACGTCGAGATTCCCGAACATTGGTTCTCACTATTTGATATAAATGTCGAGATTCCTGAACATTGGTCCTCACTAAGTATGTAAGATTTGCTACTGCCACAATATTGATAGTATAAAATAGTTACTGTTATTCTTACCAAGTAACGCCACGGCAGCCGACAAAATACCCAACGCTAATGCCCGACTCTCTTCTGGAACCGACCTAATATAAAAGAAAAAAATTGGTTTTAATTAGCATTTTTGTCTTACATTTATAACAATATTTATTAGCCCAAGTTTTCGCTCATCCCTTTCTTGAACATTCGATAATTTGCCTGGCAGACGCCATTATCATTTCTGATTTTTGGGATGGTTTCTGACCCTGACATGAATGGTTGTAATACACAAATGTAGAGTGTAATATGGGATTCATTGTTACTATTAGTAACACAATTCCACATGAAAAAATAAGAGATAAAAGAGTTCTTTTTTATACTTGCCTCAGAAATACAAGGTATATTGGCATAATGCCCATTGTGGCTACTAGAGTAGAAATCATGGAAACGGCAACGTAAGGAATAAGGAACGAACACCCACTATCACAGATACCAGGCCGTGCCTTCTGATCACCCGACACGAACTGACAGTTACTGTACAGCTAAAATGAAACAACATTGACAAAATGAAATAGAGACATGAAAATGGTTTCATTTTTAAATACTATTTTTCATGTATCATAATTGAATTAACCTGGTTTCATTTTTTACTCTAAAATTTTTTTATCACAGGGAAAATACCATGAAGTCATCTGTTTTGGTGTGTTTTTTTTTTATTTCCGTCGATTTCACGGGGAGTGTTATTTCACGTGTACAGTATGTATGATCAGGTAATCATTATCAATTAAAGATTGACATCAATTGTTCATGCCATGGAATTTCGTTTGTACTATTGATTGACGAATCAAGTGCCAAAATAAAAATCTCAGATTTAGTTTTTCAGTGTTATAACTTACATTGTCTGTGACATTAAGGCAGCCCGCGTGACAAGGTGTGATGAATGTTTGTCCGTTTGATCCACATACCGCCTGGTATGTCACGTCCTCACAGTTGCAGCTCTGTACGGACGTTGGACTGAAACAGGAGACTCGTGCATATCACACAGTTACGTACGCGGCCATCTAGAATGTGGTTGAGAACTGGTGGCTTTACAACACGCTTGTCGTTAGAGATGAGATTATGTACAACATCGCATCACAACAAATACTTAATTGTTCTGCTAGGTCGACTAGATTTCGAGCATTCTATTGAAACAAACGGAACCATTCATATTTGAGAGAACCATGAAAGTTAGGAGATACAAAGATGGATGGTTTGCCTTCACTCTGCATAGGTAATCGCAGTTAAGACAAAAATTCTGGAAAAGAATATTGTTTAAAATCAGTTTAAGGGAAAGAATCTTAAAGGTTCATACTTACATCACCTTCTCATTTAACCCTTTAACTGGTGGGTTTTCGCAACCAAAAATGAACTCGAGACTGGACAGTGCCGTTGTTAAGAAACTGAGAACGACAACCATCTTCAGACACTTCCGTCGGTTCATGCGCAGACGTGACGTTATGTATCCGCCAAGACACACCCCTATTATTCCAGTTCCTAACTTTTCAACTCCTGCATATAAAGAAATGATATTATCGTCGACATACAATAAGTGATATGATAAGAAAAGGAAATCGATAAGCTACCTATATAAGGATTATTTTAATTTCTTAAATAACATTCACATATTTGTGTAAAACCTGCCTCCTGCCATATGCGAGGATAATTCCGAAACTATGAGCAATGTTCAACGTCAACAGGTCAATATATAAGTGAATAAGGAATGAATACTAACCTATGTAAAAGTAACTAAATATGCCATGACGAAGTGAGAAAAACAAAAACAAAAACAAAAATCTGATATATTTCATTAGTTTTGACGCAAATTTCTCACCTTCATACCTAAAACTTTTTTTAGTCTCTTGTGTACTGAACAGTTGTAATTCGGTTAATGGATTTTATACAAAAGCAAAACACACACAATTAGTTCGCCTGGCCCAAAGGAATGACAGCATTTTGTTGAAATTTGGTCTGAAGTATTCTTAGTTGTAGAGAACTCAATTGGGTATAAATAGTAAATCTAACCCCAAGTGGAAATAAAAGAAAGGCATCTTCTGATTGGATGAAGCTATTTTGATCAAATCGTGTTTTTGTGTCAAAACAAATCCAGATGAGCGATGTAGGCCCCAAAGTACACATGTTTAAGGCTATAAACATTGTTATCAAAATTGAAACAAAACTTTATAAAAATTCAAATCGATAAAATCGTGACATAATTTGATACACAAAGACAAAAGTAGGGGAATCCCTTTGAAAGAAAGAAGCTCAGAAAAAAATAGAGGGAGGGGGAGGGGGAGGGGGTGGTGGGGGAGTGGGGAGTAGTGGTTTATTTCTGGCAGCTTCCTTACCTAAGATCATATTAGCTTTCCACGTTGGAATATTGAATTGATTCTCCAAATATTTCGGTCCAAATATAGTATTTCCCATGGCTCCAAACAAAAGACACAATGTCGCTACTAAACATACGTCAAACACAGCGCATCGGAACACTTTAAGTAAACCTCTCGGCAAGGCTGTAAGTACAATAAACATCGTTATATGACATAAAAAATAGGTTTCTTATCAAATAATATCATGTTCTAAATTTCTATTTGTCTTTAAGATACGTAGTTAGGTATTCGAAGCTCTTTAATTTGCCTGGTTTTGGTATTAACAAGGTTTCGCAATCGTGACATATCCTTGAGCTGACATAAATCATAATTTGATGGAAGCCCTTTCAGAATGCACGATGACTTTTTATGTCAAGAAAAAAGCCTTAGATGTTTAGCGTATGGAACATGGTAAATATAAAATACAGTAAAGTGATATGTTGTCATATATTGTCATGTTATTGTCAAAATATCTCTCAGTATCGTTAAATTTCAATAATGTCCTATTTTTAGACCCTCTTTGTTCTATGGAAAGAAAAATTAGGATCTGGTTTTTTTCCCCCACTGTTTTTCTCTTTTCTTTATTTATCAATTTAGATTTATTGATTAACATGGTCTTTATTTGGCGTAATTGACTTTTCAAAATCTTAATGTGTCGTGGGTTTGCCACTTGTCTTATTGACAAAGTCACTACGGTTTTAAGGGGGTCGTGTAATTATTTATAATATTCCTTGAAATCACTTTAAAAGGTAAAAATATCTTGGATTTTACACGGCAGTTTATTTTGTTTTACACAGTGAATGCGATTTTTTGTTGGATCTAGTGTAAACAAACACAGACCGATCTAACAGTGCAAATGTTATCGAGTTCCGTGATTTTTTAAATTGAAATGTTTGAACTTATTTCATTGTATAGATAAAATAACAAACAAAAACAAAAACATAACAAAAATAAAAAAGACAATCAAAACAAATCAAAATTGTCGGAAAAAAATAAATGAACAAATAAAAAAATTGATCTTTTATTTTTACACTAAAGATAATTAACAGGCCAATGTCATTCGGATTTTCATTCGCAGCATTTTACATCAATAGAAAAAGAAATCTCGAGAATAAATAAAAACATGTTGTTACTTAAATGTAGCTGTACTTACATTTGATCTTATCACAAAAAGATTCCCTATTCATTTGTTCGATCTTCTTCAGGCGGCTTTCATTAAGAACTGGAGCCGATGGTAATCTTCGTGGAAAAGTTGCCAGTGGTATTGCTGCTAAAAGTGATAAGGATCCGAACAGAAGAAAACCGAGCCACCATGCTCCTATCCACCGGGAATCCTCTGGTGTCATTGTTGTATCTATTCATAGAAGGTAACAAACAAAGCAAAGTTATCGTGTCAGTGAAAGAACTGAACTGAACTGTCATCCTGTGGATAACTAATACCCACTCCATCCACCCCCCTCCCCCCCCCCCCCCCCACACACACACACCGGCAAAGACACTATATATCAGTTTCTGTGAGCACAGGGTATCATAGCTATTTTATGTCGTGCAATTCACGAATTTATATATAACATTTAAGTACATTTAAGTAACAAGAAAATGCAGAATATTGCTGAATACAGAGACAATCGCTGGAAAATATTCTTTGAAATATTAAATACAAAAACATGGTGATTCCAATTTACTCCAAAGTTAAAATAATATAAATATAAAAAAAATATAAAAATCATGTTGTTATCAAATGGGTTTCTCACAGAGTCGACATTTGCTTACAAAGTATAATATTTAATTATCTATACATAATAAGCTTATATATATTTGAATACACCGTCATTCAGTTAAAAGACATTCTTACGTTTCAAGTCTACAGGCAGTTTGCCAAACACTCCTCCCAGCATAAGAGCAACGAATGGGCCCATCATTCCGAGTGCCGTCGTTATTCCTGTAGAAAGCATTGTACAAATGTCACAGAGTACTCGTAAAATAAGCATGAAATTTAGAGTCAGATTTGGCCGGGAATTTGTTTTCAATTCTACCAACACATTGAAAGCATCACCTGTATTTCAACTGAATATTTCAATCTTAGCTAGTAATTTCGTTGTAATATTTGTTCATCTGTAGATGAATCTATTTAGTAAAGTACTTTAATGTTAAACTAATGGTTGAGTCTGTGTTTTTATCAAAACTATTTCGGATTAGCCTAACTCATATCAATTTGGGTTAATGGGCCAAATTACACATCGAATTGCATATATATGTATAAAGATACTTTCTTATAAAATCACATCATAATAGCAAACAGTAGAAGAACATTTGGAATATTAAATTTTCAACCCCCCCCCCCCCACTCCCAACCCCCGCTAAAAAAATGTCACATGTTGTTTAATTGAATTTAAATACGCCAGACAGGATAGACAAGTGTATTTACAGGTTTGAAGGAAACAATAAGCTCTTAACTAACTAGCAGGCCTTTAAAAGGTTAGGAAAATTAACCTGCGCAGTAAACTAACTACATTTTCTCTTTAATCTAAACCTCGTATTAATCTCGTACATTACAAGTGCGTGACGCGGAAAAACTGCCAAAAATGGAATACTGCCAAAACACTATAGGTATGATACATGTATTAAGATGCAGTAAAGGTGGTTCTGCTATACTGGTAGGGTGTTATAGAAATACTAGAAAGATAATATCGGCATGATATTAGGATTCTGTAAAGTGCTACTTCAATGCTATTTAAATACTGGTAGAATACTACAGGAAAAATATATTTACACGGAAACCACTGAAACAGTACTACGAGAATACATCCAGATATTACGATAGGGCGATGTTCTTCATTAACGATACCCGACACGTAATTCTAGGGAAATGCATGCTAGTAACCAACATCACCCTCCCTAATGAGAACGAGATACACAGAAAAGAACCCTCCCGGTTTATTAACGAACTACTTAAACATCAAACTTTATACTGCTCATGGAAAAAGTTGATTTCAGGATGCGATCGTGACGATACTGTTAGAAAGCAATTCTAAAATGAAGCAATGTGACTGCTACTCACTCGGGTACTGTTTACCATGCTTTCATATACTAACGGGATAATTTTGTGGCCTTATTCGCATAATTCTACGTATCAATATACAACTGACACACGTTTCTATGAATATATTGATATATTACAAGGCCAAACAAACTAATTTCCCGTTTCCTGTAACTCTACCAACCCTAATATCTTATGCCTATCATACACTTACAAAGGGTTTTTTTATTTCAAAAGTCTTATTGCAAAATTATTAAAAAATATATTAGGACATTGTTAGGTAAGATTTACGTTGCTTTTGGGGATGTTTTTGGAATAATTTTCATATCACTACAGTCCTAATTTTAGATATGCATTTGAAAAGCTATAGGGTTAATATTTTGGGTCCAGTTTGATAAATGTTTTATATACATACCTAGGTATAGTCCTGTCTTCCCCTTTTCTGTATTGTTGTCAATATAGAGTGTCCCTAAAGGAGAGCGAGGGGATTTCCCTACTCCTTGTATACCAAGACAAATCCCCAGGTACACAACTACCCATTTCACTCGCTCAGTCTTCAGTGTCTCCTCAGAGCTGCACGAATGGATGGAACTATTTCCTTCGGGTTTGCACAAACTTGTCATAGAGTTATCTTCGGACTTGTTTAACACACTGTTGCCATCAACCGACGAACTGAAACCGGAAATGAATGGAGGCAAACTACACATTAAACCGGATATTCCGTAGAGTACCACCGCCATGGACAGAAGTCGGGGGATATGAAATCTGCAAAAGAAAATAACTTATAAATACACAGGTATCCAGTGGGTACATCTGTTAAGTTCTGATTTGGGTTAAAGCTATGATGTAATTACAACTGCACGTGTCTATCAAATCTATTTTTACGGTCAGGATCTACATTAAGCCAATTTCGCTGATGTTCAACTTCCACGCCTTTTCGGTTAGAGGGCGAAGATGAAAGATGTACATAACTTGGAAATTACATTTAAAATGTATTTTTTTAACAGTTTGTTTGCATATTCAACACAATAGAAAAATGAAGTCTCGTGCGAGGGCAAAAAATACCCAGACGAATGTTTTTCTTATACGTTGTTCAATGCTTTCCGCCTAGATGTAATGGGTTACCAGTTTGTAATTTTGGTATTTTGATAAGATGAATAGTGCTGATTGTTGCATGTAAGAAAAAAAAGTTATGAAAAGGAACGAAATCAATATATTTCCGACTTGTTAAGTCCTTCGTACTTAACAGCTACAACTCGTGAATATTCAGATGTTTACCTCGGTCCAAAATGGCCGAACAGTAGAACTGTCAGGAGGAACCCAATATCATTGCAGCTGAGGATGATACCACTCTCCCCGCTACTAAGTCCGAATTGTCGCTCCAGCGTGGTGATCTGTGACGACATGTAAAGTGCTAGGGCACTGGTCAACATCGAAGAGCTCCCATATGCTAATGTAAAAGTAACAATATTTCTAGAACATCGACATCTCGTGTTTTCTGTAGTGTTGGATTCTGTTTCCGGTGACTCCATGTCGAACTTGTTAACGTTGTCTGTAATAATGTTTGTAGAGTTTACATCTTCTGTCGAATGTCCTTCCGCTGTTCCGGATTTCTGAATTCCATTACTATTGTCATTTTGTTCTTTAACCCTGATGAAAAACAATGATAAATCATGTCCTACACTTAATTTTTAAAAAGTGTTTTTCGATGACAAACATTAAAGATCTCAATAGCTACTACGTTACATCACACTCCTATTCATATGCAAGGTTAAAACAGGATGGGATCGCTTGACGACCGAATGGAGATTTTCCTGGGCTACTGAACATCAATTTTCTTAATGCTCATGGAAATATCATATGTCACGATTAGGTCGTGGTGTAAAATTACTATTCTGCAATGGTGCTGATGATTGGAATATTTAGACACCGTTTTAGATATCTTTGGGGTATGATGCGAATACTATTTCATGATATCAAGATACAATTGAAACACGTTCCTCCAACGTTCCTACAATTTAGGCCCCTAGCATCACGGAGGTTTATCGGACACTCCGGTCTCCTACCACAGAAAGACCCTTCGTGCACTTTCATCAATGTTGTAGAATAACCAAGTGTCATACAGGTAATGGAAAGTTCATAAATCAATGATAAAGCATATTATATCACCACTATATAGGGGGGAGGGGGAAGGAACGAAATACCAACATGTCATCATGATCATAAATATTCAAAGACGGTAGGGACACAAGATATTATTGTCCGAATTTTTAGTCGCCCTGGAAAATACTACCCGTTTGCAAAAACTAATACCGACTGCAGAGCCCCTGTGTAGAACACTGCATACACATACAAATGTACGTATGTATTTGATGTCAACATATTTGTTGTTTTGTAAAGTTAATTATGAAAATAAAAGAAGATAAGATGTAAATGGCGATGTACACTAGATATCGTTCAAGTACATGTGTATGAATCAGGACAACATTTTTAAACGGTGAATTACATTATGTATTGGTGTTATGATCTGTCACAGTTACCATAGAGAGGCGTTGACCTCGCAGCCATATAAGGTTGTGATCAATCACTAATGTCGTGTGTGATATAACTGAAGTCGGCCACAAACAAGACACCAAAGTACATGATAAGCCTATGCAGATAAGTGTACGCTCCTGTCATTGTCCTGATGTCCCTGTCAGTATTCTGTTAATGTTGGGATTGTTTTGGTCTACCAAGTTGCCTGCTCGGGTCATCGCCGGTATCACATGCTTGTTTTATGATTTCCCCTAAATATTTCACACAAATTTGTGTTTGTTGAAACACACTGGATTGTATCATAATCTTTATAAGCTGATTTTTCACGCTTTTATTTATTTTCTGCTTAAAAATCAAATATGTGAAAAATATATAAACCCACGTGTGAAATAAGATAAAATAGAGATTTAACATGAAACAGACCGAATATTGTTAAAAATTCAATTGTCAAGTTACTCAAAATGCTCATAGATAAGGAAAGGTTTATTTTTTAAAAAAATCAACATTTTAAATGCCGCATGTGAGCAAGGAGATAATTCATCGCAAAACATGGTCACAGGTCAATAACATATACATATAATATATATATACCCCCCCCCCCCCCCCCCCCCACACACACACACACACGCACACACAATTTATATACAGAGAGAGAGAATCAATTCATTCAATATCAGATATTTAATGTAAAATATTAATAATAGATTTCTGGGGGTTTGCTCTTTTACAAAAAAAAATAATGGTAATAAAATATGATTTAATGCTGTTTTGTCTTTGTTGTACAATGTAATAAACTTACCCTCGCCGTATTTTCAGGTAAAAATATCGTATTCTAGGACACAGAAATATGCATTTCTACAATTATCGGTTTATCTGATTATCGACAATTCGCTGTAACTTTTTATGAATATTAACGTAAATTCTACCTCAGTCCATAGTCATACTTATAATAATATCTTACGGCAGTAAACAAGCTTTTGTTTTATATGTTTCATGTATTTTGAAGCGGCGTTTAAAGATACATTATTCCCTAAGAAATAAATAGATAGATCAATTACAATGCGGTAGTCGACACCAGGTTCTCTCTGTTAAGGTAAAAAAAACCTTACCTGTACGGACTGACACACACATACCTTAATATCATTACTAAAATTTAAACATGAAAAACGACTTAACGGTTTTTGAATTACTTTACTCCGAGTGGAAGCAAATTCGGTTTCTCTGTCATAAAGAATTTTATTATTCTTCATTAACGATGACGATCATGTCCAAATATTTTATATAGAGATACATTAATTAGGTTAAATTACAACTGTTTGGCCATCGTTAATGCGTTGCCATACATTCATCTGTAGAGTGTTGGTATCTATTCTTAACAATGCCAGTGATGTTATCTGATAAATTATGTTAATAACCATTTAATTCGGTTAGAATTTTTCATGGAAATGTTCTAAAATACCTATATAAATGTAGACTTACCTGTGATCCATAGTGCAGGTGTTCTGAATGTTTGCTTTACTGCTGGTGTGCCATGCTGGTCGTAGGATGTCGGTGTCATACATCAAAACCACTGCCACTACGTCATGTACATACAATTACAAGTGACGGCAATGAGGAAATATGTTTATGTGTCTCGGTAGAGTAGACGCCCCATCACAGGCTTTCACTTACTCAGGTAAACATTATGTACGGAGTGTTTTCTGTTTAGTTATAATCACATTCTCGGTTTTTAAGACCTGGTGATGCATCTACATTACGAAGTCCATGCTTCCATTTCGTCGTGCACTTGGTTGCATAAAACCAGAATGATTATTGACGCCCTAGATGGTGTTCCACAATGGATACACGTATAGTGTCTTTATGTAATGCAGAGTTATCAGTTTTGGTAAGCAGGTAATTACATAGCGAAAAACCGGAATAACAGTGCAAGACATTTATCCTAACTGTGAATCTCGTACATAATGTGATTTAATCTATATAGACCAATAGACGGCTGGTTACAGCAAGTACTACGTTTTAATTGGCTGACTAATCAGCAGGTAAAGTCAGGCACTCCTACTAATCACAGTTATCTCAACGGTTTGTTTCTACACACTTTTATCCGTGAAAATAAAATCTTCTCCGCAGTATCCATCTCTGTTAAGGAAGGGCTGAGGTAGACTTTCAGATGCTCTTCAGTACTAAATAAAATAATATATTTAGTGAGATATGCTTTACCTACACTGTAATACACAATTATGTAACATGAAAACTCATAGATGTAATAAATTTCGTATTTTGTCCATTTTGAATCGTAAAAAATCAAAATAGGTAAAAAAAACCCATAACATACATGCCGATTGATGAATAAAACTGTCTCGTAGAGCTGTTGCATCTCCCTGTTCTGTGATGGTAGAGACCGAAATTGTAAAAATCAGAGGAGTGAGTGGAGGTCCGAAAGGGGGAGAGATATTTAAGAAAATCCAAAATTGTCGGTAATAAACATGTGAATCAACAGAGGAACTATAAATAAACCCCTTTTTACAATCGTTTGGTTAATTTTGGAAAGCAGTTATTTCAAAATCGATTTAATAGGAATTTATAGATAGCAAGTTTGGTAAGGGCAAACTTGGGGACTTAACAAATGCAGCATTTGAGCATTCTACTAAGAAATCTCAGAAAGGCTGGACGTCAAGTACACGGAAAACTTTGTAATAAAATTACCAGAGCTCTCACTTGAATATAAACAAGGGAATCTATACACAAATGTTTATTAGCATCAACATTTTTGAAAAGAAAAAAAATACAACGTTTTCATATCAGAATATTTTTGACGTTCGTGCAGAGTTACCTCCCCGCACGGAGCTTTCCTACTTGATTTTATTTTTATGTAAGCATGGCGGGTATTACGCGCACCTCACGGAAAGAAATTGCTTACGGGGGAACTGTGGTGAGTTCTTATGCGTAAGTAATAGTTCTTTTGTATTATATTAATATTATTTAATTGATGAAATGGTGCTTGAGCTGTAGTTTTTAGAGATCGCGTAGTATCGTTGTAGAATTTTATGGAAGCGCACTGCAACCGGTGCAAGGGAAATTTTAACCCATTTAAACATGCCAAGAGAATCATTTAGCAAAAGTAATTTTAAATGTTAATTATTAACAGGGATAATATCAATTTTATTTTTATTTATTTATATATATTTGTTTATTTTTTATTTATCGAAAAACACATGAGGAATAAATAGATTCATATATACTATCAGTCTATAACTCCCATCGTCACACACTTACAGAGTATAGTCATGCATCATTTTTACCACTAAACACACAGCATTTTGAGTTGCACACTATATCTTAACTATCATAGACACTATGTAACACAATCACTCTAAACATATATTTATAACTTGCAGCCATACTAGCACTCCAGCATTGTTACACTGGGGTTGACACTAACTTTTTTACCATGGTAGCCCACCGGGCTACCAAAATATTTTTTCAGGTAGCCCTGCCTCAAACTTGGTAGCCCGATAATCAATCCACCATTTTTACTTGTTTTCTTGTTATGAAATTCAAAATAAAAAACAAACAAGTTCTAAGCAGAGATGATTTTTTTATGTAGTTTCAGAAAACACTTGACTGTTGTTTCATAACATCTAAAAACATCTTGTAGGATTTTTGCTGTAGTTCAATCAAATCCCTGTGTGACATTTCATCACTTTCCTCATCACTGCTGGAGTTGTCAAGAACTGTAGATCCTACATCATCAACGTTCTCCAAAGGCTGTCCATCAAGATAAATGTGATGATCATCATAGCTGATGTCTTCCTCCACAGAAATTTGTTCCTGTGTTTGTGGATCCAACACTACCATCTGCTTTGGAATGTTACACCGCTGAATTATAATAAAATGGACATAAAGATTAAGGCATCAGTTTCAACAGAAGTTTCAGCCTATCCCAATACTAATGGGGAATGTTTATTTTCAAAAGTGATAACTGTTTATTTGACTTCATGATTAGCAACTAGGAATCATTTTGTTATCATTTTCAATTATGTAAAAATTCTTTAAAATTCTTCTACCTTTAACTCATCCTTGTAGAAGGGACGTCTGGCTCTCTGGCCCTGTCCATACCAGAGGTTAATGGCTGGAAGGGGATCAAAGGCTTCAACTTCTGCTGTCTCCAGTGTGACAAGCATCAGGTCACACAGATTGTCCTCTCCTAACCGTGACCTCCAGTCATTTTTTACAATTTTCATACTACAAGAGTACATGGATACCATTAGTCACCGTCCAACAAAACCAAAATGTTGGAATTGCTTCAATCCAAACAATTAATTTTAAACAACAGTATATCTGAAAAAGAGAAAAGAAAAAACCCACCAGGAAAACCCTCTTTCTGCCTCAACAGAAGACCCGGGCAGTGTCAGGAGGTAGTTGAAGAGCAGAAAAAGATTGGGAAAATCTTCCCCAAAGGCTTCCTCAAGTTCTGTCAGTGAAGATGGTTTACCCTGCTTTCTGAAAATACATAATCCAATGAAATGAAATATTCCAAATGTCATTAATATTTATTACATTACACTTAGTAAAGATAAGATTGTCACTGAAAACATGTTGGTATTTTGAAGGCAAGCCTGCTTACCTAGATACCAATGTTGTTTTAAGTCTTGTCCACTCGTGTTCAATATTCTCTAGATGTATGTCAGGGCAGGTTCCTTTTAGAGCTGGGCCACAGCTTTGCAGTAATGAATGCATGTGTTCATCCCCAAAATCTTTAAAGGACAATACATATCATTTCATCAATCAGCTCTTTGAAGTTTTATAACTAATTCAACATACATACACGTGTCTGTAGAGAGAAAGTATCATCATTCATACTTTAAACCCTTGTCCTTGTCAGAGCAATTACAATACATTAGTAGTATAATAATGAACAATAATATTAGCGCCATATTCAGGATATTACATTGTTTTGTACAGCAGCTCTTTACCTATATCCAAGTTCAGATCTCTAGGCCATGTTTTTAAGGAGAGGATGGAAGAAGCTTTAAATAGGTTTGAATCTCCTCCAAATCTTGCCTCAATATTTACAATCAAGTTGTCAAGAAGTTTGTCTTTTCTGGAGATGAGGGAGTCCGAGAAAGACATGTTACCAAGGGATGACATCACTTCTCTCAGGAATGTACCATTGCTATGATTATTAGTAAGATTTAGTAGGGAAAAGCAGACATGCAGAAATAATAGGTAAGCTAGACATTGCTGCATTCAGAAATATAAGTTTCAGATATTTCATATCTAGACTACAGAATACTGTGAAATGTTAGACAGAAAGCTATCAATGACAGACTAGCAGCTATAAGTTAGTGCAGTAATTGATAAAACACTCAATATTGTATTGACCATACCACCATGAGCAAGCACTAAGCAAAGTAGGCGTGCAATTAGACATAATCATTTGAATAGCAAGACACTGTCAAGGATCAAGTACCTTGTTTTGTACTTTTTCAGTGTTAAAAGGACACTTTCTATTTCCATGGTTATATCCGCGGTTGTGCTCTCCCTTTCCTGTATGGCCTGTGAAAGGTAGCTGAGGGTGTTTACTACATCCATCATGAGATGCATCCAGTAGTCTGTTTGCTTTTCCTTTATCACTTTCAGGAAGTTGCGGGCTTTGGCACTAGCTTCCTTGGATGGATTTTGTTGCATCTGTGATTTCAATTGACACATTATCATTAGTTTAATTTATGGGACTTTAGTCTTATCATTCAACAGCTAAGGTCATTTTACAAAGTCAAGACAACATGAATATAATTATTTCATTATAGGAATATGACTAAAAGAATGAACAACAGTTGTAGATAGTTTTCAATCTTTCCATCTTAGACATAATTATAATATACCACATGTAATTACATATTCAACTACTAATCTAACTTAAAATCTTACCCTACATAATGAACTGTTCCTGGAACATAATACAAGAAATAGCAGACTTTGATGACAGACAACACCTTTGTAAGATAGGTGTGATCATAATTACCTGCTCAAGATGAAGGACAATGCTTTCTGATCCAGCTTTAAAATTCTGCAAAGCACGTTTAGTGTGCGGTAACCACCTGGTCCCTCCTGTGCGTGATGGTACATAGGCTTTTTTCCCAATTGACACAGCCAGTTTCAAATTGCTCCTGTTTAAAGGGCTGTATCTGGAAAAAAACAGTCAGAAGAGGAGAACGTTATGAAATCATTTATACAAAATCAAAATACTAGACTGTACATGCAGCATTGCTAGCTTATAAAATTAAGGGACATGTGGCCAAGTGGTTATGATTTAGCAGGTGTAACACTTTTAATCACACCTTTGGGTAGCATGTTTTTGAAATGAAAATCAGATTCAATCATCATGTGGTACTGCAGTACTTACTATGAATGTACCTATGGTAACTGTTACAATTGGTATAATTACTTTATTCTACACTCAAAAAGTAATGTCTATTATTTTAAGCCAGTTATAATTAACTACTCACTTGTAAAATAAATACAAGTTGGTCAGGAGAAGCTCACACTTTTGATGTATTGGGATGTCTTTGATGGAGTCCTTATATGCCAACTCTAACCTAAGGTCAAAAAAGAAAGGAAACTATATTTTGTATAAACAAACTTTCAAAGTTGCAAAAGTAGTTCAGATCTGTAAAAAAATCTATTCCTTTTTTTTATATTCCATAAAAATAACATTGATCACAAAGACTGCAGATTACTTGAAGCTACCTTATGTATACTGAGAGACTTACTATACAATTCTTTTAAAATTCAATGATCAATTATTTGCACTTGCCTATGAGCAGAACAATGTATGGCTTTCAAATATGGTCGTTCTGTTTCCTCCGCCATCCTGACCACTACACCACTTTTCTTCCCCAACATAACTGACGCACCATCCGTACCCATTGCCACAATTTTTTTTCTCCATGAGTCCCCAAACCTCCTATCTAATAAGGAAGAAATTGCCCTCGTGATGTTAGGTGCATCGGCTTTTCCTACATGTTTCAGACCAGCAAAGAAGGTAGATACCTATATTAAGAGACAAAAGAAGTGATTATTTTTTTTTAGAATTATCAAGATAATATTGGTCATAAGTAAGACAAGAAATTAAAGTTACTAAATCATTAAACTTTGGTCATTTTCTTTAACTAACTGTTTTGTGGTAAACATTGAAGTACTTAATGGACTATTTTCATAATTACAACATCTGATATATGCAAAAATGTCAAAGATTAGCATTATGTTCAAACTTTACATTCTCAGCATGGAAACAAGCATGTATTGTTTTGATAGGAGACAGTCAAAATTTGCAAGTACATCACGTGATCATCTGGAATTTCAAACTGGGCGAAAGACATCGTGAAAATATAAATGAATACCTTGCACATGAACGATGACCGTAGGTAGACTATTTCTGTTTCCTTTGATGCACAGTCTGTGGCTCCATCAGAAATAATACTAAGGAAAGGGGCTTTCTCCACCAGTTCTGCTCATGTCTGCGAGTGTCAGCAATGGCAGCTATGAAATGTTGGCAGTATTTATCTGTCCTGTATGTGTTTCCTATCTGAGTACCCTTGGCCTGATCCAAGTCACACAACTTAACAAAGTCTGTGAAAGGCCTTCTTGACTTTGCTACAAAATGAGCGTTTCTAAACAATGTACATAATTTCCCCACTGCAGCCTTGTTCATCATCACAAGTGTTTTTTCAGCTTTTGATGTTCCTGGCATTGATGTAACTGCCTTTTCCTTCAAAACTGACCTACGGTGACTGTCTGACTGGTCGTGTTTTTTTATTGGATCAAGCCTGAAATTATTTGTCCCTTTCACGAAATTATTACTATTGCTACTGTCGTACTTTTGACATACCCGACAGTACATTTTCCCGTCATGAAAAATTAACCAATTATAGTTAATTTTCCAGTTCGACTGGAAAGTCCTCTGTCTGACCGCTTCATATTGCGATGCCTTTTTTGTGACGCTTTCCTCTGGTGACGTCTTCGTCTTCTTTAGCTTCTTAGGAGGAGGGGTGCCGTCCAGCCACCGCCACATGGAAGCCATGATTGGAAATGTCAGAAGTTCTCGCTGTCAATCTAGCGCTTCCCGTGCTCAGCGGAAGATCGCTAGAAATTCAAACGCCCGAATGACGCTGTGAGATACTCCAAAACACGCTTGAAATGACGCAATACGATTCAAGCGCATTAACGAATCTGTGACTGGAAACGTAAATAATGTGAACGGGATGGTTCTACATTTAGATTTAGTTTTGACGACCAAACACGGACGAATTCGTTAAATAAATGTGGGTATACTGAATTGGTATATTTTAAAAGATTTGGTAGCCCGCCGGGCTACTGGGTATGGGATCTTTGGTAGCCCGTCAGTTATTTTGGTAGCCCCGGGCTACCGGGCTACCGCTAGTGTCGAACCCTGATTACATATACAAACAACATCAGCATCTGACATCAACGTCATCATATACAATCATCATCCTCGTCACACATTAGCATCATCACATACCATCAGCATCATTATGGTCACCTATCAACATTAGCATCATCACACTTCAGCAGCATTACACATCCGCATTATCACATACCAAATCAGCATCGTCACACCTCAACATCATCATATATACCAACATCAGCAGCATCACACAGCAGCATCACACATCCTCATTATCAGCTTCTTCACACACTTTAACTTCCATGCATAAGGATGCTGCAGATTCTTAGACACAGTCAACATCATTATCTTCATCATCAAGCACACATAGACATGCTAATTTCAGTAATTTCTCCATAAACTAGTATGGACTCATAATAAGTGAGCAACTGACAGCTGTCACTATATCACTATAAGATAAATGTTCCTAGATATAATGAAATAGACAAATAAAAAACAAAACATGTGATGATTTTTTTTATAATTCTTTAAACAGCAGACAACTATTAGCTGTTAATAATAAATGTAAATCAATATCAGAAATACTGTCAGTTCTTACCATTGCTTGTGAAGTGATTGATTCTAAGGTGACCGATAAGGCCCATGGGCCTCTTGTTTCTAATCTTAAATTAATTTTTCAATGTATTTTTATGCACAATATGCGTACCTCAAGTGATTTTGCTTATTATTTTAGATTTATGATCTTTACATTTATTTACTTCTTTTTTTTGTTTGATATTTTATGTATTTTATACATCCGTCAAATGGCAGGACATATTATGGTATTCTCGTCTTCCATCCGTCCATCTTCCGTCCGTATGTCCCTCTGTTCGTAAACATTTCAATGTCCCTGCGATTTTGGAATTTATTAAGCCTTAACAGATTTCTTTTAACTTTCATTGCAAGCTTAAGTACAATCAAAGCTAGATTGAGTTTGATTTCCATGATTTTTGATCCACAACTTTTAGAGTTACGGCCCATTAATGTCTGTAACCTTTTCAATGTCGGTGCAATAACTTTGCAAAGTATTACGCAATTACCATTGAAACAAATGCAATATATTATATACAGCATAAATAGTGTAGGTGATAGTCAGACAAAATCACAGGCGTATTTCGTGACCTGAAACAGGCTCTTGTTTTTTTTTTTTTTTTTCGTGTGACAAATTAAAATGATTGTTCAATATATGAATATTGTCAGCATTCCATTATACCTTCATAGATCCCTATTAGGATAAACTGACGGGACAGAGCTTGTTTGTTACACTATCAGAATAATGTAAATCACTCATACTGGTGGAGGAATTACAGTGATTCTAGCATTAAGTTGTATGGTTGCCAATTTATTTGCAGATAAGTCAATACCATTATTACTATTGCAGCCATGGTCTTTTGATGGCGTCGTTAACTTCACCTTGTCAGAATATCCTAATGGGGCAATATTTTGTACATCATGTGAGAAAAAAAAAAGCATATTTACAAAATTAATAACCAGAAGTAGCAAAATCACAGGGACTTTTCGAAATTATTTTTATTATCTTAATTATCTAGACAAGCTATTGTGGCTACATATAAATATGCAAGTGTTTCTGACTTCGTTTTAAATAAAAAAATAGTTGTGGAGTGATGGCTTTTGATAATGGATATATGTATATCTAGTTTTGATATATGCTTTATTTGACAAGGAATGTCAATTTATTGTTGTTAATAAAGTTACTGTTTCAATTTTGTTGTCATTGGTCCGTTTTTCCTTGGCCCGGAACTATTTCTGAAGGCGTCTATTTGCATCAACACTGCATCGTCATGCCGGTAATTACGGGCTTAAAATAGATTTTCTGTTGACCAATTTCATTTGACAGATGGGATTAAATCCCTAATGCGTCATATCGAGCGTAATGGCTTATTGGATAAATATTTATAGCAACCTATATTGAACTTGGGGAAACCCGTTCGTCCGCCATGGTGTTTCACGTTGTAATAGCAGCAAGCTGCAAGATGAACTCGAGTAATTTTACGGATGTTTCCTTTGATTGCTTTTCATTATAACTACTGGAGCATGCATAAAACATCCTTGTGTCGTTGTCACGAAATGTAATAGATGTAGCAACAACCATTTGTACCTTAACTTTAATAAAAACATGCCAAATGTCGTATCTTTCTAATGGGAAGCCTGTTACGACGGAGATGTGAAGGGGACGTAACTCTTGGCGAACGACTACTATGTTCTGATATGATAAAGGAAAAAGATTATCAGCTGTATATGCTTAAGGTTCCTCCGGAGAAGACAAACCTGAGGGACTAGATAAATCCAGCAGCAGGCCATACCACTAAGAAATTTGAAACTGTTGTTGAAAGGGATTAAACAGTACACCTAACACACTGAACACTAAGTAATCCAAATCCTCACTAGATCTTATTTAATTGGAACCAAAGAACAATTTATATTCAAATTTTATTGGTATCAACCCTTTTGAAAAAAAATACAATGCATTGTAAAGGAAGAAGGCTGTTGACCAAATATTCTTAAAGTTTCTCCAGGTTTTTCTGTTATAGATGTTGGAACGTAGCTTATGATCTGTGCATTACAATGGCCTTCACCAATGGTGCGCGTGCTCAGAAATCTCTCTTCGGGAGCACCTGTCAATCCGCTGACGCAATCACAAATTCCCATAACAGGCTTCCCACACACGGGGACTTGGCACGAATTCCCGATCCTTTGTCCATTTCGAAGTGCATTATAGTAACGAGGGTTGTAACTTCCGACACGGGAAAAATGAATTGTGTTTTCTATATATTCTAGGGGCTACAGATCTTAGTAACACATACATTAACTTGATGGGAAATGTTTTATCTTTCCAATCGATGTTTGAGTGAACGAGTTCTGTTGAAAGTAGTCCCGTCAGAACTGAAATAACTTCAATCGTATTGAGGGGTACAGCAGTTTGTATTGACAGATAAAGCACTGCTTTATCTGAGAGTGATAAAGCACTGCTTTATCAGAGACTAGTTATCTGCCGATATCTCTACTGGTTGCGTATATTAATTATCTATATTATGACAGTATATCTTTCTGATATGTTGAGCGAACGAAGCTTGAGATATATGGGACCATATTGTCTATATATGTATAGAAAATTTTAATTACCTGAGATACATGAAAATAATTATATGTTTTGACGGCACGCTCGTGGCAAAATCAAAACTGTTGCAATTAATTTGTCATCGGTAATTGATCATACTTGATTCATTGAAGTAACAAGAGGGGCAAAGGAAAGGGACACATTGTAATTTTTGTAATCTTTAAAATTTCACAGAAACATTTTTTTTAAAAGTTGTACGAGAAAATTACACAGATAAAGTTATCCATTCTCGAATCTTTTTCCCTCACCCAATAAATGCTTTCACTTTTATAAATTTCTTAAAGAAAAAACACATTTTATTACTGCGGAACACTGAAAGCATTA